TGCTACATCTGCTCAGCTGTTTGGCAAGTGCCCGCCTTCAATCATGAGCAGGAATGAGGAATGGGGAGGGAGTTCTGAGAGTCCCCAGACGCATGCGTGGTTGACAGCTTAGATCTTGGGTCACCCTGACCCAGATTTGGGTTCCCTCTCTATGGCTCCCTGGTTGTCGTTCCTTGGGCCTAAACTTTCTCATCATGAAAATGGGGGATGGTAGTAGAGTTCGCACGTTGTTGCATTTATGAGCAAATGTGGATTTGAACATTGGATAAGTGGTAGAGCACCTGTCCTGAGTTCAAACCCAAAAGTGCCCGAGAGAGGGAGAGAGAGAGAGAAAGAGAGAGAGAGGCAAGGAAGGGGGCTCAAGTAATTCTTCCCCTGGATCAACTTCCGAGAGGGACAAGCCAGTGCTCTACCCGACCCTGCACTGTCTCTGCCCTCACTCTGCATCCTGTTGGAAGACAGGTCTTGAAATGGCCCCCGTGCCAGAGCCTCTGTCCTCGGGAGCTTTGGTTGTGAGCCATATGGCGTGGCAGGTCCCAGGGATGACAAATGGAGCCACTGACAGCAGGGTGGCATCCATCTCCATCTTGCTGCCTGGAGCCGGGTAGCAGACCAACAGTGAGGGCAGGTGGTGGGAAGACCTCTCACACCCAGTCCTTCCTGGCATCTTTGGGATCTGGTCTTGCCCTGGGAGTAAGGGACTGGCTGGAAGCAGCTCCCAGTGCCTGCAGGAAGAAATTCATAGAGTGTGTGTGCGTGTGTGTAAATCCAGTGGACATGTGAAAGCTCTTATCTCCCGTCCTTGCCAGACTACTATCTCCAGATGGGTCACAGGCACCTTTGTCTCTCTGTCCACCCTACCTGGCATGACCAGCTTCTTCTACGCCCAATAGCCACAGCTGCTTTCCTGTCATGTGTGGATCTGTTTCTCTGCATGATGGGAGCTGTGCTCAGCGGCAGGTGCTGGGTGCCCACTGTGTGCCTGGCATTGTTGGGCACCAGACAGAAAGGTCAGTGAGAGTAGCTGAACAGGAGCTGCTCAAACAGTATGGCTTGCTAGCATTGATAGTGTCGCTCCAGTTGCTCATTGAGGTACCAGGAGGTTACGCGGAGGTAGCTGCTATGGGATGCCCACGCCTTCTGAAGGTCCTGGTCTCCCAGGAACACCTTCCCCTCTCCCAGGGGATGTAATCTCGCAGAACGACCTGGGTGATCGAAGGCCAAGCCTCACCTTCCACCACAGGGCTACCCAGCTATATAGGTTTCTCATTCTAATAAATTGAATTAAAAAAACAAAACAAAACTGAAGACTTGCAGAGTGGCTCAAGTGGTAGAGCGCCTGCCTAGCAAGCATGAGACCCTGAGTTCAAGCTCCAGTACCTTCCCCCCCAAAAAAAATCTGAAAGAAAAGCAAAAGAAAACCAACAGAGGGAACTGCAAGAGGTGGCCAACAATTTATCTTGCTAAGTAGAACCATGAGAAAAAATCAACACCCTTCTACTCTACTGCCCGTTGTGAAAGAGAGCAGTCTCCGCCCCCCACTCCAAGTGCACAGCACAGAACACAGGATGAAGGTGGCCCATCCCATTGCATCCATCACAGCCTGGCAGGGAACAGGGAGAAGGTGGCTAGGTGAGCACTGGCCCAGCCCTGGGAAGCACAGAGCTTGGAGGACGTCGCTGATAGGTCACGATGCAGTGGACAGACTGGAGTCAGAAGTGCACACTGCAGGACTTTCACCTGGTCTGAAGCCAGAGGGTGGTCACCAGGGGTGATGTGAGCAAGACCACACACAAGGGTGGGGCAGGTGAGAGACAGGAAAGTCTGGGGAGACACACAAGGTCACGGACTCTGAATGCAAAGTCTTCACAAATGCCTTTGCCATTGGCCCAGTTGATGGGAATGTCACCTTAGGAAACAAGTGAAGTGCCTGCCTGCTGGCGACACAAACTTGTGCTAATGGTGCTTCTCGTCATAAGAGTTGGAGACCAACAGGATGGGGTTGGGTAAGGCCGTTATTAGACATTTAGATAAAGGAAATACTTCACAGCTATTAAAATGATGCTGGGAAAACTGCTCACACGATGTGCAGTGAAATAAACCAGGCTAAAAATAGCATGTTATTTGTCCCTCAATAAAAACTTCCTGCTACAGTATGTATTTTGTAAGGCATCTTTGTGCATATATGTGAATACATATTTCAAAGGATGTATACAAAATGAAATGTGTACGTAGAATTACAGGTAATGCTACTCTCCCTTCTATTTTCTGCATGTCAGGGTTTTCTGTGTTCAGTTTCTGGGGAGCAGTAGTCAAGGAGAGCTTAGTTTCTGAAATGGTCCAGACCTGGACTCTGCCAGACTCTGCCACTTCCTGGCTATGAGTCATTGGACAAGTTTCTTGGCCTCTCTGGGCTTCCATGTTCTGCCTGTAAACTGTGGGTAAGACTTGGATCTCCCAGGTGTCAGGGACGATTTAGTGAGCTAATATGCAGAAACCACTTCAGTACTCAGCCTGGTACTTACTAAGTATTTAGCAAATGTGTATGTATGTTTATGTATATCTATGTCTCTGTATACATGTATGTATATGTATACATGTATATATGTATGCATAAGTATATGTTATGTTAGATTATTCCTAGTAAGAGAATAACCAACATTGAGCAGAAGTATTGCTCTTACTGAACTAGAATTTGAGGACCTCACAGTCTAGTCAGCCTGTCCTTGGCTTCCTGCATCTGGGCCCTTGAGGATACATGGCCAGACATGTGCTTAGAGTAGCACTGCTCCCCTTTGCTGGGCACCTGCTCTGGCTACACCCCGTGTCAGGGGTTTGCCTGCCTGGCTTCACTGAATGCTTACAGTGCTGAGTCTTGACCAGGAGAGATGCTATTCTTGTATGCCTCATTTTGCAGATGGGGAAACTGAGGCTTGAGTCTGTGAGCTGAGCTCTAAGAGGCCCCGTAGCAGGAGTCCAGTCAGGTCTGTCTGAGGGCAAAGGCTGAGGCCTTCACAGCTCTGTTAAAGATGAGTTCATTATGGTGAGTTTGGAGAAAGGAGGTGGTGGGGGAGACCAGAGCAGGCTGGGGGGTGCAGGCAGGGAGCCAAGAAAAGCTGGGGTCTAGGTTGCCCTTGGTGATTGTGGGTGTATGCTGGGTGATACCACAGGCTTTTCTTTTCTAAGGACTGAGATCTGCTGCTTAGTTGACAAGTATGGATGTTTTATAGGGTGACTGGAATTTGGAATTCCTGAACTAAAAATAATCCATTATTAGAGTTCAGCCAAGGACTCAAGAAATCTGATGTCACCCAACCTTGTTAAACCTCCATGGTGGACAGCTGGGTAGAATTCCAGCCTTGTCTCTATGCTCTGAGAATGCTGTCTTATGGGTTGCTGGTGACTTTCTGTTCTGTCATTTAAAAAATCCTTTGTTTTGGAATATTTCAAATGTACACAAAGGAAGAAGAGTGAACTGAATCCCCATATGCCGTCACCTAGCATCACCACACCATTCTTGCTTTATCTATACCTCCTCTCACTGCACCCCTCAGTGGTCATCATTTCTGTCTTTTATTTTATCAGAGAAATTTACATACACCGAAATGCACTGATCTCAGATATGCACTTGAGACAGACGATACATTCGGGAACACATGCTCCATCACACACAGAACATTTCTGTCCCCTCAGCTTGTTCCTCTCCCCTTCTTATGACTCAAGAGCTCCCATCCTGCAAGAGAGCTCTTCTGTTGTTTTTTTTTTTTTCGAACTTAGATTCATTTTGACGGTTCGGAGCTTCCTGTAAATGGAGCCATATAGTATGTGCCCCTCTATTCTGGCTTCTTTTGCACAGCTTTGTGTATGTGAGGTTCATAGAGGTGGTTGTGGGTTGGTTGTTTCTTCTGTTTCGTTGCTGAGCAGAACCTGATTACAGTCTCCCCGTCCTTATGTGCAGTTTTACTTTTCACAATTTCAGTTACCACAGTTGACCAGGATCTAAACATATTAAATGGAAAATTACAGAAATAAACAATAAGTTTTAAGTTACACACCATCCTGAGTAGTGTGATGAAGTCTTGTACCATCTCCTCTCCCACCCCCCTTTCATCCAGCTCAGGCTGATATCTCTTTGTGCACTGTATCCACCCTGTATATGCTACCTGCCTGTCAGTCACGTAGTAGCTGTCTTGGTAATCAATCGACTTAGTTATTGATCAAGATTGACTGCCTTGGAATCATATTGTTTGTGTTCAAGGAACCCTTATTTTATTTAATAATGACCCAACGAAAAGAATACTGATGCTGGTAATTTTATTACTTACTGGGTCTAATTTATAAAGTACCCTTTATCATAGGTATGTCTGTATAGAAACACCCATAGCAGATGCAGGGTTTGGAACCGTGGACACAAGGGGCGTCTTGGCGTGCACTTTCTGCAGACGAGCAGAACTACTGTGTATATGTAGTACGTTTGCCATTTGCCGGTTGATGAACATACGACTCGTTTCTGGTTTGCATGAATACGACTGCTATAAATGTTTGAGCACAGGCTTTTGTGATGTTTTCCTTTCTCTTCTATCAGTAGAATGTCTGGACCCCATGGTAGATGCACGTTTGGCTTTGTAGAAACTTCCATTGTCTTCCGAAGTGGCTGAATGCTTTGCATTCACACCAGCATTGTGTTGGATCTGTGGGCTTTTCCTTGCAGCTCTTTTGGAAGGTGGAGTTTCTGGAAGGCTCTGCTCTCACTGATCAGTTGGTGTGGGGTGCTTGCTGTGTGAACCAGAATGAATCATGGTTTCTCTGTTTCCTGTGTTCCCAGAATTCCTTTTGCACTGGGAGTGGGAGTGGTGGGGGCTGTTAGGGGAGTTTTGGTCACAAAAGGTTGAGACTGCTGTTGGGGGTCTGGGCTTGCCCTCGGCTTCATCTCTGTGCTCCCCTGGAGCTTGGGGCTGTGGTCCAGACCCCGCTCATCTGGGCCTCTCTCTTTCTTACAGATATTGGCCCAGTGACCCTCACCGCCGACCCAGCGGTGTTCCAAAGGGAGCTGAGAGAACTCTACGTGCAGGTGAGCTGCCCCCGTCCCTGGACGCCCATTTTGTTTTTTCCACTGCATTGCAGAGACCTTCCTTCCTCCCACCTCCACGGCCCCCCACCACCATGATCTGGCTCTCAGATCTGTCAGTGGCCTGCATACCCGCTTGGGGGGAGCTGTATTTATGGGATTCCTTTCCTTGTTCAGTGTGCTAGGTACCTCTCAGAACCCTTGTGCATGGCACAGAGTAGGTACTCATTACTAAGTAAATGAATGAGGGCAGAAGGAACAGGTGTTGACCCCAGGTGAGGATGTGTGCGGTAGAAGGGGAGGATGAAGTACAGCTCAATTCAGACCCCCAGAATTGGGCCCAAGATTGGATCACGTGCTCCATGGCCTCCTGGGCTCTTCTGCCAACTGAACATCTGTCCTTTCCCTGCCCACTGAGACCACTGGTTGCTTAAGGGCAGGGACCTCTGGGGTCAGTGTAGCTCAAGGCCCCAGCACCACAGAGGGCCCAGTAAGTCCTTGTGGGGTGGACAAATGGATCAGAAAGAATTGCTACTGAGAAGTCACTCCATGCAAATCCTGCTGCTGTGGGCTGAATGTGTCCCCCTGGGGGAGACACGGGCCCCCACCCTGCAGAGAGCTCCCATGTGCCCCCTTGGCAGGGAGGGTCGAGCGTCTTTTGTGGGATCCATACCAGGACAGGCGGCTTTGAAGGCTTTCCTCTTGCTTCCCCACCAGCCTGCGCCTTTATCCATAAGCCTCGGGCTGTCATGGGGCTGCTTGGGGCTGTCACCTGGCTGTTGCTGTGGCTCCCATCCCCACCTCACTTGTAGCACTTGTCACGATGGTAATTAAACTCTCATATGAGCCTTACTGGTGTAGCGTCTCCCCACACCAGATCCCACAGGGTGGGACGGTGTGTCTCTTGCCTGGGTGAGCGACTAAATGATGCTGCTTATCTAAAGTTATAGTGGGGCAGATGGCACATTGTGTCCCTGGGAGGGAGTGGCTGGGACCATAGCCGGCCCGTGGGCAGGGGGCACCAAGGCACCAACTCCAGCTGGTTTCGGAGGCATCTCTGGATAGGTCCTGCTGGAGGAGGTGGACAGCAGCTGCTCATGTGTCCCCACCCTCCAGGGAGGTGGCGACTGCCCAGAGATGAGTGTGGGGGCCATCAAGGCTGCCGTGGAGGTTGCCAACCCCGGCTCCTTCATCTACGTCTTCTCTGATGCCCGCGCCAAGGACTATCACAAGAAGGACGAGCTCCTGCAGCTGCTGCAGCTCAAGCAGTCACAGGTGAGTAGGACCCCTTGGAGGCTGCAGTGGCAGCCATGTAGGGGTCCTGAGGACACAGGTGTCTCCAACTCAGCAGTCCTGAGTCCCACCTGGAGAGCAGAGCCAGGTTTCCCTCCCCAGCCCTGGGTCCAGCCATGGCCACACTCCTTATGCAGAAGGTCTGGTGAATTCCAAGTGTGTCTCACGCTCTGGGCCTTGGGTTGCAAGTCTTGCTGTTTTTTGCGGTTCCATTGTCCTTTCCATTGTCTCAGGGTTCTGTAGACACATTGGGACTTTGGCAGCGAGAGCTGGGGAGGGGAGAGGGCCGGCTCTTCGGTGCTCTTGGGGACAACCGTGAGGGCGGGAATGGCTTCTCTGCTCTCTTGTCTAGAACACCCTCATGTTCTTCGACGTTTTTCTAATTACAGCCTCCTGGGCTATTCCAGGATGAACCATCTTCTATGCCCTTTTTTGTCATAGATTAATCCTATTTATTTTTAATTTAATTTAACTTTTTTGGCTGCACTGGGGTTTGAATACAGGGCCTCATGCTTGCTAGGCAGGCGCTGCACGGCTTGAGCCACTCTGCCAGCCCTAATAATTAATTGAGCACCTGCTATATTCCTGGGCCCTCGTGTGCACTTGCTTTGTGTCAGTTCCTGATCTCCTAGAGATGGACATTCTCATTACTCCCCATCCTGACGTGAGCATCTGAGCTCGGAGAGAGACCAGGGCTCACCCCAGGCTACTCCATTCTGGTCGTGGCTCTGCCTGCCCACCCCCGCAATAGGCGGCCAGGGAAGCCACGAGCCAGGCTGCATGTCCATCTTCCAGGTGGTCTTTGTGCTGACGGGGGACTGTGGTGACCGCTCCCATCCTGGTTACCTGGCCTATGAAGAGATTGCCTCCACCAGCTCTGGACAGGTGTTTCATCTGGACAAGCAGCAAGTAACAGAGGTAAGTCTGTCATCCAGGTTTGGTGAGGACATTGCCCAGCCGTCATGTCCAGATGGCTTTACCTGGAGGTGAATAGCAGTCAGCAGCGGCGAGTGCTCAGCCCGGGTCTGTGAGGGATGCTGTGTACAAAGGCAGTATGATGTCATTCCATTAGCTGTCCCAGCCACCCCAAAGGCAGGGTTTCTGAGCAAACCATTTTGCAGGTAAAGAGGTAAGGCTTGGAGCAGTGCCCTGAGCTGGGCTGCACCAGGCCAGCCAGGTGGAAGTGATGAACAAAGGAGAAAACGTGGGTGTGGGGTTTCTTCTGATTTTCCCTAGAGTCTGGGGACCCGAGGTAGGTGGAAAGGAATGGCTGTGTTGTTGAGGACCTGGCAGGAAAGGGCTTGCTTGGCTCTGTGGCATGAGGTGGTACTCTCCAGGTGTCTGCCTCCTGTCTTGCTTCCTAGCCAGCCTCCCCTCCAGGCTCCCTCCAGGCTCAGGGCCTTCCCTGCAGGGGCACAGATCTCCTCCCAGGCTGTGCTGGTAAATGCACCATGACTACCCATCTCTGGCAAAAACAAGGACACCCGTTCCCATGGGGTAAATTCTCCAACCTTGGCTGAGCTCAAGCTGCTGTCACAGAGTCACTGCACAGACTTGGATTTGTCAGCCTATGGGGTCAGATCGTTTTTTTTGAGCCTTATGAGTTGCTTCCAGTGTCACTGCACCCTCCTACCTATAGCAAATCTGATCTGCAGGTGTCTGCCTGTTGTCCCCTGCCTCATGTTCAGACCTTTTTCAGTTTCTGATCTCACGGCCAGTGCTTCCCCCTTGCTAGCTACTCATAGCCTCACTGGCCTCTGCTGGCTCTTCCCACCACGGGGCCTTTGCTGGTGCTTTTTGTTCTTCCAGCAACCTTCCCCCGGTTTCTTCTTATCCTTCATCCTTTGCTGAAATCCACCTTCCCAGGGAGGCCCTCATCAATTTCCTGTCGAGATCGAATTCAGTTTCTTACCCTCTCCCAGCTCCCTGTGCTGTTTTACATAATTGTCATTTTATGCTTGTGTGATTATTTAATGTCACTAGGCTGTGAGCTCCCTGAGGGCTGGGTCTCCTGGAGGCATTTGCCACTGAGTCGCTAGCACCTCTCTTGGCCACCAGCGTATAACCAGTGCTGAAAAAATAGCTGGGGCATGACAACATGGGGTCCCAGTGCCTGTGGCCCTGGGAAGAGGAAGGTGTGGGAGCAGCATCTCCGAGGCAGGCTGTGGACGTGGGCCAGCCCTGCTGTCGCCTCTGGGAGAGGGTTTCGTGTGTTGTATATTTATGAGCTGAAGGAAACAGTCTCTAGGGCCGTGTTTAGATTATCGTGCCTTAACTCCCTGTTGACAGATGGCGTTTATACTTCTCTGTGACACATCAGGCTTTGTTTGCTGGCATGTCAGCCTGCCCTGGCACCAAGCCCCAAGCAAGGGCGGGAGGCACTGTAGCTTGGTCCCTGCTTTCGAGGAGACCAATCTGGGCGAATGCCTGGGAACTAGCTTCCTGCCGGTGGCCAATCAGATACGGGGGGCCCAGGTGGGTCGCTGGAGGATAGCTTGCCCAGGTGTGCCTCTCCCTCGAGGTGGGGCACCTGGGCAAACACACTGGTGGTGTCCGGCTTTCTCTGTGGGAGCCTGGTGGCAACACATGGCAGACTCAGTGGTACGACTGATGACCAGGATGGGCTGTCACCGGGTGGAGGCTGTATTGCTCTCCTTCCTGGACACAGTCATTTGTAGCTTAATGCCGTGGACCTGGCCCCTTCCAGATGTTCCCAGACACTCTGTGAGCCTGGGAAAGTGGCTGGGGCAGCCAGGGCTGCAGTCATCCCCCAGCGGAGTCCAATAGGGCCTGTGCCAGAGCCAGAGGGGCCTCATCTGGTTCTTGAGAAGGCCTCCTCAGAAGCTGCAGGAGCCCCCGAAATGGGCGTGTGCAGGAAGCCCTTTGACCTTTCCAAAGTAGTCTGATGTGGTGGGAGTGATGCATTCTGCATGCTGTCTCACCCTCATTTATGCAGCACCTGCTTCATGCTTTGTGGTGCTGGGTGTGCAGTGTGGAGGAGGCAGGCGGCCCAAGCATCCACAGTCTCTGATTTGGAGCACTTAGCTCTGCCCAGTGTAGAATTTGCCTCCCAGGTCCCAGGAACCCCACTCAGAATCCCAGAGTAACTACAAGGGATTTGGAGCTTTGGACTGTCCATGCACAGGCAGGGGACCATGTTGGGGGCTTGTCTCAAAGCTGAGCATTTTTTATCAAGGTTTTGATAGAACCAAGAACTCCTTTGTCCAGGTGTGGCATCACACAGACTGTGTCCAGCACGTACCTAGCTCAGTGACATGGAAGGACAGTTGGGGATGGAGGGTAGGAAGGAGTGGAAGAGCTGGGTGTACCTCGTTATCTTATGGCCTTCCCTGGGCTTGGGAAAACCTGCTATCTTTTTCCAGGAGAACACTGGGCCTTTCGCTGTCATCTGCATTGTTCCCCTCCCCCACTCCCCAACACACACTCCAGCACAGCCATTCTGGGGGCTGGGACCCTTCCTATGTCCAGTAGCAGCAGGTACAAATGACAAATAGCCCATACTCTGTGTGTCAGCTGAGGGGAGGGGCAAGCTGCCTTCTAAAGCAGTGAGGGCCGGGTGGGGGCGGGGAGGTTCTGACCAGGTGGTTCTGATTAACGGATCAGGAAGGGCCCAGAGCTGACTTCATCCTGGACCCTCCCCAGGGGCAGGCAGGGTGGTGGATTGGCTGAGGCCTGGGCTTTGGGGTAAAAAGGCAATGTGTGGAATGCAGAACTTTGCCACCTGCCTTAGGTGCTTGTGCCCGTACTTAACGGTGAGCAGCAAGTTCCCTCCACAGCTTGGGCTAAAGAGAGCCCCTGCTTTGTGAAGTGGTGGCCAGGACTGTGCTTGGGATTTCCCGGGCATGGGGCCAGGCACCCAGGAAGCCCGGGAGTTAGCATGGCTGAACCTCCACCATGATTCTGGGTGGGGCCCAGAGGCTGCCCTGTTTCCATTGAAGACCCCTAAAAAATGTGGGGCTCTCTCTGGAAGGGGTTCTCAGCAGGGCAGAACTGGGGAGAGTACCTGGGGTGCTCAGCTGACAAGGGCAGAGCCCCACAGCTGAGGCTCTCTCTCCATCACTCCACACCAAGCCCCCTGACCCAAGGCCCTGAATCTAGCCCTCTGTTTTCTGGTCTGCAGCTCTGAGTCCTGCTTGGCCTCCTGATTCCCTTCTCTGTTTCCCCAGCCACCCTGGCTGTCAAGTGTCCTGGGCGGGGCCTCTGGGGATGATTTATCTGCCATGAAGGACCCAGCGTCAACCATCTGGTCTGGGTAGCAGCGCCAGATTCTTTCATTCCTTTCCTGTCAGAGACCAAGAGATGAGCCTCAGTGCACTGCTGGCTCCCAGGCCCCCAGTCCCGCTAACATCTGGGAGCCATTGCCTTCACCAGATAAACACTGTGTCTGCTTATTGAGGGCTTTCTGCTCGGAAGGTCCCCCGATTCCACTCTGGACGCCACAGGGCGTCACAGGGCCCAGAAAGCCTTGACCCCAGACCTGGCCTTTCAGAGGTTCTGGCCTTGCAGTGAGCAAGAGGGTCACCCCACCACTATTCCAGGGCAGGCTTCCTTGTGGTGGGGTGGCTGGGTTGCTGTCCTGTGTCTCAGTCTTCCCAGTGGCCTGAACTGCTGGGCACCTTCCCTCTACCCGAGCATCCCAGAACAGCTTGCAGTGGCGTTGCAACACAGTAGCGCGTGTGACTTGTCTGGGTGATCGTCACCCAGTGCTGCCACCTCCTCCCAACTAAGTCACAATTCCCTTCTGATCCCTGACGAGGGAGCAGAAGGTGTCACAGAGCTGGCCTCTTGCTGGGCGTGAGTTGCTGCTGGCGTCACCAGCTCCTGTACACCTTTCCAGCTGGTGTCTTTATGCTGCCTCCTCTTGTCCAACCCTGTGTGGAAGAGGAACCTCGTCCTCACTCCTGGGCCAACACAGGTGGGACCTTTTCAAGAAACACATTACTTAGAAAGCTAAGAGAATGAAGTAGCTCCAAGTATAAAAGCAGGCGAGTTTTCAGAATACTGAATTCTTATCCTGTGATAACTGACGTCTTGCTGCATATGTTTTCACTCAGTCTGAGCAAAACACACTCACTTTCTAAATCTTAGACAATTCTTCCAGTTCCTTTCTCTTCTTCCCTTCTTGGATGATCATATGGTAGGTGATTGTCCAAGGTCATCTTGTGACCTTGTGAGAAGGTTACACAAAGCACTGTGATTTGGAGCCAGGGTGGCCAGTAGGTAGCATGGTGTCTAACCACATGGTCATGATAAGCATTGCTAGTCGATCACAGAAAGTTACCTAACTGAGGCTAAGCTGGCTTCACGATCCTTTAAACAGCATTCCAGAGAACCATTTTCAGGTGGCTGGAGTTGGCAAGGTGCACTGTATCTCAGGGTATATTACAGTCATGGCATATCTGTCATTTAGAAATGACTTTCATTTAAAAAATTACCATAAGCCAGGCACTGGGGGCTCACCCCTGTAATCCCAGCTACTTGGGAGGCTGAGGTTGTGAGAATCTCACTTTGAGGTCTGACTGGGCAAATAGTTCTCGAAACCCCATCTCAAAATAACCAGAGCAAAATGGACTGGAGGTGTGACTCAAGTGGTAGAGCACCTGCTTTACAAAATGGGAAGCCCTGAGTTCAAATCCTACTTCCACCAAAAAAAAGAAAGAAATTACCTCGAAAAATTCAAAAGATATAGAGAGGTAGAAAGAACGTACAAGTGGATCCAACAGTTGTCAGTATGTTTGCTCTGCTTGTTTTATCTATCTGTCTACACTTTTTGCTACATGAGACTTTATCTATAAATAATTTAGCATGGATTCTTTTCATTTTTTTTCTTTTCAGTGCTGGGGATTGAACCCAGGGCCTCAGGGCCTCACACATGCTTGGCAAGTGCTCTGCTACTGAGCTACATCCCAAACCCCTACCATGTATTTAAAAAATATATGTAATATGCAGTCATATACTATGTATATTCCTCCCACATAATCTCTAATATTATATGATAGAATTAATAATGGCTTCCTAGTGTCATCTGATACCTGGTTCCTTTTCAAATTTCCCTAATTGTCCTCACAATGTCTTTTATAGCAGTTTTTGTCAAATCAGGATTTAGTCAAGTGCTTGCATTTTATCTGGTTGTTAGCTCTGTTAAGTCCCCTTAACAGCTGGCTGCTCTTTTTTTTTTTAACAGCCAGGTGTTGAGGAGGCACTGATTTGTACCACGCCCCATGTTCTGGACTCACCTAGCTGTTTCCTTATGGTGTCACTGACCTCTTCCTTTGCCCCTGTTCCCTGCCTTACCCCAGTTGGGCTGAAGGCCTGGTTCAAGATGGCGGCCAGCATGCCTGGCACCAGTGGTTCATTTTTGGTGCTATGTGTGCTTTCTGCTGTCTCACGTCAAGGGGCAAACAACGTCTCGCTGTCCTGTAGCTGGTGAGGAGTTTGATTGCTGGGGTGAGGTGGTGACAGTCAGCTCTCTGTCTTATGAGGGAGGCCGTGTTTTTCCCCTTTATGGCTTGAGTGGCCCATGGGGAATGCCCCTGCTACGCGTGGACCTCCAGCTCCCCATAATTGCCTAAAATAATTACTTCATTAGTGGCTGCAGAATGATGTTTTCTTAATTGTGTCATCCCTTCCACATTTATCAGTGGGCGATCTTCCAAGAAGAACTTTTGTTCATCAGAAGGGATGGTTTGGTTTCTCTGAAGTATAATCCCGATTGAAAAGGCAGGACTTTCACTGAGTTCTTTCTCTTGACTTAGGAAGACCCTTTTGTGGTGGCAAGGGAAATCTTACTCTTTAAATTTTGTTCTGTCTCTCTCTGTGTCTCTCTCTCTCTCTTGGCAACAAGGTCTTGCTCTGTAGCCCAGGCTAGCCTGAACTTCAGGATCTTCCTGCATCAATCTCCCAAATGCTGGGATTGCAGATGTGTGCTGCTTTCTCTTTTTTGTGTGCCATTTTGTGTGGCACGTGGATTATGTAGTTCAATGTGTTTCAATTCTAGTTATCTTTTTTGGGGTTCAAGTTATCTCAGAGTTACCCAGGGAGAGTGCCTGCAAGTGGATCCCGTGTCCTTTTGGTATGTCCTCATTTATCTTTGATAACCTCTGCTTTATGAGATAACTGGTTCTCCCAGTTTACCTTATAAACTGCCTGGCCCAAACCTGGAAATCTGGAAGTAGCCATTTTTCCAAGGCCCCCTAGTGCAGAATGGTATTTAGAAACCAGAATTTGGGTACTAGTGGTAATCATTGACATTTGGATTTGGGGACAATATTGCTTTATCTATTTATCATTTATCATCTATTTATCTATCTATCCATCTATCAATCAATCATCCATCTATCTCTCTATCATCTATCTGCCCATCTATCATTTATCTATCTATCTGTCTATCTCCCTACCTACTTATCGACTTTTTACTGATGTTTCCAACTCAAATTTCACACTGCAGATTTTTTACTTGGTTTATTTGATAATATATTCGCGACTGTCTCCTGTGTTTAGTTATAAGAGGAAATCTCTGTGTCTCTGCAGCAGGTCTTCTCCATCTTGCTGGAGAATCAGTACCTTGCTGGCAGCAGCCTGAGGTCCTTGGGGGCTGTCATGGGCTGCATAGGCTGAGGGGTGGCGGGGGAGATTCTAGAACCCCAGGGTTCACCCTTGTGTAGGAGGCATCTGGAAGCCTTCTTGGTGGGGGCAATGGAGAAGGTAGGGAAGAGCCTTCCCAATTCCTTCTCCTCCCTCGAGCTGAGTCCTCTGGATGTCATGATTCAGTCCTAATAGTCTGGACCAGGAGGGTAACCGTGTGTGAATCAGGCTTGGCATAGGACAGTGGAGAGTAGGTGGCCTTGGGTGAGCTGGACAGCTTTTGTGCCACCTAAAACTTATGAGGGGGGACCAGAATCTGCATACAGCTGGCAACTGATTAGGAATCTGCCTTAGCTGGCTAGAAGCCAAATCTTTGGGCCACCTGATGACTTCAGCTTCTCTCCGGGATCTCTCAGGTGCTAAAGTGGGTGGAGTCAGCGATCCAGGCCTCCAAGGTGCACCTGCTGTCCACAGACCATGAGGGGGAAGGCGAGCACACATGGCGGATCCCCTTTGACCCCAGCCTGAAGGAGGTCACCATCTCACTGAGTGGGCCAGGGCCAGAGATTGAAGTCAGGGACCCACTGGGTATGTGCTGCCTCATCTTCGGACCTAAAACTGAGCAAGAAACCCAGGGTAGGACAAAGAAAGAGACCCAGTGTGGAAGGGGGTTCAGATCCAAGGCTCCAGGAATAAGGAGGGGTGACACCAAGTGGAGCAGAGAAGGTGACCCTGGTGGGGATCAAATGATGACAGCCTCTTGTCAGTTCTGGGAAGCCCGAGGCTGGTGCTTGGTGGGTATGTGTTCCTGGAGACCGGGTGGGGCCCCTGGCACCCCAGGAAAGGGTTGGGACTGAGCAGCACCCGGGACTTCCACAGGGAGGATCCTGCAGAAGGACGAGGGCCTCAATGTGCTGCTTAATATTCCTGACTCAGCCAAGGTTGTGGCCTTCAAGCCTGAGCATCCAGGGCTCTGGTCCATCAAGGTAGGGACCCTAGCTTGCAGGGGGTGGGGTTGGAGACCAGCTCCCTGCTGCCTCTCTGGGAGCCTGGGGTGTCTGTGGTGACGTTGGCATAGCAACAGGAGTGAGGGATCAAGAGCAGAGGAAAGACGTTCTCCTTTGCACCAGTGAGAGGGAGTAGAGCGCTCTGCGGTGAATTCGGGAACATTTGAGAAGGACTTGGAGAAACAAGTCCAGTGTTCCGGACTGGCTTGTGTTTCAGCACCATGCCTGTCCTGGGAAGAATGTGTAAATGAAGCAAGTGTGACTTTGGGGGATGGCTTAGAGTGACAGGGCTGGCAGGGGACCTGCTGTAAACTCTGCAATGTGCTGGGAACCAGGGATGGGGCAGACCGGGTCCTGACAGAGCATCCTGGAATGAAGTGGGCTGCTGCCTTGAAAGGGTGAGAGGGCACTTATTGGGCACCTACTGGAGCCAGGCACCGTGTCAGGTGCTGCAGAGGAAGGGGCTGAAGCTGTCTTTCCAGTTCTGTGCATCTGATGCTGCTGGGAAGGAGAGCCTGGGAGTTAGATATGCAGGGGTCTGGCAGGGCCTCCAGGTATTGGGGGAGAGCAGAAAGGCAGAGAAACCCCAAGAGTAAGGTTGGGGTGGTAAGATAAGCTGGGGCTTCTCCTTTGCCTGTGGACAAGGTAAGTTGCCCACATGTCTGCAAAGGAGGGAGAAGTACAGCTGCTGACCAGGTCAGGTGGGTGGCTCCTGCCCTGGAGCTGCAGTCCTGGGGTCAGATGCTCTGATGACATGGGTTGGGACCTGTGCTAGGTCTATAGCAGTGGCCGTCATTCAGTGAGAATCACGGGCATCAGCAACATTGACTTCCGAGCCGGCTTCTCTACACAGCCCTCCCTGGACCTCAACCACACCATCGAGTGGCCCTTGCAAGGTACCATGCCCTTGACCCTGTGGACAATACGAGTTACCCTCTGAAGAGACAGGGCTCGGCTTTGGGAGATGGCAGGAGGTTGGGGACGGGCCTGGTCGTGTGTGACCATGGAATGGGCCCCACGCAGGTGAAGCTGAGCCATCATCCCAGACCACTAAGTTCCAAGCCAGTGTGTTCTCCGTCAACCTCAGCCTAGGTGACATGGGCACACTTACCTTTAGAACATCCTCCAAGCCACCAGACTTAGAACACTGTCCCTTTCACCTCTTTTCCTTTCTTTGTATCAACACCTGCCTAGCTCCCACTCCCTCAGGTACCCAGTGGGCATTGTGCTAGTTGACTGAAGGAATAGGTGCCAGTGACCTGGTGGCTTGTCAGAAAGGAGAACATGCCTTACTCCAAAGGAGTGAATGTCCAGATAGAAATATGGACTCCCCTACAGCTGGTGGAGTCTGGAGTTGCCTGTGGGGATATTGAAGTCACAGATAGTTTTCCGACTGGAAGTCACCTGCTAGGGTGGATTTCATAAATCTACTTGGAGAGGCGGGGACCCTAGAGCAGTTAGGGACTTCTGGCTCAGGCTCCTGAGGTCTGTGCCAGAAAATACCATCTGGTGGCCGGGATCTCAAGTTAGTTTGGAAAATATGGTCCCTTGTCATGGGGCTATTCAAAGAATGTCGATGAGGTCAGCTTGGGAAAGAGGCTGGGAGGAGCCTGGGCCAGGTCAGATGACTCTGGTCCCTGAAGAGGGACTCAGAATGGTGTGCGCTAGTGCTTTAGGGAGTTCTTTCGAGTTTGCAGCTTCCTAGTGGGTATTATTCTGCTCGGTTCTCCTGCCAAGATCAACAGTAACATTTTCAGAATGAAAAGGGAGCTGTTAGCTCCTTCAGCCTTTGTTTTGTAAATGGCAGAAAGAGGGGAGGTGGGGAAACTGAGGCTGTTCTCTAAAGCTAGGAGAGAAAGGAAAGTCTAAATGTAGTGAAACCAAACTGTCTCCATGGTCAGTGCCCAGGAATAGTGGCTGCAGGAAGCCACATGGGACCCCCTTGGGTTCCTGCTCTCAGTAAAGATGTGGATGAAAGGCATTTTTTAAAAGAAGAGAAAAAGCACAGGAATTGTACCTACCAGTGATGAGCTTATACTCAATGCTGGGAACATTAGGACATGGGGGAGTCTGTGGCTAACTTAGACAGTGGACATCTGGACCACAGAAGCAACTACACACCCTACTGGCTGACTGCTGCAATGTGGGAATGAGGCTGGTATTGACCTGCTCAATTTCTAAAGGAGTCAGGAGTCTAGATTCTGATACACCCTTTCCTGACTGTTCCGTATTTCAGTAAGGCATTCCATGTACCACGCCAACCACACCCACAGGCTCCCAATTGCTCTCTCCGAGAGAATATGATGACTGTTTGAAAAAGGAGAGATCTGAACAAAAGTTCCAGGTGAAACCTGAGCCCGGTTCTGCATCTTCTGGGATAGTAGGACAAACATCACATTCTCATCAAGAGAGAAAAAATAGAAGCTGAGCAAGGGCAGAGGCTGGCTGAGTCAGAGAGGCCTCCAGCTAGCGTGTACACCCTGTCTGAGGTCATTCCCTGGAGCCTGTCTGATGACAGTCAACACCAGAGTTAAAAGGGCAGCCCACCCCACCAGGTTCTGTGGAGAAGGGGATGCAGCTGGCGGGAAGCATGGGCAGGATGCACAGTGGCATTTCAGGACCACGGACAGTAGCAAGGACCCTTCTCTCTCTCCCACCCTCAGCATTAGGCAGCACAGGGGTAGATAGAGAAGGTGGGGGAGTGGACGGAGGGCCATGCAGGCTGGGTCCCCGAAGCATGGTCCCAGAGCCCAACCTAGGTGCCAGCGCCTCATTCTTTGCCCTCCCTCCGCAGGGGTGCCCATCTCCCTGGTGATCAACTCTACGGGTCTGCAGGCACCCGGTCATCTTGACTCAGTGGAGCTCTCCCACAGCTCAGGGCGGCCCCTCCTGACTTTGCCCACACAGCCCCTCTCCAATGGATCCACCCATCAGCTGTGGGGTGGGCCACCCTTCCATGCTCCCCAGGAGCGCTTCTATCTCAAGGTGAAAGGCAAGGACCATGAAGAAAACACCTTCCTCCGTGTCTCTGGAGTTTCCTACAGTGGGGTGGCCCCAGGTGAGTGTTGACTCTTTTGTCCCCAGCTCCCTGGCTTGCCCAGAGCCTCATTTCTTCCTGGAAGCCTTTCCTGGTTAGATTAGATTAGGAAATTTTGATCATTAAGTTTGTGTGAATTTCTGTTCCCTGTAAGATGTCACGCTAAATACCGACATGCTTCAGATGTGGCCCTTCGCTCAAACATTTTAGTTCAAAGACATCCATCCATCCGTCCACCCACTTATCCAGCCAGCCAGCCAGCCAGCTAGCCAGTCAGCCAGCCAGCCAGCCAGCCAACCAGCCAGCCCCCATCCGTCCATCCATCCATCCATCTATCCATCCTCTACCTGTTCACCCAGCCATCTATCCATTTATTTATCCACCTACTCATTTATCCATTCCTCCATCTGTCTGTCCACCCAACATGCATTTTGAGATCTACTAAGTCTCAGTCATGGTGCTGGGCACTGTGGACACAGTAGCGGGCAGGGCAGACATGGGTATTTACTCTTTCGTAGTCACTACCACAATCACAAACTTGGGGATACTAATTCTAGTCACCATCTTGAACACTTTCCATGGGCCAATCCTGGACCAAGCACTGGTTCTGAGGTGTGTCCCTGTTTTGAAGTAGGCAGAGTGGCTGCCCCTCACTGAGGTCCCACACGGAAGTGCTGGGGTGTGAATGATAAGGAGACTGAGACCAGCCTCCCAGGGTGGCTGTACACGTGAGACAGCACCTGGGTTCTCAGAGGCCACACTCAGGTCATGGACCTGTGGACAAAGGGCTGTCCATGCTCGGTAGCTGCCGTTACTATTAAGCCACTGTAGGAACATACCATCTTGTCGTCCCATCTTGGGTCACGGTGTATGGCTTCCTGTATGTGTGGTCTTTGCCAGCTCCTATGTCCCTGAGGTCTTGCCCTCTAGACAGGAGGCTCCCTGGGCCAGAGTGGCATCTTTGGCTTCCTAGCTCTGCCTCTGATCTTCCTCACTGGGCTTCATTGTCTTCCTCCTGCTCACTGTCCCCCTTCCCCTGGTGGTCCCTGGATTTGGCCACAGCACCCCAGCACTTCTTTCTGGGGATCTCAGCAAGTGGCAGTCCCTCCATCTACTTCAAATAGGGGTGCAGGGAAGGAGGGAGAACAGCTCCTCAGGCTGCCCAAGGTGCCCATAGCGGGTGAAGGATTTGAGGACCCGGGTGGGGTGCTGGAGCCCCTCTTCCTCCAGCGTCCACTCCCTCCTTGCTTCCCAAGCCTCTCTGCCTTTGGCCTTTCCAGTTTTGAGGAGGAATTTCAGTGGGGGGATAATGCCCAATTTCCCCCCCTTTCAGAGGATTTAGGACTTATGAGTGTAGTTATGGACTTGGTCATCATCTTGGGTCCAGATGAAAGTGGGGTCAGGATTGATATGGTTAGAGTGTTTTCTTCTTTCCCCAATTCCAGATCTGAGGCCTGGGCATCTGCCTTAGAGCAAGTGGCTCTGGGTTTGGGGGTGGGGCTGGGATCCTTGGGTCCTTTAGCTCATGGAAGGGGAGCTGAGCTGGCTGGAAGAGGCTTCCAGCATGCGTGGGAGCAGCGTCCACTGTGCATACAGTGAGGACGTGGCTGGCTGTCCAACACCTCTCTCCCAGGGGATATGGCAGGCAGCCTGGAGCACGATGTCATTGGCCGCCCTCCTCGCCCCCAGCTCATGCTCGAAGGAGGTCTGGTGCATTGTCTCACCCTCAGAGCATCTCACTGGCCTCCTCTCTGCTCTGGTGGGGACAGGAAGAGGGCAGCTGGTGGGCTGAGTGCTCACTCAGGCTCACCAGTGCCCATGGGCAGTGGCTGACCCTTCTGGGAAGGTTCTCAGACTTCTCTACTGAAGCAATTCCAAGTGTCAGGGAAAGAGAATGCCCCACCCGGAGACCACAGTCGGGAGAGGGGGTAGTGGTGTCTGATAAGGGGCCCCAAGAGGCCCATCACACGCTGTGAGATTTCAGTAAAGTCTTGTTTTATCTCAAAAATGTGTTTGAATTTTGCATTCACAGCCATCTTCCCGCTGTGCTTATTTTTAAATGGAAAGACTTCCCTCCAACAAATTTGGGCAAAACTGACCCTCCAGATAAAGGAGTGATTGCACAGCTCCACCCACATCCCTGGGGAGCCCCATCCAGTCTGGGTAGCATTTCATCAGACTGATGAAATGGTCCCACACATTGAGACAATGGTGTGCCGAGTGGGGCGGGGCTGGCCCATCCTGGCCGGTCTGGTGTTAAATAACTCCTTAAGCCATGGAAGTCACTGATGGAGCTTTCAGTCCATGTTTGTAACACCAAGTGCTTTCTAAGTGACACTGCTCAGAACAACACCGTGTAGCCAGAGGCCATGAGCCAACCCCCCCCCCCCCACCAATTTTGCAGAGATGGAAACTGAGGCTTAGGTAAAGTGATCTGCATTTGGTGACCACTGAATGTGGAACCAGGCGTTGGATCCAGGCAGACCTCCAGCTCCTTTCATTCCCGTGACTCTGTGTTGCTGGGTGTGCCGGGATCAGGCTGTGAGGGCAGCAGGGAGGGATTCTGAACACTGTCCTTGCCCATAGGCGCCCCTCTGGTCAGTATGTCCCCCAGGATCCATGGCTACCTGCACCAGCCCCTGCTGGTCTCATGCTCTGTGCACAGCGCCCTCCCCTTCCGGCTGCAGCTATGGCGGGATGGAACCAGGCTGGGCGAGGAACGGCACCTTCAGTGAGTGATCAATGGCCAGGATATTATTCCTGGCCACCTAGAGAGATCTCAGAGAGTGGGTGGCGGGAGAGGGAATTTGGTCTTGGTCACATTGTCTTGCTGGGCAGCCAAGCCTGGGGACCTGCAGCATGCTAGGGGTAGGGGACAATGAGTCTCCTGAGACACCACCCTCCTGACTACCACCTGGCCATCACTGGCTCCTGGAAAACTCAGTCCCTGGTGCCCAGCTCTGGGGTCAGGACAGGAAGGACCTCCCAGGCCTTCCCTTATGGGTGGGAGTCCAGAATTCAGAGAGGGCCAGGGGCTTTCTCAGGTTCACCGCATGTCGTAGTTTGCCTGAGTGAGGACAGGTGGTCTCTGAGCAGGACTTGGAGGCTCCCTGGGGCTGGCTGAGGCTGGGCACCCTTCCTGGGGTCAGTGTGACCACTTCTGGGAGTTCTTTGCAGGGCATCGGGAAACAGCAGCTGGGAGATCCCACGGGCCTCCAAGGTGGAGGAAGGCTCATATGAGTGCACGGCAGTCAGCAGGGCTGGCACTGGACGAGCAAAGGCCCAGGTTGTGGTCACAGGTCAGTTCCTGGGCCCTCCATGTTGCCCCTCCCCGACCTGGCTTCTCCTTCCAAATTTCCTCCCAGTGACTCCCCATCCACGAGGCAGGACACTGGCTAGCCAGCATCTGGGGACAGTTCCTCACCCAGAACATATACCCCTCTGCTTGCTGATCAGGCTTGGGGCTGTCACCCAGCACTGGCCTGTAGGTCTTGGGTGGAGAGGGGGCTTGGGTCACCCCATCCTGTCTGGCCTTAGTTCCACACTGCTTTTTTGGTCTGGCCTTTTTGGCTTGACCAGTCCCAGGTTCTTTCAGGACCACTGCATCTGTTGCAATCCCCATCCTTGAATGTGTTCGGGTCCCTTCGAGGATGGCACCAAGCTCAGAAAGATTAGAAATTCCACAGAGCATCTCAAAAGGAAATTGGTTTCATGTTTTACAATTATGAGTCTAAACTGTCTTGAAGAGCTAAAAAGAAACAATTTGACAACTGTACATTTGATTTTAAGGTTACTCTGGTTTCTGGTGGGAAGTCCAGAAAAACGCAAACATGCAAAGTGATGAGAAAGTATGCAAGCCCTCTTCTAGCATTTTGACCTTTCCTGTGTCTTCATTTGAACAAATTGAGTCACATAGAGGCCTTCAACAACCTAATTCTTAACATCTAACAAGGTGGCAAGTCAGCAGCTCCGTCTTGCTGGCGTTAATGAAACTGGCCTTGTAAACGAGGCGTTCAGGAACACAGGACAGGATAAGGAAACTCCTCTACCTCTTCCTTAGACAGTTGCTAATATTTAGGTGCAGTTACCTTTTCTCTTTTTTGCTAACATATTTTAAACTAAATTATAGTTCTCCTGACATTTCAGCACATATCCCTAAAATAAAAGAAGATTGTCTTATAAAGTTTCTGAGATCACACCTAGCAAAATCAGAAGTATCACCTTAACACTATTTAATTTTGTCTATAGTCTAGTTTCTCCACTGGTCCCCAGGTGTCACTGCTCCTTGGTTTCTGTACCATCGTTTCAGGGGCTGCAGGGCTGCGAGGCGCTTCCCAAGCTTTCGGATATCACCGTCATTGGCGTGTGTGTTCTGCTTAGGGTCCATTCTTTCCCCCAGGAGCTCAGACCTTTGTGCCTGTTAGGCTTTCTCTGATCCGTCATGGCTGTGTGCTGTACAGATAGCAGTGGATTTGGCTGTCCCCTCCTTTTGGGAAGCGTCTTATTTCTGCATTTGGCTGCTGTAAGCAGCTCTGCTATGGGCACTGAAAATAGTTCTGAGCGCATTTCTTGTGCCGCTGGCAGGCTCTTCTCATGCCTTTATTCCCTGGGGTGAGATTACTAGATCAGAGGGTGTGAAGATTCTGGGGCTCGTTCAGTCTGTGGTTGGCTGTGGTTTGTGAATGCGTGCATGATTGTACCCCTCTGAGGGGATCGATGGCTGTGGAGGATGAGCATTTGTCCCCTGGGGCAGGGTGTCCCAGGATGGAGAGAGATGCTGGTTAAGAGCTTTGCAGGCCCATGCGTCCCCAGAGATAAGGTGATAGCTGTCTTCTGCCTCAGCCCCTCAGGCTCTCCTGTGCTCCTGTCCCCACAGACCCTCCACCACAGCTGGTCCCTGGCCCCAGTGTGACTGTGTCCCCGGGAGAGACTGCCATCCTGTCCTGCCAAGTCCTGGGTGAAGCCCCCTACAACCTGACATGGGTCCGGGACTGGCGAGTCCTGCCAGCCTCGGAGGGCCGAGCCACCCAGCTGGCCAACCTGTCCCTGGAGATCAGAGGCATCATCCCCAGTGATGGCGGGCAGTACCAGTGTGTGGTCAGCAACACCAATGGGGTCACAAGGGCGTCCACCTGGCTCCTAGTGCGAGGTGAGGCTCTTCCTGCCACTGCTGTCTCCTCTCCAGTTCAACAGTCTAGCATTTACCCAGGGAGCCATGAGCCCATCCCTCTGCTAAGACATGAGCTCTGGCAAGCAACCGTTCATCGTATATCTAACCTAAGTGTCTAGTGCTGTAGTCCAAGCCAATCTCACAGTGTCTTGTCTCTTTTCCATGCCATCAAGCCCCTCCATTTTCTACCCTCCCCCCCATACCTCAAAACCTAGGTCAGGGACTGGATGCTGGAGCTGTGTGAAAGCTCAAAGATCAGATGTGTTTGGTACAGATTGGGTGGCAGGAAGTAGATGGGGCACTAGACAAAGCAGAGGAAAGAGCATGTCTGGGAGTTTCAAGACCTGGGTGTAGCCTGGGTTTCCCAGAACTTAAATGGGTCCTCCTTTCTTGTGCCAGCAACTCCTGATTGGCTGCCTGCTGAGCAGGATTCAGAAGCACTGTCTAGACTCTGCAGGGAGGAGATTTGATTAGTTATGTCTGCTATGGGCGAAGGAGGGGTGTGTTTGCCTTTCTAGAGGAGCTGGTCCAAAAGCTGAGTTTCAGCCTCACAAGTCTGTTGCCAGGGGCCAGGATGGAACCTAAGTTTGGAGCTATTATAGGGCAGGCCTTGGGGTCCACTTTGGGGTCACTGGACACAAGATGGTCTCCAATGCTGGTAGCTGTCTGACACCTGATTCCCCAACCCCAGGTGCTCAGCCCAAACCAATGTCGCCACACTGGGAGGCTCCCAGGATGATGGCATCCCAGGGGGGTGCTGGGCAGCCACCTGGTCTCCCCAGTTCCCAGGGAAGCTGCCTGGGGGAGTCCAGCCCTTTGAGGAATTTGCTTCCTCTGGGAAGGATGCTGGGAGGGGTGGGACATGGGGCTGGGTACCTGGATCAGCCTGATGGCCTCATCCCCTCTGCCACTCCTTGGGCTGCAGAGACTCCAAAGGTCAGCATTGATACCAGGTCCCAGCGCTTCTCCCAGGGCATGGAGGTGAAGGTCAGCTGCTCAGCCACAGGGTACCCTGCACCCCATATCTCCTGGAGCCGTGAGGGCCTTGCCCTGCAAGAAGATAGCAGGTGAGGGCCTGGGACACAGAGCTCTGAGCTGGCGGTAGGTGGGTGAGGATTCCTAGGGGACCCTGTCTGGGAGAGTAAAGGAGAGTGATGTTTGCCCTGCCTCTGTCATTCAGGCCGTGTGATCTCAGGCAAGTCACCTTACCTCTCTGAGCCTCTTGAGCTAAAAAGAGATAATGTACATACAGTGCTTAGCCCACAGCCAGACCCAGAGCTGGCTGCTAGTGTAGAATGGCTGTCACTAGTGATAACTTGTTGTTGATGATGACACTGTGGAGCCACCACCCCCATGTGACCTGATGTCTTTATGAAACAACTCCAGAATCCATGTGGATACCCAGGGAACCCTAATCATTCAGGGCGTGGCCCCAGAGGATGCTGGGAATTACAGCTGCCAGGCTGCTAATGAAATGGGCACAGATGAGGAGACTGTCACCCTCTACTATACAGGTACCAGAACTGCTGAGTCTGCAGGACAGACACTTCTCTCCCTTCCACCCACAAACATTGGGCACTTGCTGTATGCCAGGCCCTCGGGATACAGCTCTGAGCACATGGTCCCTGACTAGTGAGACTTATATTCTGGTGGGGAGGCACAAAACAACCTGCTGATAAGTAACTAAGGTGCTTTATAAGATGAAGGAATGCACCACAAGGAACAGAGAGCAGGTGCCTGGTAGGTGGAGGTGAGGACTCTCTGGGGAGAGGCGGCCACCTATGGGAACAGCACTGCAGGCAGTACGACCTGGCAGGGCAAAGGCCCTGGGGTGGGAATGAGCGTGGGTTGCTCAGAGACCAAGAGGATGCAGGGTGGAGTGCATGGGGCAGGTCGGGATGGGGGAGAAGAACCCCAAAGCTAGGACAGGCCTGGCTCAAGGGCACCGTGGAGGTCTGGCTTACGCGTTTCCTGCCCACACAGATCCCCCATCTGCCTCTGCTGTAAATGCTGTGATGCTCACTGCTGTCGGGGAGGAGGCTATGCTGGCGTGTGCAGTGTCTGGGGTCCCCCCACCCCGAGTCATCTGGTATCGAGGTGTGTTGGGTGGGGACAGCAGCCTGGGGATCCTGAGGATCTGCTTTCCAGAGAAGTCACTGGTGGGTGGGGACTACTACTGGGGACCTGGGAGGAGCTGGCTTGTTCCAGAAGCTCATATGGGGTAAGAGCCACAGTGAGTCAGACCCAGGTTAGCATTTGGCTCCCCTGGGCCTCGTAACTTAGCACCTCTGAGCCTTAGTTTCCTCATCTAGAAAATGGGGAAATCAATGATAGTTACTTGTGTGAACTGAGTCCTTAGATACAGTGTTAGAACAAGCCTGGCCTACGAACTGTGCTCCTTGTGCCTATGACAGTGACAGTGGTGATGTGTGGAGGACAAGTATCAGGGTCGCTCTGAGGGAGAGATGGGTGTTTCCACAGCACCCTGTAAGATGAGTGTGATGGGGTCCTGGGGCTGTTGTCCCAGCTTTGCCTGGGTCCTTAAGGTCAGCCAGGGTTCCCACAGCCCTCTCACCGGGTTGCACTCCACCTACTTTCTAGGATCTGCTCAGAGCCTCACCTGCACTCTGAGCCAGGCAGGACAGACAGCCTTGGCCATGCGTTATGCTGAGGGGCCCTGGCTTGCGGGTGGCAGAGGTTTCCAGATGCTTGGCTTAGTGTTGGTGACCCTGCATGTTTTGGCTAAAGCCTCCTCACCCTGCCCAGAGTCGCTTTTTAAGACCATGAGAACATTATGTTGAGTGACAGAAGCCAGTCCCCACAGCACAACACAGTAGGGTTCGTTTATGTGAGGTCCCGAGAGCAGTGCGAACCACAGAGATGGAAAGGTGATGGAGGTGGCAGGGGCTTGTGGGGATGGGCATCAGGTCAGGGTTTAATGGGGACTAAGTTTCAGTTGAGGAAGACGAAAGGTTCGGTGTGATGGGTGCATGCACAACAACGAGAATTGCTTAACACCACAGAGCTGTGCTTGGAAATGGTCCCGATGGCAAGGTTTATGTATACTTTATCACACTTAAATATTGAAAATTCAATCTAGTTTAAAAGCGGTATCAAAGCCAGGCGTATTTGTGCACACACAGAATCCCAGCATTCAGGAGCCTGAGGCAGAAAGATAGAAGTTTGAGGCCATCCTGAGTGACATAGAGACCCCATCTCAAATAATAAATAAATGGTATCAGAATCTCAGGCCTCAGGAGCTTCAGAGTGGTCATCAGGATGAATGTCAGGGAGGCAGGTGGTGGGGGTGGAGGGTGAGGTCACTCAGGGCTCTTCAGCCCGTCTAAGAGCAGATGCAGCCTTACTGGGACCTGGCAGAGAGAGGGGCCCAGTGAGGAGGCTCAGCTCCAGAATCCTTGGGCTTGAGCCAAGGCTCAGTGTTATGCAGAGAGGCTGGCAGACCCCAGCCCTGGTCAACAGAGGTATTCAGGGATGACTCAGCCCCTGACAGGACTGGACCCAGAAGTCCTGGCTTTGGGTGCACCACCTCTACCCACTCCTTCCCAGCTTATGGAGACATAGGAGCCCAGAGTCAAGAAAGCTTCAACAGCCCGAGACCCTGGCATCCATTGCAACCAAGGGCCTCAACCCCTTTCCATCTTTGGTACAGGGGGTCTGGAAATTCTGGCCCCTGAGGCCTCCAGTGCTGAGACACTGAAGATCCCTGTGGTTCAGGAGAGGGACACGGGCGTCTACACCTGTCGAGCTGTCAATGAGCTGGGTGAGGCCTCCGCAGAGATCCAGTTGGAGGTTGGACGTAAGTGCATATTTGATCTCCGGCCCCTGCCCTTTTCCCCCTTCCCTGCCCCCCTTCTCCCCTTCCTAGCCCCTTGCCCTGCCTCCAAGCAGGGAGGGAGCACTCTGCGACATGACTAGTGTGGAATTCACACCACGTCATTCCAGAACAGCTGAACAGAGGGGACGAAGAAGTGTTGGGAGGGAACACCCTTGGGGCACCCCAGGCTGCATGCAGTATTTCTTGCTAAGAAACAGATTGCCCCAAAACCTTGTGGCTTAAACAATAATCATTTTTTAAAATTGAACAATTGGAGAGTGATGTGGCCTGGGCAATTCTGGCTAGGGTCTGTCACATGACTTCAGTGGATGTGTTAGCTGTCTTTTGTATTCTCAAGGCTGACCTAGGGTTAGGTAGTCTGCTCCAAGGTCACTCCCATGGCTGTAGGCTTCTGTCCCTCACCAGGTGACTTCTCCAGGGAGCTTCTCATGATGTGACTTTCCCCAGAGCAAGTAAGCTTCAGAGAGAGAAAGGAGAGAAAGAGAGAAGAGAGGAGAGGAGGGGAGGGGAGAGAGATAGGGGAGAAGAGAAGGTAAGAAAAGAGAAGGAAAAAGGGCACCCAGCATGGAACCCACAGTTCTTGTAACCACCCATTCTTGGGAATAACATCCCATGATGTCCTCCATATTCTGTGGGTCACATAGGCCAAGCCTGGGGCAGTGTGGGTAGGAATCACCCAAGGGCTGGAACAGCAGGTGACTGTGATTGGCCATCTTGCAACCCCCTACAGAGACGGTTTAGTTTAAAGCTTGAGCTGAGAACTCAATTCATCACTGAGACCTGAGTTCCAGCCTTGTTCTGTCACTTACGACCTGTGTGCTTCAGTGGGGTCTTGGAGCCTCGGTTTCCCTATCTGTAAAGTGTGGTAACTTTCCACTTCCCTCCCTGCACTTCCATGATGGTTAACGATGTCTGGCACATGGCATTCAGCACAAGTTGCTAGAAGAACAGAGGGGTGATGATATTTTGCAGATGGGGACTCTGGGTTCTTCTAGTGCGTGGTCTTGGCTTGATCTCTACAGTGTCTAAGTGCCAAGCCTGGATTCCAGGACTTGGGACTTGCTCAGAAGCCATGGGCACAATTCCTTGGCACACTGAGCTGGGACAGATCAGCCATGGTGAGGGACAGGTGCTGGAAGGCCTAGGACAGTATGGAGAATTGAGAATGTGCTAGTTTGGGATGGGTGGACCCGGATGGGCAGGGACTGGGTGGTATGGACAAGCGGTTCTCCAGGAGGCCAGGGTCCTGGCGGGAGCAGGCAGAGTTTGGAGGGTCTAGCCCTGGAGGAGATGGTACCATTTCAGGGTTGGGATCCTCCATCACTTGGGGTACTTTTGCCCTTCATTCATTCATTTGGTTCCTTATTCATTCCTCCAGCATGGTCACCAGGTGCCCGTGTGCCAGACCCTGTTGCCTTGGGGACATAATGGCAGGCAAGACACAGCATCTGCCTTGATGTTGCTCACGGGGTCAAGGAGAGAGCACAGAAAACAGGCAGTTAGATTACTGTGCACCGAGCATCTAGAGGTGGATATGCAGGGGCTGAGACCCAGAGTATAGGGGCTGGGAAGGCTTCCTGGAGGAGGCAAAGCCCATGCTGAAACTGGAAGTAAAAAAAAACAAGTGAAGAGCTGGGGAACAGTGTTCTAGACAGAGGGAAAGTGTGGGCAAAACTCCATAAGGCAAGAGAATTGAGGCAGAGAATGAGATGCAGACAGGGTAGGGAGGGGAGATGACAGCTGCCACCTGTTACAGGTGACCCTGGCCTGGGGAGCTGCCTCAGAGTTTGGGCTTTGTCCTGGGGGAGAGTGAGTGGTTGCAGAGAGGAGGACAGTGGGTTCAGACTGGCCTTCGAGTGGGGCGGGGCGGGGAGTATGCTGATGACAGTAATACTCATACACTGACACTTCCGCTGTGCTTTCGAGCTCTAAGCACCTTTGTGACCCCTGGAGGTGGGGTCTTCATTCTTCCCTTGACAGCTAGGGAAAATGAGGCATAGGGAGGTTGAGTGGCTTGTCCCAAGACCACACAGCTGATGAAGAAAGCCAAGCGCTCACCAGCAGGGTGAGTGTAACCATCCATCCTTCCCTGAACTCTGGGCTCCTCGTCGGCAAGATGTCTCTGAGATGTGTGAGTTAGGGACAAGGAAGGCCTGTGACCTGAAGCCACAGTCACTGCTTTTGCTGGAAGGTTCTGAGTGAGCAGAGGAGCTGGAGGAGGGCTCCTTGGCATTTCTGAGGGTGGCCAGCCTCTGCTCCACATCTGACTTCTTTTCAGCACAGCCTTGTTTCTTTGATGTCCAGGCTGGTGTGCCCATCTGGCCCTGTTCCTTTGCCTATTTACTGTTGGCTCTGGAACCTCCTCCCCATGTCAGAAGGAGGAGGGGCTGGCACCTGGAGCAAAGGCGGGGACAGGGATGGAGAATGGCCTGGCAACTGTGGGTCTAGGGTGAGCCAGCCTGGCAGTAGTGATAGTGGGAAATCAAATTTCCTGCCCATCTGGGCAGCAGCTGTGGTCCAGCCTTCCTGGCCAGGTTGGCAGAGGCCGGGAATGGGTAGGCACTGTGCCCACTTCAATTTGATTCATGGTATTGGGACCCACGAGGAAAGGTGGTCTCCCCTTGTGCTGGTACTTGCGGAGCAGCCTGCAATTCTCAATCCTCCCTCCCCATTTTTTTTTCATTTGGGGCTGGGTATTAAACCTAGGACTTTGCACATACTGAACAAGTGCTCTGCCACTGAGCCACATGTCCCCAGAAGGCACTTTTGAGCCACCTTCTGGGCCTGGTAGTTGCAAGTCAAGAGTCCTGGATGCTTCTCGGACTGAACGCGCCTTGAGCCTTGCTTCCCTCTGTGCAGTGGGGATGGTCGTGCTACAGTCTTGGCCGTGGTCCTTCACAGGCTTACCGAGTCCATGGGGTTGGCTCAGAGCTCACGTGGAATATGTGACGAGTGCCATGTGGGTTGACAAAGGCTCAGGGACGTGGGTGGCTTTCCATGTGACTGTGCCCTGCTTCTTATTCCCAACTAGAAGTTTCTAGTTGTCGGGTAGATGATCTGGGTGTGCTTTTGTGGGCACCAAAAACTCTCTAGCTAGCCTGCGGGGACGTGGAGAAGCCAACTGGGCTCTGTGGCAGCTGTGGCTGGTTTTAGGATGCTGTCTCTAGCAGGTACAGTGGGCACGAAGGTGGGGAGAGACCCTCAATACCAGGAAAATGTCCTAATTTTAATTTCTTTTAGTATCCGAAGAAAAAAGAATAATAGTGAATAGGGAAAGATGGATCTAGCCAGGATCGGATGTGGTTTTGTACCAGCATATTGTATACTTTTAATCATCCCAGGGCCAGCTCAGGGCCAAGCAGAGGAATCTGTGTATAGGGAAGTCATTGTGAGTCCTCGGGTGGGACTCTGTGACCATCCCATTCCCTAGTCCCCAGCTCCATGACAGCTCCTCCACCAGCCCCCAGGGCTTCCCCCAGGGTTACCTTTGTCCGTCTGCGCAGTCTTCAGACCTGACCAGAGCTCTTGTCTCCTGACCAAACTAAGTCAGGGCTCTGCTCCTCTGCACCTGCCTGTCCCCACAGGGCACTGGGCAGTAATGAGGAGCCAAGGGATTTAAAGGACTAGAGCCAGGGTGAAGTTAAGAGGGGAAATCGAGGCCCAGATTGGCAAAGGGCTTCAGTCTTGAAGCCATCGTCCAGTGGGGTCGATGCAGCAGGAGCCTGCCCAGGCTTTTGGACTCAGGCCCGTGTTCCTTGGTCACCAGGTGACAGAGGAACTACATCCTCACCATTGTCACTTCAGTGTGTCCTTTAGCATGATGGGGGCTTTTCCCTGTAGAAAATCCCAGGGAGGGAGAGGGAGAGGAGTGTGGCTGACCAGCTGGGGCTGGTCACCTCCAGTGCTCTGAAGAGGCCTCCTGTGGCTAAAGCAGCCTCCCTGACAAGTAGGACCCTGTCTGTCCTCTGTCCTCTGCCCCCACCAGGCACTTGACAAGCAGTCCTGCCTCTCTCCCTCCCTTCCTTTCCTCCCAGCAACTCTGGGGGACAGGCCTGCCTGTTGCTGGTCGGGTCCCTGTGGCCTCAGGGCAGCCTGGTAGTGGGGTTTTCGTGCATAGGAGACAGAGTTGGAGGCAGCTGGCAGTGATGGACTCACAAGGCCTGACTTTGTCCTCATGCCCCTGGAAGCCCAGGAGCATGTCTTGTCACTCTGGCTATCGTGATGAAGTGCCACAGACCGGGCACTTGCCCAGCAGACATTTGTTTCTCACGGTGTGGGAGCCTGGAAGCCGGAGGCCAGAGGCCAGGGTCCCCACGTAGTAGCCATGTCTGTGAGGAGGCAGCCGGTGCCTTGTCCCTGTGTCCTTATGTGGCCTGTCCTTGGTGCAGAGAGGAAATGAACTCCCTGAGGTCTTTCCTAAGGCCCCCTGTGATGGGCGCCCCACCCTCACCACCTTATCTAAATCTAATTCTGCCTAAGACCCCATCTCCAATGCCATCACCTTGGGGTTAGGGCTTTGACATATGAACCCTGGGTACACAGTACAGCCATGGCAGTTAAGGTTTAAGCAGGGGGAGCCAGGCTCTGCCTTGCATCCTGGGAAGACCCTCCTGGTACTGTGGTGAAGGCTCTGAGATGGGCTTGAAGGTGGGAGAGTGGCTAGAGGAATGCTTGCCATGGCTGAGCTAAAGGAGAAGTGAGGGGAATGAGGACAAGGAAGAAGTCATGGCTGTGACAGGGAGGATACTTATTACTCTCTCCCAGGCTGGTGGCCAGTGTTCCTCAGCAAGCCTTTCTCCATCCTGGGTATTCCAGGTTCCCCACACGGCCCTTCTTCCCACAAGCAGGTATTGCACCTGCTGCTGACAAGAGGCCTTTCCAGAGCATCCTGGTGGCTGCCGACCATGTCCCCCCATCTTTGGGTATCTGAGGCTCCTGCCCTGCCTGTAACCTGCCCAACCAAGGCCAAGGCAGAAAGAGCCACTCCTAGGGAAATAAGGTGGTGATGGAGACTGCCAATTTCTGGGCTGCTGTGGTGGAGTCAGTTGGGAGTCTGCATGGTAGGCACTGGCACTGGAAATCAGAGGTAGCCAGGCCCTTAGATGAAGCCTTGGGAAGGGCTGGGCATCTCTGGCCCCTTCCCAACATGCTGCAGGAGTCAGGTCCAGCCTCCCACCTGCACAGCAAGGGACTGGGCCAAAGGATCTTCAGTTGAGGTACTTGTCAAGGGCTCTGGGGTCCCACCTTATTTGGGGGAGCTCTAGGAAGGTAGGGATTGCAGTTTGCTGAGTGGGGTCCAGGGTGGGCAGCCAAGTGTAGATTTTGGCTGTGTAAAGATTGACCCTGCAAGACTGAAGAAGTAGCCGTGGCTCAGATATCCATCAGATTGTCCCTGATCACCTAGGGGGTCACAAGGGTGGGCGGAAAGCCTGGGCTCTGTCCCCAGTTCTGCCATCCACTTGGAACTGGCTCCTCAGTTTCTCTGGCTTTCAGTTTCCTTGTCTGTAAAATGGAGATTGTGACAGTACCATGGCGTTTATTGAGTCTATCAGTGAAGTCATGTTTCTGAAAGTACTTTCTCCAGGCGTAGTGTGGATGCTAAATACCACCCTTCATACTTAACCTTGCTTGGCATTATAAGTGAGCCAACTGGGAAAGGGATAGAAGAGAGTCAGGGGGCAAAGGTGGCTGTTTTGGGGCTAAGGAGGGAAGGGGATGGAAAAGCAGCCCCAGAGGGAGCAGACCTGAGGCCTGCTTGGAGAAGGCTACATATGGACCCTGCTAAAGAGGGTGCTGGGGGAGGCAGGTTTGGGGTACCTGAGGCTGAGCCTATGAGGGAATGGCAAAGAGCTGGACTCCAGTGGCTGGAGCTTGGCACGAACGGTGACCCTATCTGGGTCAAGCCTGAGCAAGGCTCTCTCGCTTCTGGGCTTCAGTGGCTGCCAGGCCCCAGTGAGGAAGGGTGGCGTCTGAGACTGGTTGGAGATGTCCTTCCTCCTCCTGGTAATTTTCCGACTTGTGTTTGTATCTGCTTGGAACTTCCCTAATCCCCAAGGCTAGGAGGGAAATTTGATGTCATAATTTGGATGAGTGAGGGAGAGTTCTGGAGAGAGACAGATCTAACAAAGAAGAGGCGGCTTTTCCAATCCACTGGGCTCAAGCAGTTCACAAAAGGCCAGGGACCTCCCTGGTGAGTGGGCACAGGGACAGGGGACAGGGGGCAGGACAGTGTCCAGGCTGCAGAAGGGAAGGCAGGAGCATCTAGGGTTGGACCCGCTCCTGGTCTGCTGAAGGACAGAGAGGACCTTGGGTTTCTATTTGGGGAAATAATTTGTCTTCTTCCCCCATCCCCACCCCGATTATAATCAAACAGCCTTGAGAAGGGCGTGGGATTTGGAGAGTGTGGAGTGAGTGTCGGCAGTTCCCATCCCTGTGCGTTGTTTGGATTTTTTCATGGCCCAGGTGACCAGAAAGTCCTTATCTAAGCCTATCATCCTGGTGTAACTGTTAATACGGCCACATCATTTATAACAGGCAAGTTTTAATTTGGGGGTGTTTTAACATGCTTGTTTCAAAAAAGTTCAGCAAATAGGGAAAGATGGAAGAGAGAGTGTGGATGACTTGTGACCCCATAAAAGTGGAGTTTTGGGGTGGCTTAAAATAGATGGGGCAATGGAAATGGGGAGGTGACAGGGCTCCTTGGCCTTGTCCTTCCTCCACACTGGCCCAGCCAGTGAATCCAGGACCCCTGGGAGGAAGCTCTTAGGGCCCAGGAGAAGGTGAGGTAGAGGTGGGGAGTCTGGGAGGCAGTGAGGCTCATGCTCAGCCAGGGTGAGCCCTGACCCCGGTCAGCCACGTCTCCATCACACTCAGCCACACACTCGTCCCTGTGGCTGGAGGGTCCCTTGCAGGGTGTCGCAGCCAGGAGCAGGCATGTTGCTGCCCTGCATGACTGTCAGAAAACAAGGTCACTGAGACGCCACGAGGGTACAAGATACATTGGTGGCCATGATCCCGCAAAAGTCTCCCTTTGCCTCATTCCAGGAACTCTCTAGAGATACACCCTGCTAGGCTCAGGTTGGCCCTGGAGCCCTGGGCAGGAGTCCCTCCACAGTTATGGGATGAGGCTGGAAGAGGGGCCCTCCCTGCGATGAGAGGGGAAGAGGGAACAGGCTCTGGGTCCCAGCTCGTGAGTCCTTGCAGACTCGTTGCCTCCCCACAGACGCGCCACGGCTGACGGAGCTGCCCCAGGATGTCACTGTGGAGCTGGGCAAGAAGGCCTTCCTGGCTTGCCGGGCCACGGGCCGTCCACCCCCAACGGTCACCTGGCGTCGTGGAGATGGCCAACCCATGCGGCTGGCACAGGGCAGTAGGACCAGGCAGCGGGACTTGGGAGTGCTGCTCTTTGAAAGTAAGTGATTAGGGCTGGGGTGGGCTGGGTTGGGAGACAGGTCAGGTGGATGGAGCAGGACCCTGGTCCCAGCACTGACCATGGGTCAAGTTGATGCTGGGTCCGTTTTGTCTGGGTGACTCTGGCCAATTCATTCCACACCCTAAATGTGGTCTTAATCATGGCAATGGGAAACCCACCTCAACGACAGGCACACGTTACAGGGATGCTCGTGGGTGACACGAAAGGCTTGGCACTCATGGTTCTGTACGTGTAAGCCTGGCAGTCATGGTTCTGTAAGTGTAAGCCGTTATCACTCTCATAGTCACTTCTGCTACCATGTGCCATGTGCCAGGTTTGACTCCGGGTGCTTTCTGTACATGTCATCTCCCATCCACACATGTACAGGTATCGATCGGTCATCTCTGAGGCCTTCTCACCCTTCCAAGGCCCAGATGTGTCCCCTCACTCTCTGCTCTAACACCCCAGACCTCCTTGTGAACCTGGGGAGCTGGAGCCCAGGGGTCCTGGCAGTCAGGCCTCTTTCCTGCCCTCAGGTGTGGCCCCTGAAGACCAAGCCTTGTATGTCTGTGAAGCTCGAAATGTCTTTGGGAAGGCCCAGGCCCAGACCCAGCTCATCGTCACTGGACATGGTTTGCTGATGGATCTGAGAGCTGTGGGAGGGGGGAGGCAGGTGCTCTCAGGGACACAGCTAGGCCTTGGGCACCCACGGAGGCCCCTTATGGACACAGCGTCCTTTGGGCCAGCTGTGTCTCTAGCTAGGTCCTCTAAGAGGAGCATTTGTATCCTGTGTCCTAGGTAGTGTCCGGGGTCGACTTTTGGCCCTGTAGGATCCTGGTGTGTCTTCTGGTTTCCTGGAGAGGGGGAGGCAGTGGGTCTCTGTACCCCTGATGGCCACTCACAGAGAATCTATTGTGGTTGACCCTGTCTCCTCTCCCCATAGTCCCCCCACAGATCGCCAGTAGTGCCTCCATTGTCCGGGTCCTGGAGGGGCAGCCTGTGTCCCTGCCCTGTGTCATCCTGGCTGGGAGGCCCCTCCCCAAGAGGCACTGGCTCAAGGCTGGCCGGCCGGTGAGTGAGGGTCTCCTCCAGGGGCTGAGGGTAGTGGCACCCAGGGATGAATGTCATATCCACACCTCAGTCTCTGCTTTGCTGTCCCCTGTTTTGGAATGTCCTCTTCCTCTCTGACCTTCCTACCTCATCCCCAAAACCTCTGACAACTTGCTGTCAGCATTTGTGTCCTGACTTCCTGCCTACGATTGTCCTGGTTGCTGCTCCCCTGGGGCTCAGCAGGAGAATCTGGGGACCAGGAATCCCATGATGCTTTCGTCACCCTCGCTCCGATGATGGAGTGGGCTGCCAGCCCAGCCCAGTCCGGCCCCCAGTAGTGTGTGGCTGCACACACAGTGGCTGGTTCATCCATTTGTACTAATCGAGCTCTGTGCTGTCTGCTCACTCCCTGCACCTGCCAACCTGCCTTTTCTCTTAGGCTCTTCTGTCCATCCTCAGACACTCCAGGCCCCGGGGCCAGCAAGGCTATCAAGGGTGCCCTCACCCATGTTCACTGAAAGCATCAGCAGAGACCAGAATGAGGGGCCTGCCGGGAGGCCGTGGTGCTTGGCTGTGTTTCCCTACCTGCTGCCCTGGTCCTGGCCTCCCAGCCCATAGTGGAACAGCCCTAGCAGTGCTCCCACCAGGACCCTGTGCTGCCTGCAGGGCCAGAAAAGCCCCTCTGCCCCTCACCCGCTCCTCCTCTTCCTCCCATTTTAACTATTTCCCTACCTTCCTGCCTGGTCAGACAACTCACCACTCCCTGCACAAACCCTCTTTTCTCCACGTCTGTCTGTGCCTTAGCTTGTACTGTTCCTGCCACTAGGGCTACCTGTCCCTGTCCTTTCTGCTTGTCTTTCTCTTTCCTGTCTTTTAAATACAGCAGTGAGCATGCATCAGGGTGCCTTATCTTCTTCATCTCTCACACCTAGCCTGGAAGGGAGGAAGCTATTATTTCCCCCCATTTTACAGATAGGGAAACTGAAGCTTAGAGAGATTAGGTCACATGTGGTCACTATGTGGTCAAGATCACATAGCTAGTAAGTGACCATACTGGGCTTGAACCCTGGACTGCCTGACTCCACAGCCCAAGCTTAAAAACTTCTGAGCAGGAGTCTGTAAACAGCAGCTTGTGGGCTGCGTCAGGCCCGCGGTCTGCTTTGTAAATAAAGTTTTGTTGCCACACAGACACGCCTGTTCATTTATGATGGGTCTACAACTGCTTTACCCTCCAGCCATGCAGCCAACGGTTGAGACAGAAATCATATGGCCTAAAACAGTCAACCTCTGGCCCTTTACAGAAAAAATCTGTCAGTGACAGACTTAAGTGCAGGTTATATGTCACCTCCTCCCAAGGCCTTTCCGACTTCCCCCAGCTTGGGGGTCTTTCTGTGTACATCTCTCATGGTTCTCAAGCTCAGATGCACTTTTAGAATCACTTCAGAAGTTTTAAATAGTCTTTACTTAGGCCTCAACCTTAGATTTTTTCTTTTTTAGCAGTACTGGGGTTTGAACTCAGGGCTTCGTGCTTGCTAGGCAGGTACCCTACCACTTGACTCCCTACCTCCCCATTCCTGTGTGTGTGTGTGTGTGTGCACGCGCGTGACTAACTTTGCTTGTGCTAGCCTCAAACTCAAGATCCTCCTACCTCCACCTCCCGAGTAGCTGGGATTACAGATGTATACCACCAGGTCCAGCAGGTCCAGCTTCAACCTTACCAACCAAATAGGAACCTCTGGGGGTAGAGATCACTTCATTGCTAGTGTTTTAAAGTATTTTGAAATCCATAGTTAGTTTTTAAAACTCCCTAGGTGTTTTCAACCTGTCACCAAGTGTGAGAGCCATGGTTTACAGTTGCATTGAAAGTATTTGTCCTTTAGCCAGACTTGGTGGCTCACACCTGTAATTCCAGCTACTCAGGAGGCAGAGATAGGAAGACCAGCCCCTGCCAAAATTGGTGAGACCCCACCTTAATCAATAAGCCAAGGGTGGTGCTGGTGCACGCCTGTGATTCCAGCTATGGATCTTGGTCTGAGGCAGGCCCTGGGTAAAAGCAAGACCCTATCTAAAAAATAACTGAAGCCAAAAGGGCTGGGGGTGTGGCTCAAGTGGTAGAGTGCCTGCCTAACAAGTGCAAATCCCTGAGTTCAAACCTCAGTATCACCAAAAAAAAGAAAGAAAGAAGGAAAGAAACTTTTCCTCGATTAACTGTAAATTGTGAGTGTCTTAAGATCAAGAACTGGCTTATTTATCTCTCTGCCCCAAGTAGCCTGGCACAGTTGCCTCACCTCGCCTTGCCTCACCCTGCCTCCCCTTTCCCTTCCCTCTCTTCCTCTCCCCTCCCTTCTTCCTTCCCTTGCTTCCACAAATGCCCACTGAGCCCCAGGCAGGTGCATTCCTGCTCTCCAATGGATGCGATGAGGCCTGGGGCCTTCAGGCTTCACCCGGGCTGCCTCTCATGCTGATGGCTCACGGCACCCTGTGTAGTTAGGTGTGATCAAGGAGTGGGGGTGTGTGGGAGGTCCCTGAAAGCTGAGGCTTTGAGGGGCGTCTGGAGGCGGAAGACTTGGGTTCCCCTAGTGCCAGACTGGAAGTCACCAGAGGTGCTGAACCTCTAGTCACTCAGTGGGGACACTGAGTGGAACCTGCCTGAGCAATTCCCAAGCAGGAAGCTCAGGCTGAGCTAGCTCAGTCAAAGGGGCCCTGTATCTAGATGGTCCAGGGCAGCCCCTGCAAGCCTGGAGTAGAGTGTACAGCTGGGCTCCCAGGCAGGGACCAGGGCAGCCAAAGTGGAGTCAGGCCTGCTGGACAGTCTGAGACCATCAGCAGTGGCTAGTGGTTGCACCTCTTTACCAAGGGTGTCCAGTCTTGACTGTGGACTGGCCTTGATGGGTCAGCTCAAGGAGGCCACCAGAAACCACTCTCTTCACATCTGTGTGGCTCTGTTCTCTGCCAGCTGTCGGCCATCCCTTGATGACGAAAGGCTGCCCCTGCCCTGCAGTCTTAGGTCTCAGGCCCACCTCTGCATCCCCCACACTGACTTCCAGTAGCCCAGCTGGGGGGTCATGCAACTGGCCATGGTCTCCTGTCCAGGTGGCCAAGGAAGCAGTGGGGTCAGGTCCTAGCCCTGCAGATCTTTGGGGATGGGGGGTAGGTGACTCTTTGAGAAGTGGTGGGGACTTCAACCACCTGTGACCCATGTCTCACTCCAGACACTTCCTGCAGGCCTGGTGGGCTGGGCAGTTCCTGGGGTCACTTTTAGCTGTCTCTGTGGGAGAGCCCCCAGAGGGCTGTTGTCTCCTCACTCCCCCGCCCCCAGCTCCCACAGGGCGGCCGGCATTCTGTCCGGTCGGATGGCAGCCTCCACCTGGACCAGGCAGTGGGGGATGATGCAGAGACCTACAGCTGTGTGGCCACCAATGTGGCTGGCTCTCAGCACCGAGACGTGGAGCTGGTGGTCCAGGGTGAGTCCGAGGACACAAAGCCGTGGCAATGGGGTGGGGAAGGTGGGCGGGGGAACTTGATTTTGAACACTTTTGTTTAGGAAAATTGAGGAAATTAAGGATGGTGCATTTTAAAAAAATCCCATAATATCAGTAGCTAAGAAGAGTCAGACTTGATATTTTTTGGCATCTTGTCACCGTTGTCCTGCAGTGTCCACGGAGATGGGTGCCAGGCCGTCCCTCGGATACCAAATCTGTGTGCACTCGGGTCCTTTATATAAAGGACCCAGTATTTGCGTGGAACCCTCACTTCCTCCCACGCACACCATCACCTCGAGATCAATAACACCACCTGGCACAGTGTTAATGCCGTGGAAACAGTGGTTCACTGTGTGGTTTAGGGAACAATGACGAGAAAAAAGAGCCTGTGCATTTTCACTTCAGGTTTTTTCCTGAATATTTTCCATCTGAGATTGGTCGAATCCCCTGCCTCGTCACCCACACGCCTCCCCTAGAGTGGTCCCTTGTTACAGCAGGTGCACTTACATGGACACGTCACATCACCCGAAGCCCATGGTGGATGTGAAGGTCACTCCTGCTGTTGCCCTGTGTAATGACACGTTCCCACCCTTGGAGTATCAACCAGAGTAGTGTCACTGTCCTAAGAATTCTCTGTGCTTTGCCTCGTCATCCTCCTCCCCGGACTCCTGGCAACCACCGATGTTTATTTATGTTGAGTTTTTTTTGAGCCCAGGCTGGCCTCAACCTCATGATCCTCCTACCTCAGTCTCCTGAGTACATGCCTCTTGTCCCTGACTCCACCATGCCCACCTCACCTCTGATGCTTTTCACTCTGCATAGTTTTACCTATTCCACAATGTCGTAGAGATGGAATCCATTTACCCATTTTTAAGGCTGAATAGTACTCCATTGTGTGGACACACCTCATTTGCTTATCCGTTCATCGTTGGACATCTGGGTGTTCCTACCTCTTGGCTATTGTGACTAACACCGCTACAAACACTGGTTTATGAAATCCGTTTGTTTGTAAAAGTGCCACCTAGAATCCATCCAACGGCCACCCACCACGTCACCAATGAAGGGGTTCTGGCTTCACTCCCCTGCCTTGCCTCAGGAATTCCCACCCCCTCCATCACCTGGACCAAGGTAGGTGGAGCCTGGAACCACGTGGGAACCAGAGGGGCCAGCCTGGTGCATTAGGGGAGGGGCGTGTGACCTCTGCTGATGTCACCTTGGCTCTGTCTAGGAAACCAATTCCCTGACCTCCAGGGGCCGCTACAATGTGAGCAAGGACGGCACCCTGGTCATTGCCCAACCTTCCCCCGAGGATGCAGGGGCCTATGTGTGCACAGCCACCAACACTGTGGGCTTCTCCAGCCAGGAGATGCGGCTTTCTGTGAACAGTGAGTGATGGTTGGAGCTCAGCCTGTGACGATGGGGGCCACCACAGTAACAGGTCCTGAAGAGACACAAGCCCTGTCCCGGACCCACTCATCTTGGCAGCCCCACATTATCTCTGTCCCCATCTCCTTCTATCCCAGACCCTCTGGCCTCCTTCCCATTTCTTGGATGGCCCATCCTGCCTCAGGGCCTTTGCATGTGCACTCCTTCTGTTTAAATGCTTGTCCCCTGCCTTTTGGACCAGTTGTCCAGTCCTGTCTGTCCAGTCCCCAGGCTGGGTCAAGTCACCTGGCTGTGTACAATAATAAACCAAGACTAAATAATTAATTGCATATTAGGCAGTTTAGTCCTGGCATTCCCTGTAAACCCTAAATGCTGTGAGCACAGGGGCAAGACCTATTTCCCATTCTTCCCCACAAGGCAGGCCACTCCGGGGCATATCTGAGACAATGAGCAGATGCATAGCTGGACTCTTCCTAACATATACCGTTACAGCCAGATTTTATATTGCAAAATAAAATTGATGGGGGTCTCCTCGGTGACCTAATGGTGTCTGGGAGCACAGAAGGGTGAAGCAGGTTCTGATGTCTCTGCTGTCTGGCTTGCTTCACGTCATTGTTCACACACTCACGGAGTACCTTTACTGTGTGTGCTAACAAGGAGGAAGGAGAGGCGTGAGGTCACCTCTGCCATCAAGGGGTCCTCAGCTCGATATGAGAGAGAGGTGACGTGCACAGATTTATTGTCACCAGTCTCCAAGAGAGATTTGAGAAGCCAGGAGAGTTTGTGCACCATTTGGTGCAATGGGAGGAGGTAGATAGAAGAGGAAGAGGGCAGAGCCAACCTATGTCCCTGGGGAAGGGACAGAAGGACTAAGAGAAGCAGAAGAAGCCTAGACAGCAGGGACAAGGTCTGGCTGTCCAGGTGGTGGAGAGGTGGCGGGAAGGGCCGAGCCACAGCCAGCAGAGTTGAGTCCCAATTCACCATTCTCTGGACCAGAAGGCCATAGTCGCAGGCTCTTCCTCTGCTCCCTGGAAGCCGCCCTCTGCCTTCCTGATCCAGCTCACAGCCCTGCTTGCTCTCCCCAACAGCCAAGCCCAAGATCAAGGTGAACGGGTCACATGATGCAGATGCAACTCTGAGAGTCACCGCAAAGGCTGGCGAAGAGGTGACCCTGGCCTGTGAGGCCCAGGGCTCCCCACCCCCTCTGGTCACGTGGACCAAGGACTCCCGCCCTCTGCTGCCCATCACCAACAGGTATCCCAATCCCATGGCCTTGGGTCAGGAAGGGGCAGAGCTTGGGTTGGAGGGAAACTGGCTTCAAGGTGCCCAGCACCCCTGCAGGTGTATGGGACCCTGTGGGCTCCAGGGGGTGCTCCTTTGCTTTTGCACGTATGGCTTCTGTCCATGGGCCCCTGGAAATTCTGGGGGCTCTCTGGGCAATGCGTGGAGCCCAGCACGAGCCATACCCTGACACTGAAGGTCACATCATCCCTCATTCACACAGCACCCCTTGTTCCTTACTCTGTGCTGGGACACTGAGGATCACCAAGGTGGGGTGAGCGGCTCAGAGGTCTCTCTGCTAAATGACAGCAAAGCTAGGATTGGGGCTGGTCCTGACCATGACACACGCCACCTCCATCCCTGCCCTGCGGACCACCCTGCCATCTTGATTCAGTTATTCCCTATCAGTCAGGGAGGAGGCTGGCTTGGGCATCTGTCAGAACCAAACTGTACCCCTGATGGGGGTGGGGAGATGCTGGTTCCAGCCAGTAAGAGGATCTCCAGACTCTCAGAGCCCTTGACCTCATGGGGGGGCTGGCGGGGGCTGCGGCTCAGGCTGGTGACATCAGCCCTGGCGAGATCTTTGAGACGTTCCAGACCAAGAAGGTCTCCGACAGCCTGCTGCACACCCCCACCCACCCACGCTCGTCTCTGCCTCTCAGAACATCTGTTTGGTGAGCACTTCCAAACCTTCAGCCCTGTGTCCCCCACATGCATCCGGGGCAAGGGAGTGGTCCCCGGTGTGTGTGCAGCACGCCATGCTCCGTGGGGTAGGGGAGTGTGGCAGGCAGGGGGACTTGCGTCTCTCCCTAGAAAGGCTTGTCCTTGCTTGTGGCCAGGCGGTGGCCGGTGGCCGCGGGTGCTTGTTTATTTATGACTTGTTACTGAATCGGAACCACATGTCTGGTTGTTCACTCCTCTACCCCGATGCGTTGATAGGTCAGCTGGGAGCCGTAAATTTGCAAAGAGCCTCTGTCGCAATCGTCGTTTGGCTCTCTGTTCCCTCTCCCTGGCCCCTCCGCTTCTCGCTTCTCGTGGGCTATCTCTGAGATTTATGGAGTTCCCGGGCTGGGTTTATCTGCGGGCGTGTAGGGGGAGCACTCAGGCTCTGGAGATCATCTGACCCAAGTGTGAGAACCAGCCTGGTCCCGGCCTGCTCTCCGGACTGCTCTTGGCCGCTTCTCCTTCTGGAAAGTGGACGTTACTTACGTGCTGCTCCGGAACAATGATGGACGTGCAGACTTCGTGTGTCTCAAGTGCTGAAATAATCACTCCCTCTGACACCAGCACCGGCAGCTTTCTTTAACGTTACCTTGCTTAATTCGCACCGTACCACATAGCGCACGCAGTACAATTCACTTAGTCAATGCTTTTAGAATACTTACAGTTGGGCAACCGTCTCTATAAGCAATTTTAGAACATTGTCATCACCCTCCCCACCTCCTCCCCATTCCGCCCTAGCCCCAGCCCAGCCCCTGGCAGCCACTGATCTTTTTTTTTTTGTGTGGGATAGGGGTTTGAACTGCTTTTTAGGCAGATGCTCTACTTGACCCAAAGCCCTTAGTTACTTTTCAAATAGGGTCTCATATTTTTGCCCAAAGCAGGCCTAGGACTGCAATCCTCCTACCAATGATTCGTTTGTAGCTGTGATTACAGGCACAAACCACCACACACAGACCCTCTCTGACTCTTTGGATTGATCTACTCCGGACATTTCTCGTAACTGACATCATACATGGTCTTTTTTTTGTGCCTGGCTTCTTTCACCGAGCATAATGCTATCATGGTTCATCCAACCAAGGAGAACTACTTCACTCCTGTTTACGACCAAGTAATATTCCATGGTATGGATAGACCTTTTTTCGTTTATCCACTTGTTAGTTAATGGGTGTGAGACGTTTTCACCTTTGGGTGATTGTAAACAGCCTCACTTTGACTGTATTCTAAACTTCCTTGGCAGGCTGAGGATTCTTGTTGTTCTTTGGGTCTCCCTACAGCTCACAGCTGCACACACAGGACAAAGCACAGCCTCTCACAGGCACACGACGCAGCTCCCCTCAAATCCACAGCCATTCAGCCACAAAACAGAGATTTAAAAACCAGCAAGCACAGACTTCCTGTCTGTCCCTCTCTTTCTTCCTAATCCCCTTTTCCTTCATCCTCTTCTTTCTCCAAGGAGCCCCCAGACTTGGCCTCCAGGGTCCATTCTGGAAGCCCAAGTGCTCATTTCCATGAGCTGTAGGTGTCCATCTGCCTCAGTGGCTCTTCTCTCTGAGAGGCACCAACTCCTTGTTCCCCTAGGCACCTCTTCTCCCACCTTGGGAGCCTTGTTCTCCTTCTGCCATGACGAGCTACCTCGAGGACACAGCCCTGGGGCGGCTCTCTTTTGTGTCTAGCCATCTTCTCTCTGCTGGGTTAACCTCAGTCCAGGGTCTCAGCTCTTGTGCAGTTAGGATCCAGGTTAGGATTGTGGTAGCACCCCAGCCCTGGCTCCTTGGGGCTCCCTGGTGATTCTGTGATGGAGACATGATGAGCTAGCTAAGCCTCTGCAGCCTCTTCATCCTCTGTTGGTCAACCCTCAAGGTGGGTAGGGCCAATGTCTTCATCCAGAGACCACAGAGTAGGAGAGGGAAATGCCAGTGTGGGGGACTAGAACCCAGATCTTCTGAATTTCAGGACTGGCCATGATGTGCACATGGACAGAGCAAACACACACAGAGACACACAGACATTTGCACAGGGAGCAGACATGAATACACCCAGATGCACACAGATGTGAGCCCACACAGACGTGCACACAGATACAGACACACACACACATCAGGCTTCTGAGCCAGGTCGGCAGGCCCATGCTGTCTCTGGAGCCCCTGGATGGGGAAAGCTGAACTCGGGTGTCTGTGCCCCCCGGGTGTGCACTTGTACTCCCTCCACCTCAAAGGGTCTAGGGTGCAGCTCGCCTCGTTGCTAAATGGCTCCTGTGTTTGAGGCACATGCTTTGTGGCCAGGTTTCAAGTCATAAGTGGGGCTTTTGGAATATCACGTCTTTGCACACATGTTCCTCTTTATCTCCTGGGGCATTTCCTTCGGGGGATCATCCCGAAAACGGCCAGCTCAGGGAGAGGGTGGGAATGGCGCTTCCTATCCTCAGACTGTGGGACTGTTGTTTTTGAAACAGTGTCCTTCATCACATATCGTGAATTCAACAATGTCAGTCGAGAAACATCATGTCCCCAGAACTCTGCCAGAATGAAATCAGAGACTGAAAGACCCAGGGACCCCTCCCAGCATCACCCCAACTTGCTCGGAGTTTTAGCAAGACCTGTCTTCTCCCTGGGCCCCAATGTGCCCACTGGAGACATTGGAAGGAAGGGTTGGGCAGGCGATGGTGGCCAGAAAGCATCCTGCAGCTCGGTGGCCAGGCCTGGGATGCTAGGGTGAGGCGTTTCTAGGCAACAGTGTTTGTTTGGGATTCTGATGTAGGGCTGGGGCAGCTGTGAGTGCTCCTGGCTCCCTCTGCCGCTCCAAGGCAGCCAGCCAGGTTCCCACAAAGGGCCAAATCCCCAATCCTAAAAGGGGAGGGGATTGGGAAGGGACAGAGCTACTCTGTCTTCTGGTTGCTTCAGGTCTCCTGAGGTTCCCATATGCCCACTGCACTTCTCTGCCCACTCCCAAGGATGCTATAGGACAGCCAGCCCACAGAGCCCCTTCTTGACTGGTTAACCAGAGACCAGAGGCAGCTTGGGTCCTGGGGACCTGAGAAAAGTCTGCTTGCCTCCAGCCAGTGACAAAGCATGGACTGCCCAGGGTCCCGTGTGGGGCCTTTATCTTGGTGGAGGAGCCCCAAAGCGCATGTGGCCTGGTGGCTCTGGTGGCTTTATGAACCTACTGTGGCAGCTTTTTCTGCAAAGCATTTAAGTTAACTGAATGTCAGAGCCAAATATTTTGCTCACCGCGGCGGTTAGGCTCAAGGTGGCAGAGACTGAAGGCCCCGTCCCATTGCACGCTGGTCAGCTGAGTGGCAGTGGAAAAGACAGTCCTATCTCCCTGACCACTGCCTCCTCCTCTACAGAAGGGGTGAGGGTCCTGGGACCCCCTGCCTTGCAGCTCTGTGGGGAGTGGGAGTGTGTTCAGCAGGTGCTTAATCTCTCCCCTGTGGTGCTCAGGCCACGGGCTGGTATCAGGCACTTCTTCCTCATTTTCTCCAGCTTGGCTTTCCATCTGTGGCTTCCTTATGAGGGTCTGTGGGGTTGGGAGGCCACAGTGAGGAGGTGAGGGTCCGAGGGTCCGGGTGGTCACTGGGGTGAAGGGAGCCCTGTTGGAGCCCAGACCCGCCCAGCTCACACTGGAGCAGGTGGTCATCTGTGGAGTGCAGCCTGTGTGCTGTGTGCAGAGGCCATGCCCCCTGGGGGGTTGGGTGGCTTTGTACTGGAAGAATGAGGTCAGAAGTGCTGCCAAGGGACCCTTTTACACAGGGGCAGCAAGATGAGTGGTCCAGGGAGACCTCAGGAAGGACTGGGGCAGACAAACTCCCCATCACCCAGCAACCTGTGAACTTCTTCTCCCAGGGTGGCCCTGGCCTACCCAGAACCCACTGGCTCTTTCTTTGTTGCATGAGTGAATGAAAATGAATGAACAATTGGCTGGGCTAAGCTCAGGAAGTATCAAGGAAAGCTTCATGGAAGAGCTGGTGCCTTGTTGCCTTGAAGGGTCAGGAGGACAGAGGACCATATGGAGACCACAGGGAAGGGAGCATGGGGAAGGCAGTGTATGTGCATGGACCAGGCAGCTATAATTTGTCATCAAATATTTATTGAGCACCTAATCTACTATGTGCCAAGGGCCCGGCACACACCTGAGCACACCTGACTTGTCCCATCACAGAACCACAGGGCCGTGCCAGGTCATCACAGGAGTGATAAGTGCTTGAATGTGTGATCAGCAGCAGGACATTGTCTGGGCCACCAAGGACAAGGGGTGGCTGCGGAGCTGGCTGCACAGAGGTGCCGGGGATGAGGCAGGCAGGTGCAGCCTGCCTGGGGGTGACTCTATCCAAGAAGTCCTTGTCGGGTGTTCTTTGGTCTCTCTGGGCAGGAACAGAGCCCCTTAGAGGCCCTCCGCCCAGTGGGACAGGACAGGGTAGGTGGACCGCTTTCGGATCTGCCCCAGCTCTGACATCTGCACATGCCTGGTTGCCATAGCGAAGGCTCAGCCAGATGGATGTCATAAACAGGAAATTCCCCTCCGACCTCCCGCGTGCTCATCTGGCTGCACACGCCTGGGGTGAAGCAGCTCCCGCTGGTGACGCCCCAGCAGCCTGGAGAGTTGTGGTGTCCTCCTCCTTTCCTCCCATTTCCCCCGCCCCCGGCTGCAGCCTCCAAACCTTCCACCAAGCTTCTGGGAATCTGCAGGAGGGCTGTGGGGACACAAGGAGCAGGTGGGGGCTGCCTTGACTCCCACAGGTCCCTCCGGGTCCTGTCCAGCAGCCCAGGCCCACAGGCAGTTGCTTTGCCTTTGTTGGTGTCTGTTGAGGTCAGGCTGGGTCATGATGAAAGCACCACTCCCTGCAGGTTGGGGCAGATTCTAGAGATAAAGGACAGACACACTAGATGGGCTGTCCTCTTGGAGCCAGGTGTCAGGTGGCCACAGGTCCGTGCAGTGAGGGCTGTGACTAAAAAGTTCAGGCAGCTGTGGGACCTCCCAGTCTGGGGCATCACAGCAGCCTTCCTGGAGGAGGTGCAAAGTATTGAAAGATGAGCAGGTGAGCCGGTAGACCTACTGGCAGGGGAGGCAGGTGCCAGGTAGAAAGGCCGCCGGTGCAAAGAAGTGGAAGTGAGAGATGGACCTGCAGCTCTGAGTGCAGCCATGCAGGGGGTGAGGTGGAGGAGGTGGCCCTGCAGCCATGACACTGTTCGGTTTGTCCAGTGAGCAGCGCAGCAAAGCACAGGTGAATTTAAAGCAGGCCAGATGCAGCTGTTTGGCATTTAGAATAAGCACTGGCTCCTTTGGCTTCCTGAAGGCCTCAGCTTGCCTATCTGTGAAATGGACCCCCTTTCTTCATATAGTAAGCAGAGTCCTCTTTCCAGAAAATGACCTTGGGGTTAGTTATAAGAAAGACAGACGGATACTTTCATTGTCAAGAGTTGCAGCGGAGACTCCAGGAAGGGGGTGGCCCAAGATCAGCATGGTGGTTGTCACCAGAGCCACTTGCTGTCAAAACTCCACTCCCATCTCCTCTGCCGTTCAGCTTCTCAGGGCAGGAGCATTTCTTCATGGTCCCCAAGGAGTGGCCTCCTGGCGTCTGTATCGGTCACCCAGGGCCTTGCTAGAACCCCCGTCCCCCACCCCCACCAGAGCCTCAAGGAACTTGTAGGCTTCACACACAGCTCGGAGGTTCTAATAAGAACCTCAGCCTGCAGGACAGGGATGATGGGCCCCCTGGGGACCTAGGAGAGCTGGGGTGTGGGAGCCCCGGCCAGCAGTCTGATCCTGTGTGTATGACACACATAAAGCAGCACACGAAGAGCCCTGTTGGTGGAAAGAAGAGAGGGAGGGAGGAAGAGAGGGGGAAACTATTAAATGTCTGCATTAGTGAGTAACTTGTAGAATGATCATACAGGGGAATATTACACAACAGTGAAAAGAAATGGATTAAACTTATACAGGTCCGCATGTTGCAATTGTGTTTATGGATATGCTGTCATTCCCTGACCACAGCTGACCTCTGCTGAGGGCCTCTAGGCTCTGTGCTATGAATTAGGTCATTTAGTTCCCTTGACAGCCCATTGAAGGACAAATATTATTGTTTGCTTCTGTTCCCCAAATAAACAACTGAGGCACAGCAAGGTTAAGTGACTTACTGGATCTCCCACAGGAGGCACATGACAAAGCCTATTGGACCTAGACCGTGTAGCCCAGCTTGGGCTGTGGAGATTGTCACCAATGTGTCATCCACAACTGTTCCCAGTGCCAGCTGGATGCTTGGGACCAGCTGGAGGTGGGGTGCCGGGTTGGGGATTATCATCTTGCTTTGCGGATGGCAAAGCCTGAGGCTGTGCAGAGTGAGCTGCTGACAACGTAGACCTGTTCCACAGCTAAGAGCCCCGCACTTGGCTTGCAATGCCTCTCGGAATCCTTGCGGTTGCCTGGGAAGGAGGTGGGGGCTGCAGGGCTCCTGTGAGGGGCTCTGTGATGCCATTTTCAGAGACAGAAGATGAAGCCTGGAGGAAAAGAGAGTGGGGACAGAGCTGGAGCACAGCCAGAAACCGCTAAAGAGCTGGAGTCTGAGCACTGGCCTGGGGGTCCCCACCCCCATGCTGGCCATTTGCTCTTCGGGCTAGCTGGGGCCAGAGACCACAGCTGTTCTCCCTGTCTTACGGGGGCAGGGGCTACTCGGGGCCAGCACATATGGGCAGTGACATCATGTCTGCTGGGGCCCTTGAGGTCCAGCCCAGCTGCAGGAGCCGGGCTGGGGTTCCAGGCTTCTGTGGGCTGGGGTCAGGTGACTTTAGCAAGGTGGGCAGGACAGCATGGCTTCCTTCTCTGGACCTCAATACACCTCTGGACAACAGGACACCAAAAGACCTGGATTCGGGGTCAGGTGGGCCCTAGTGCTTGGATGCAGAGGGCTCCGGGTCTGGGCGGCCAGGGCCTTCCGTCCCTCCTAAAGACAGGCGTGCAGTAAGGAGGGGGGTACTGTCACCAGCAGTCCATGGGCATGGGGCAGAGAGCAGGTGCCAGGCCACAGCTGGAGCCTGTGGTGGCCCTGACACAGGCCTTCCATGTGGGTCTGTTTTACACATGAGAAACTAGAGGACCCCAGAGGTGAAGTTGCTTGCCCGAGGTCACACGCCAGGAAGGGCAAGGGATAGAGTGGAGGCTGGGCACTGGGTGTTGCCCTGGTTCCAGAAGGTTGCTGGGACAGCAGAAAGAACCTTCCAGGTGGGCCTTGAAGTCTTTCCATGGCTGAGATTGGCTGGGGTCTCACCAGCACCCTCACTCCTGCAGGCATGGCCTCCTCCCATCCGGCTCCCTGTACCTGGCCCAGGCTCAGGCAGATGACAGTGGCCACTATGTGTGCACAGCCAGTAACCCTGCTGGGGCCACCTCCCGTCTCTATGTACTTGGAGTGCAAGGTAGGGTGGTCTCGTCTCTCCCTCCATCTTGCTCCCTGATCCCCATGCCCTGCTCTGTCCCCTCCCTTTCCCAGGCATCCCAGTGCCCCTCCCCTTGGCCATCCCAGGTCCTCTCAGGTTTGTCACCTCTCCTGGGCCCTCCAGCACTTCCTACATCCTGCCGTGCTTATGCCTCCCTCTCCCTTCACCTGTCCCTCTTGCTGTCCTTGGTTGGGGCCTGGAGAGGCTTTTAGAAGCCCAAGAACAGGGCAGGGTCCAGTGGGGACTGAGGGTGGGAATAGCTGGGGCTTGGAGCTCTGTGTGGGCCTGGTCCAAGGATCCCAGCTCCAGCTGCACTGGGGCTCATGGAATGACCACTGGGAGCCCCCATCCTGCTGGGAGCCTCTAGGGCCCCCTGGAAGCCCTTTCCAATCTGGCTCCCCTTCAACAAGGCACTTCTAAACCTTTAATGGGAGCAGACACCGTTTAGTGAGTACCTCCTGGATGACAAGCACCACAGGCCCTTCCCTCACTGGCTCAGGTTCCTAAACACCCCCTGTGATCCTGGTCCTCAGGGACCCCAGGAATCCTGGCCACCTAGGTGTCTAGACCCCAGTTCAAAGGAAGCCAGCAGGGGCTGGTCACGCACCAGAGCCCGGGATCCCTAAGTCAGGACAGACTGCGGCCACCCCTACTGCTTTCTCAGAGGCTGGGATGACAGGTGGTTTCTGCATTTTTAAACTATTGGGGAAAATAATAAATCATGTCTTATGGCTCTTGAAAGTGGCAGGTGCCTATGAGTACAGGTGTGGTGGGAACATGGCCACACACATTTGTCTGAGTTGTTCCCACCAAGCTGAGTGGTTAGGCAGACAACCAGGCCTGCACAGCCTAGGGAGTTTATCACCTGATCCTTCTACAAAATGCTTGTCAGCCTCTGTCTAAGCTAACAGCCCATTTTACAGATGGACAGGCTGAGGCCCAGACAGGCAGGGGCCAGAGGTTTGCTGTGGGTTTGTAAGGACATGAGAAACTCAGGAGTGGGGACAATGAGTAGACTCGGGCACAGAGCTGGATGAGTCCTGACACTGCTACTGACTGGCTGTGTGACCACAGGCCAGTCGCTCAGCCTCTCTGAACCTCCTTCCCTCTTCTATAATTGAGGGGCAGAAAGGATGGATGGCATTAAGTGGCATAAAGGTGGCCCTATTGTTTTCAGCTAGTGGGAGGGAGATGGGGATAGGGCTTGTGCACTTCTGTGCTCCAGGACACAGAGCCCTCTGGGGTAGCAAGTTCCCGGGCCAGGTCCCCATGCATGCTTTTATTTCTGGACTCTTTCCAGTGTCAGGGACCAGGTGTGCATCCTCAGTTTCCCCAAAGCCCAGGAGCTTGCCCCAGGATCTTATGCATCATGGAAACAGGTGGCGTGGGCTCTGAGATTCTCCTGGCCTGTTTGGCCTGGGCCTCCAGAAGCACCTGGTCTCCTGGTCATGCACAGCCAGGGCTGGGCCAGCTCCAGCTCCTCAATTGAAGGAGGAAATGACTCTGGACAGGTCTTATAACTGCCTGAGCCTCAGTTTCCCCATGTTCAAACCGGGCGTGGCATTACCCACCCTGGAGAAAGGCCCCAGTGGGATGGAAGGTGGGAAAGTGCTAGAAAATACCAGTGGGCTCCCCCAGGCCAGGAGGGAGAGGTGGAGGAGCTGCATTGGGGGCCCCTCCCATTTTTTGGGGGGTGGGGTGGTGACAAGAAGAAGCCGAGGTTCAGTCAGCATGGGGTCCTGCGGCCATGAGAAGCAGAGCTGAGATTGTAGCTGCCTCTGTGTGCTGCTCCCGCCCTGGCTGGGCCATTCTGAGTCAGTCCCTCCACCCCAATCCTCAGTGTTCCCATATGCGCTCTGAGCTGGGTGTGAGCTGGACAGTGCTTCCCAAATGGTATACAGTGTACTGGTGGGGGTGGGAACCAAACTAACCAAGAGTGTGTGTGTTCAGGTGACAGCCAGGTTCTATACATTTGGGGGACCTTGGAGTCAATCTGGGGTGGCCTGATATCTTTTCCTGACATAGCAAGCAGTCACCAGCCTTAGGTCTCCCTACCCTCAGGATGATGATATCAGAGTTGGGACATGGCTTTGGGCACAGCAACCCTTCACTGGGTCCCCGGCCTTGACGCCCCTCCCTGGGGCCCTCCAGTCCCCCCTCAGGTACAGCCGGGCCCTCGGGTCCTGAAGGTGCTGGCAGGAGAAGCTCTCGATCTGAACTGTGCAGCCACAGGTGACCCAGAGCCCCAGCTGAGCTGGTCCAAGAATGGGATGGCCCTGCAGGGTGGGCGGCCAGAGGGCTCTGTGTACTTCAAAGCCATTGAGCCCTCCGACGCTGGGACATACCGCTGTGAGGCCTCCAACAGCGCTGGGGTGGACGCCTGGGAGCTGGAGCTCAGGGTGCTGGGTGAGTGTCCCCAGCCCAGTCCCCCCACTGCAGCCTGGACTGCAGAGGTGCTCACCTCTGTTCTGGTTCAGGACCTGTCTCATCTGGGACCTCCCAGCCCTGCAGCTGTGGGGCCTTTGTCAGCCCCTGGGTACCAACCAGTGGCTCCCTGGGCTCCTGACCCTGAAACTGTGGCATGTGGCCTTAAGAGCCTGGTGTACAGAGTCCCCAGGGGACAGGGGTCAGGCAGCAGGTGCCTGAATCAGCTCTCCCGCTTACCAGCCAAACAATGTAGGCTGTTTTTCTCACCTGCAAAGTGGGTCCAGTAGCGTGGGTGGGTGTCACCAGGAGAATGTGTATGAACCACCTAGCCCATAGAAAGTTCTGAATCAGTGGTGCTAGTGTTTTCTCTATTCACAGTTTAAAGCAACTTAGAAAGCCACACAGGAGGGAGGACCCTGCTCCTCCCCTTGTCATTGAGGGCTGAGGCCTGTGGAGGCTGAGCCTGCACCCCTGCCCTGGCCACATGGGAGGCAGAGGCTGGACTTGGGAAGGAAGTACCCTCCTCTCTGGCCCTGGGTCCCTGGAGGGGGCACCAAGCCTTGAGTTGAGGGTGTGAGTGTGTCCATGTCACTTTCCACCAGAACCTCCGCACTGGGGGGCCGATGAGACAAGTGGCCTGCTGGAGCGAGTGGCCGGGGAGAACGCCAGCCTGCCGTGCCCTGCCCGAGGTGATCCTGGGCCCAGAATGGCGGTGGGGAGGTCAAGGGTGGGCCAGGCTAGGTTCTAGCACTCTGGGTCGCACTGTTGGAATGTCCATGGATTATGGTCATTGCGTCTTCACTGCTTGCCAGCACCATGCCAGGCATTTCATCCCATTGATACCCCTACAAATTGGGCATTAGCATCAGCCCCTTTGCACTGGGGTTATCCTGGCTCAGAGAGGGTAAGTAACTTGTCAGAGGTCACACAGCCACGATGTGACTCTGAGCGGAGTCTAGTCCGACCCCAGTCCTGCCTGCCCATTAAGCTCTGAACTGCCCAGCGCCTAGAGGTATGATAGGTGGGGTTGAGGGCAGTCCACAGGTCCTTGTGAACTGGATCTTAGTGATCCCTCCTTTCCTCATACCCCAAACTTACCCATAGAGGATGGGTTTATGTGGTCCTGGACAAACCAGCTGTTGTGGGGTTTCTCTTTGGGGTGGTGGTGTAGTGAAGGGGTCCGGATAGCTGTCTCTGTGGTCCAACTGCCCAGTACTGAGCCGAGTTTCAGCCCTTGTTGGCTGTGTAACTTGAGGCAGTTCACCTTCTTTTCCGAGCCTCAGTTTCCCCATCAGCAAGGTCGGGGTACACCAGTCCCTCTCAGTGGGGCTGCTGTGAGAGCTCAGAGGGTTCTAGCATTGTGCTGGGTACTCTGCAGGGAAATGTGATAAGTGAGAGGACTCCACCCTGTGGGGACCTCTCTGACCCCCCCCCCCGGTGGACCTGCCCTCCCACCTGAGTGGCCTCCTTTGGCTTTGGGCTGGTCTGCGGCTGGTGAGCATCCAGCTCCCTGAGGGTGAGCCGTCTCCACATAGCTGGTGTTCTAAGGGGCATTCTGGGAGTCTAAGGAGCAAGAGGCAGGGGGTAGAAGCCATCAGGAGCCAGGAGAGTGGCCTCTGATCTCAGCAGCTCCTTCTCAAGCCGCAGAGCACCAGGGAGTCCCTGGAACAGGACCAGAGGAGCAGCGGGCAGGAGTGGCCACAACCTAACTGGGCCAGGACAGTCTCTAGGTGGGAGCTCTGCAGAGCTGCTCTAGGCAGAGCCTGGCGGGACAGCCCAGTCCGCCGCCACAGCGCCACCTAGTGTGAGGCGCTGAACACAGCGGGCAACCACAGGAGCTTCAGGGAGGCAGGCGGGAGGTGGGGCCCACCCAGCCCCACCTCCCCTCTCCTTGCCCCTGGATCATCAAGAGCCTCCCCTGTGACCTCATCAGCATCCCTCGGCCCCCCCTGCCATGATACTCCCTCAGCCTTGCACTTGGCCTTTTCCTGCGGGTACCACAGGTGGACAGCATTGGGCTCCAGCTCACCCGTCCTGTGCCCTGGGCTCTGAATCTGAGGGCAAAGGGGACAGCACTGTCCCCCAGCATCTGTTAAAAGGGAGCCCCTGGGTCCTCAGGGGACACCATCTTCTTCTCTGGGTGACACAGGAAGGTCAGAAGGCTGAGGCCCTCTTCTTGGACCCTGAGAAGTGGGAAGGGAAGGGGGGTGACTTAAAGCGAGGCTGGAGTCTTCTTTAGGGCCGTCTGCAGCTGGAGCTCATTTACGCATTAAAAGTAGGTCCAGAGCTGAAGACCAGTGGACTGCAGGGAAGGACGGGGGTGGGGCGTCTCCGGGAGAAGCTGAGGGACTTGGATGACAATTGCACACGTGTGTGCATGGCATGTACGTGTGTGTGTGTGTGTCCCACAGGGGGACAGCATGCTCTTGGCCATGGGACATCCTGTTTCTACAGGAGAAACAGCTCAGCGATTAGGTGGCCTGCCCCAGGATCTGGCAGTAGAGGCAGAGCATCTGAGAGGACAACCTGGGGGCCGTGGTGCTCATGGTGGGGCCGGGATGTGTGGCCAGCAGAGTGGCCACCCCAAGCTTGGTTGTCCTGTGAAGGGAGGGACAGGCTGGGCAGAGCTGGAGTCTCCTGCTACCATCCTTGCCCTGCTTCAATGACACAGTGGGTGCACTGAGCATGACAGGCTAGTGGCTTGAGTGCTGCTGGGAGCAGAACAAAGCCCCAGCCCTCGTGGGGGAAGGGGAAAACAGATGATCAAAACCTAAATACTAGCCTGGCCCTAAATCCTAGCTACTCAGGAGGCAGCAATCAGGAGGATCTCAGTTCGAAGCCAGCCTGGGGAAATAGTTCAGGAGACCCTATCTCGAAAAAAAAACACATCACAAAAAGGGCTGGCAGAGTGGCTCAAGTAGTAAGAGCACTGCCTAGCAAGCTTGAGGCTGAGTTCAAAACTAGGTACTATGCACTTGTGCATTCTGTGGGATGTTAGAAAGGTAGAGGTGAAGGGCAAAAATCTTCTACATGAGGCTTCCCAGAGAAGACACCGGAGAACAGGCTTGTGGCCCCTGGGAGACCATGGGGACATTCAGCCTTGGGTTGGTACAGGGGCATATGCCACAGCTCATAGGGAACCACTCCTGGGTTGAGAGGGAGCGACATTTGCAGAGGGGCACATGGAGGACAGTGTGGGCCTGGAGGGGAAGGTGTTGGAGCGTTATGTGCTGATGGCTTGGTACACCCCACCAGGGACACCCAAGCCACAGGTCATGTGGCGGAAAGGCCCATCCTTGGAGCCCCTGAGTGGCCGCCCCGGTGTGGCAGTGCTGGACGACGGGTCTCTGTTCCTGTCCTCAGTCTCGCCCATGGACAGTGGAGACTATGAGTGCCAGGCCACCAACGAGGTGGGCTTAGCATCCAGGAGGACCACGCTGGTGGTCTATGGTAAGTGGGACCCCAGAACTGGGGGCCAGGTGAGGAAAGCAGGGGTCTCAGGAACAAGCTTGTGTCAACCCTCCTGGTGGCCACCTGCCAGAGTGACCCAGAGTGATGCTAGGGTCTGATGGTAGCAACAGGTCCCCGGGATCCAAGAGCTCCCTCCCGGGAGGCTGTGGATCCCTGCCTCCAGGTGCCAGGGAGGGCAAGGGCTTGAGGTGCTGTGTGGGCACCCCGGTTCCCCAGAGACGCCTGTAGAGACAGGGTAGAGGAAGCCTGTGGAACCCTGTGAGTGGCTTTTTAAATGCTGTACCAGGCGTGTCCATGACAAAATGGGCTGTGCAGAACCCCAGAGCCCACCTCCAGGTTAGAACTTAAAACCAGCCTGAGGCGCATGTCTCTGTCACCAGCAGGGAGAGCTCCTCGTCCCCGCCTCCAGGGTACTGTGCAGAAAGCCAGGACACGGTGGCACAGGCTGGGGCTGTCCCTGCCCACAGGGTGAATATGAGCCTGGTCAGTCTTAACAGCACCTGTGGTCTCCTGTTTCCCATGACCAGCCTCCTGGCTTGCCATGTGGTGACTTACCCAGAAGTTTGCTACCAAGACACGCCAGGCCCAAGCTTTAGAGATTTGGGCTCAGGGGACTTCGGGTGACTGTGACACCAGGTTGGGGGCAGAACCTGACGCATCCCAGCTCATAGCATGGAACTGGCTAGGCTGTCCTGGCCCCTGGGTGAGGCTGTTGGAGCCATTTGAGGTTTGGCAGTGGCCAGATCAGTGACGAGGATAAATGAGGACAGGTGGGTCTCCTGGGACCCCAGTGACAAGCCGAATGACAGATCCTGAGGCTCTGGGAAGGGAGAAAGGGATCTGGGAAGGGGTTGCTTGACCAAGCCATAAAGAATGGCCACAGCAGGGTCGCCAGCGGCAGTGGCCCTAAGAGGCGACAGGAGGTAGAGGACCTTGCTCTTCTTCTTGCTCCCCAAGTGCCCCCCAGCATCCGGGAGGACGGCCGCAAGGCCAACGTGTCAGGCATGGCTGGGCAGTCTCTGATGCTGGAGTGTGATGCAAGTGGCTTTCCAGTCCCCGAGGTCATGTGGTTCAAGGACGGGCAGCTGGTAAGTGTCCCTGGGAAAGATGGGGTGCAAGTGGGTGTCCCCTGGGAAGGATGGGCAGCAGGTGGGATTTGGATTGGGAATTGGCCATCTGGATGGGTGTTCTGTGTGTGCCAAGGTGTGACGGAGACGTGACAGGTGTCTGGTGATGGTGGAATTCAGGGCAGTGGAGGACCGTAGTGCCATGAAGAATCCTGGGGGTCTGCCTGGTGGAGGTTGCAGGGTGCTATTCTGGGAGTCAGAGACCCTGAGTCCCAGCCTCAGGCCTCAGTTTCCTCATTGCTGATGCTCACCTGATCCCTCTGGCTTGTTCTGCCCAGATCCCCAAAGCAGACAGCCACCGCCTCCTGGATGGGGCTTGGTCCCTCTACTTCCCCAGGATCCAGGAGGGTGATGCTGGCCTCTACTCCTGTCGGGCAGAGAACCAGGCCGGGAGCGCCCAGCGGGACTTCCATCTCCTTGTGCTCAGTGAGTGAGGCTGGAGCCCAGAACTCCTGAGCATGTGGTGCTGAGAGCGGGGCAGGGAGAGGCAGTGAGGCCCACGCAGACCCTGTCCTCACGTGGGTATGGGGACACACATAGTTAACTGAGCAGCAACTGTTGTGTTTTTGTGTAAGAACCAGTGTCCAGCCAGGGGCAGAGGGCTGGGTAGGAAAGGGGAAGGGTGTGCTGGAGGGGGACCTGCATAGGCAAAGGCCCTGTGGTCACCAGGGTTTGCAGGTCTGAGTCTTTCCGTCCCCCTCCCCCCCCACCAGTTCCTCCTTCTGTGCTGGGAGCTGGCGCTGCCCAGGAGGTGCTGGGCCTGGCTGGTGCTGATGTGGAGCTGGAGTGTCGGACCTCAGGGGTACCCACGCCCCAAGTGGAGTGGACCAAGGATGGGCAGTAAGCGACCTCCTGGTGGATGTGGGGGGGTGCTGGGGCTGGGGGAAGTTGAACTCTGAGAGAGATTGACAGGTGTGGCACGTGCCACCCAGGGCTGAGAGAGTGGGCAGCACGGGTACCTCCTGCCTAGCAAGACATTCAGGGTGACCGGCTCTTGCCTTGCTTGCAAGGGTCTTTTCATCACTTGGTCATCCTCTCTCTCTTTTTAAAAAAATGTTCATTCGTGAATATTAAGTAAAAGTCACACAACATACGTTAACCATTTTAAAGCTTTCCGTTCAGTGCATTCAGTGTATTCATACCTCTGCTACCATGGCTCCCAGCTAGTTCCAAAACACCACCATCCCACAAAGAAACCCTACACCCATTAGGTAGTTCTGCCCCACTCACCCCTCCCCTCTGCCCTGGCAGCCCCCACCGCTTTCTGTCTGCAGACTTACCTACTCTGGACATTTCGTATAAACGGAGTCCGAGGACACGTGGCCTTTGGGCCTGGCTTATTTCACTCAGTATAATGTTTTGGGATCACCCATGTTATAGCAAGTGTTAGAATTTCATTCCTTTTTTGTGGCTGAGTAATATTCCACCCAATGGGTGGACTGTGTATTGTCTATCTGCTGATGGACACCTGATTGTGAATAGCATCTGGCCTGACTGACGGCTCCAATGATACCTCCCAGGCCTGTCCTTCCCGGAGACCCTCACATCCAGCTCCAGGAGGACGGCCAGGTTCTCAGAATCTCCAGCAGTCACCTAGGGGACGAGGGGCAGTACCAGTGTGTGGCCTTCAGCCCAGCTGGCCAGCAGGCCAAGGACTTCCAGCTCCAAGTCCACTGTGAGCCCACTGGAGAGCTTCCTGCCTGGCTGCCACTGCCTGGGAGGGAGGATGAGGGCAGGAATGGGGGCCCTTGAGGGTAAGCCCCCAGCCCAAGACAGGGGGGACCCGAGGGCAGGTGACCCAGGGATTCCCACTCTCCTCTTCACAATCCACTCTTCTCATTCCACTTGGAACGATGGCTTCTTTCACTTTTTCTTTTCTATTTTTAAAATTCCGTGGTGCTGTGGATGGAACCCAGGTCCTTGCATATACTAGGCGAGCTCTCTCCCACGGAGCTGCATCCCCAGCCCTGTTTACTTTTATTTTGAGACAGGATCTCAATCCTCCTACCTAGACCTCTCCCATAGCTGGAATTGTAGGTGTGTTCCACCAAACTCGGTATATTTGTTGAGATGGGATCTCGTGACCTTTTTGCTCAGGTTGCCCTGGAACCATGATCCTCCCCCTCTCTGCCTCCTGAGTAGCTGGGATTACAGGCACGAGCCACAGTGCTGGGGCTGAAACATAACTTATTTAAAAAGCTATTTAATATCTCAATGGTAAATGGAAAGTAGTGGTATTTGCCATTAGTAAAAGGAAGCAGGAAAACACACAACTGAGGAGAAGCAACTGCACGTGCAGAGTGATTTCATGCTGTGCCACCTGCACCCCTACCACCACCCCAGTACCAGTGGTGGGTGACTTGCCCTGGGGAAGCCCTGACCTAGTCCCTCCACAGATGGGGAGACTGAGGCCCAGAGAGGGGACAGGACCTACCCCGGGTCATACAGTGAGTTAGAGGCAGAGTGGGGTCCAGAGCCCAATCCTGTGACCCCTCCTCACCACCCCTCCCATGGGACCCAGCTTGCTTCCTGCCCAGCATGTCTGACCTGGCCTTTCCTGTCTGTTCCCACACCACCACTACCCAGCCCCACACCCTCCCTGTCCCCTCAACAGAAGCCTGTGGTGTGTGCTTGTGGCCCACGGCATGTGCGGGCTTCTCTGGGGAGGATGCCAGCCCCCGGGGGCAGCCCGTGACCAGCGCTCCCCCTGCTGTGTCCTCAGCACCCCCCACCATCTGGGGCTCTAATGAGACGAGCGAGGTGACCGTCATGGAGGGCCACGCAGCGCGATTCCTGTGTGAGGCCCGAGGAGTGCCCACACCTGACATCGTCTGGTTCAAGGACAGGGCCCCACTGCCCCCCAGCCCTGAGGCAGTCTACACCAGGGGCGGTAGGCAGCTGCAGCTGGCCAGGGTCCAGGGCTCCGACGCTGGCGTCTACACCTGCAAGGCCAGCAACCCTGCAGGAGTCACAGAAAAGGCCACCAGGCTGGAGGTTTATGGTGAGCGGCGTGGGCGGCGGCAGCATGAAAGAGACCCTGGGCCTCTGCTGTCCCTGAAGGCCAGTGAGGGGTGGCCACTTGCAGCGCTCAGAGGTGAACAGGAAGCCATCCCGGGAGAGGGTTCTTCTCAGGTCTCTGTCTTCCTCCGTGCGGAGAACCCGAGGTCAAGGGGCAGAGCCTGGGTAGGAGCTGCGCAGAGCCAGGTCTAAAACACAGAGTCCCCTTGGGGTTTGGGCTTTTCGCTAAACTGCCCAGGTGGCAGGAAGCCTCTGACAATTAATTGCGTATAGTTAGTGACGTACTGAGAGCCAGGCCTCGGGTCCTCTGCAGCTTGATCCGGCTTGATTGGCTGGTGCAAGGACTCATATCCCCACTGGACAGAGAGATTTGCCCACGGTCCCACCTCAGGGAGGAGCAGGGCATCTCATCCCTGGGAGGGGCTCACACAATTAACCTCAGCATGGGTGTCCTAGGGGCTGGGTGAACAACTAGGAGGAAAGGGTGCAGGTGGTCTTGGGGGGGTCTGAGTGAAGTTTGAGGGGGCAGAATACAGACTGGAGGTTGGGGGGTCGTCGTGGAAGCTCTGGGCCTACAGAAGCCCAGGGGCCTGAAGGGAAAGATGGCTGTGTGGGGTCCACGTGTGTTCTTTACGTTTTCAGAGCAAAGTTGAGAAGCACCTTGAAGCCCATCCTGCGTCCTGGGCATTCAGTCCCCCAGCTTTGCAACTTGGGGTGTCCCAAAAAAAGGCAGGAGGAAAAGCATCCTGCTCCAGCCTGGCTGTGTGGGCTCTCAGCAGTTCAAATCCTGTCTCCCGTGGCTCCTATTAGCTGAGTCGGGAGTCCTCAAAGCCACACTGTCTAGGCTCAGGGCTGCCCAGCCATCTGCTGTCACAGTCTGGGGAGGAAGGGACTTCTGGGACCAGTGGCCTGGCCCTGGGCCCTGGGGACCCATCACTCTGGTCAGCAGATCCTGTGGCCTCCCATGTGCAGATGCAGAGACACAGACACAAGCTGGCGTTCTGCTCATGATGAGCTTGCGAGACTCTTCTAGCCAGGCTCTGGGAGAGGCTCCCAGGAGAAGACCGTGTCTGAGCAGGGGTCCAGCCCCGCAGGGAGCATTGCCACGGGCTCTTGGGTCCCTGAGCAGCCTCTGCCTTTTCCGTAGTCCCACCCACCATCGAGGGCGCCGACGGAGGACCATATGTGGTGCAGGCCGTGGCTGGGAGGCCCATGGCGCTGCAGTGTGTGGCCAGAGGCCGCCCGCCTCCCACCCTCTCCTGGCACCATGAGGGGCTGACAGTGGCAGAGAGCAATGGGACGTGGCTGGAGGCGGGTGGCTCACTGCGGCTGGAGAGCCCAGGGGAGGCGTCCCGAGGCCTGTATGGCTGTGTGGCCAGCAGCCCCGCCGGCGAGGCTGTGCTGTGGTACAGCGTGGATGTGCAGGGTGAGCCTGGCCAGATCTGCCCACTGCCACCAGACCCACAATGTGCTTGTCCCAAGCATCCCTGGAGTGGGTGGGGGTGCAAGGAAAGCACTGGCACCTCTGTCCTGTATGCTGCAGGGGAGGACATAGACCTGGGCTGGGGGCCACAGGGTAGGAGGCCTGGGGTTTAACCTGAGGTCTAAGTGCCCACTCCTGCTCATGACCGTATGCCGGTCACCCAGGACAGAGAACACCATGCTGCTTTCCATCAGCAGAAAGGACATTTACCAAGTCCTTGCTGAACGCAGACACTGGAGCAGGCAGTGACGGCTTAGCCTAGTCTCACTTGCCATCAGCACTTGCAGCCTTTTCCTCTGTGCTGCCCGTGTGGCGTGGGAGAGAAGCAGGGAACAAGGCGGACAGGACTGGGTCCCAGTGGGGGACAAACATTAAATAAATGGACCTGAGCCTGGGGGGAGACCTACTGCAGCCTGAGGGTAGCCCTGGAAGGCCTCCTGGGGGAGTATTTGTGGGGAGACTTGAGGTAAGCCTGGGGCCTTGGGGGGACCTGAGGCTAGGGTCTGCTCAGCTCCAACCACCCAATGGCTTGTCCTGTCCACAGTGCCCCCGCAGCTCCTGGTGGCTGAAGGCTTGGGCCAGGTGAACACCATCGTGGGACAGTCCCTGGACCTCCCCTGCCAGGCCTCAGGCTCCCCGATGCCCAGCATCCAGTGCGTACAGGGCACAGAGTACAGGGTGGGGGCAGGCAGAGCATGTGTACTTTGGGGTGAGGTGGAGAAGGGAGCCACCTTCTGTTCTTTGAGTGTGAAAGAGGCCATGACCCTGGGGATGAGAGCAGCCAGAGGTGCTTCTAGGCCTCCTGGTTTATTCTGCCTGCCTGGCTGGTTTTCCCTCCTCTCAGGCTGACCTGTCCCCCTCCCCACCCACCCTAGGTGGCTGCAGAATGGCCGCCCAGCTGAGGAGCTGGCTGGGGTACAGGTACTCTCACAGGGAACAGCACTGCACATCGACCGTGTGGATCTGGACCATGCGGGCCTCTTCGCCTGCCAGGCCACCAATGAGGCAGGCACAGCCGGGGCTGAGGTGGAGGTGTTCGTGCACGGTTAGTGGGCACCTGGGACTCTGGGGTAGTGGGCAGCCCGAGATGCCGGGACAGGCAGAGCCTGGACAGGACATGGAGCCAGTCTCACCTGGGTGTCACTTCCGGGCCAGACTTCCCAGCTCCCCCAAAGAGATCTGGGCATGAGAGGCTGGCCTGGACTGCTCATCACATTTGCTGTGTCCTCAACCCACTCCTCTCCCAGCCTCCTCTCTCTACTCAATCTCTTCGTGTGACCATGTGGAACCCTCATTCAGTTCCTTAACTTCATCATCGCTCACTCTCTCCCCTCTGAGTCGGCCTAGCTTCTCCCTGTCTTTCAGCTCTATCCTGAAACATCCTTTCCTCCAGGAAGCCTGCCTTGACTCTACTGTCTAACTGTACTACCAGCCTCTAACAGCAATAGCCTACCACCACTACACTGGGATTGCTTGTGTGGCGTCCATCTTGTGTGCTCTGAGAGTGCAGCACAGTGGCTGCCTTTCTCTGGTGTATCTAGAGGCTGGAACAGTTCTGGGCACAAGTAGATACTCAATGCACATGTGGACACACTGGGCGGATGGATGGATGGATGGATGATGAGTGGATGGATGGATGAATGGATAGATGAGTGGATGGATGGATGGATGGATGAATGGATAGATGAGTGGATGGATGGATGGATGAATGGATAGATGAGTGGATGGATGGATGGATGAATGGATAGATGAGTGGATGGATGGATGGATGAATGGATGGATGGATGGATGAATGGATAGATGAGTGGATGGATGGATGGATGAATGGATGGATGGATGGATGGATGGATGGATGAATGGATAGATGAGTGGATAGATGGATGGATGGATGATGGATAGATGAGTGGATGAATGATTGGATGGATGGGTGGATGGATGGATGGATGGATGATGGATGAGTGGGTGGATGGATGGATGATGGATGGATGATTAGGTGTGAATGGGTGGATTGATGAACGGATAGGCAAGTGGATGGGTGGGTGGATAGAGAGAACTTTTAAAAAGAACAGCTCTGCTGGCCCCCAGTCTGGAGTTCCTTCCTCTAATTCCCTAATCCAGGTGTTTGGGGGTAGGGAAGTTAAACAGCACCTCTTAGGCCAGTCCCACAAGGCCACCCCTTCACCTCTAGACATGAGGGGATTTCTGAGTGTCCACTGAGCCCTGATCCAGGCTCTTCCTGTCTCTCCCTACCCAGAGCTCCCATCAGTGCACATCATCGGGGATGAGAACATCACAGCCCTTTTTCTGCAACCAGTGGCCCTCCAGTGTGTAGGGGCTGGAGTGCCTCCCCCAAGCCTCCGCTGGTGGAAGGATGGGGTGGCCCTGGCAACCTTAGGAGGGAACCTTCAGGTACATTCATGGGCCCTAGGGCTGGCTGGCAGCTGGGCACAAGTGGAGGGGCTGCTCCTCAGGGATCCTGGGACCCTGGTAGCATGGAGGTGGGACAAACACAGAGCCCGCAGCCTGGGAGTGCTCAGTGGACCCTGGGATACTGGGCCTGGAGAGAGGAGGGGGCCCTTGGCTTATTCCAGGTCCTGGGAACTTCAGCTGTCAGAGGGAGAAGCCAGGGATCCAGAGAACCACCTGGGATCTGGGTGCTTGGTCCCTAGCTCACTCCCAGAGCTGTGCTTGCCCCTGGGGGATCACTCCCATGTCCTGTCACTGCTCAGACTGTCCCTAGTCCTGAGTTGTGTGGTTTCCTGCATACATAGCCCCCCCAACACTCTAGTCTCTCCTCCCTCCAGATTGAGAAGGTGGATCTGAGGGATGAAGGTGTCTACACCTGTGCTGCCACCAACCTGGCTGGGGAGAGCAAAAGGGATGTGGCGCTAAAGGTTTTGGGTAAGGACATTGGTGCCACCCAGGCCCAAGGCCTGGGATGATGGGTGATTCCTTGGGGGCCCTTGGGGTGGTTGAAGATGCAGAGGTTTTAAAATGACCACTGTTCACTTACCTTCGGAAGATGTAGGCAGTATTGTAATGAAAGTGTTGACAATCACTCTGTAGTCCCTTCCAATTGTTCCAGGGATGGGTCTTGTCCATGCTTATGGTGACCTTCCTATTGGGTTCAAGTTTGGGGCTCATTTGCATCCTTGCCAGTGTGGGCTGGTCCCTGCCCTGGTCACTCTCCATGACTGCCAGGATTCCAGCTCCTGCTCTGTGTGTGGGCTGTGGCTCCTCCTGGGGGCTGGGTGCCTGGAGGGGGCAGTGTTGGGGAGGGCATGGGAGGTGCTGTATGACTGCAATGAATATCAAAGCCCTCTGCTCTTTGTCCTTGGGCTTGTTCCATGAGTAGGGCCTGAGGACAGACCTGTAGAGCCTTGCAACTCAGGACCCTCTGGGAAGACTGGGGAGAGGCATGGGGTAGATGGAACTGTAGCAGCCAGAGCCCACACTCACCAAGTAAGGTCTCTCCTTGTCTCTCCCTAGTCCCCCCCAACATCGAGCCAGGCCCAGTCAACAAGGCTGTGCTAGAAAATGCCTCAGTAACCTTGGAGTGTCTGGCTTCAGGTGTGCCCACTCCTGGTAAGAACTGTTCCCTTGGCTGAAAGTCCCAGTTCCCACTGAATGAGGCCAGCAAGTGCCTGGCACCACTCTGTTGTGGACACAGAAACAGGACAAGGCCTTGTTTCTCCTACGCCCTCCACGGTAGCTGCTTACCCAGAGCCCTCCTGCCAGGTTCCCACCAGGGCCCAAAGCTTTACCCTAGTGCCTACAGCAAACCTGTAAGGCTTCGGCTCAGAGTTTACGGGGGCAGAGACCAGGACACCTGTCCCCACCTGTCTGAATTTTCTCTACCTCGTAGTTGAGGAAACGGCTGGGTGCTGGGGTCAGATGTGGGTGTTCGGCCTTTAGGCCTGGGGTGGCGTTTATGAGGGCCTAGGAGGAAGTCCCATCTGCCCCATGTGAACCAGGTGCACCCTGGGAGTATTTGCCCCTCCCATGGGCACCTGGCACATTCTGGATAGGTTTGGCAGGAGGTAAGGCTCTTTTGCCTTGCAAGGCTGCTGTCTGGGTGGCATGCCTTCTCTCTAGAGTTTTTGGTTCGAGATCTTCAGGTAAGGGAGAGAAGAGGGGCCGATCTGGGTTTGACCCTCCCACTCCCAGCTGCCCCATCCTCCACCCAGGGGCCTTGCTCTCTGCCCTTGGTCCTCCTCAGGCAACACTGCCCTGTTCTGGCCAGAACTCTGGCTTTCTCTAGTGTCTGAAAAAAGTGTGGCCACTCTGGAAGCTTCTCCTGATGCTCCCTCTGCCAGCAGAGTCTGAGAGCCAGCAGGACCCCTGGATGTTTCTTCTCTATCCCAGATGTCTCCTGGTTCAAGGGCCGCCAGCCTGTCTCTGCCTGGACAGGGTTAACAGTATCAGCTGATGGGAGAGTCCTCCACATCGAGCGAGCCCGGCTTTCTGATGCTGGGAGCTACCGCTGTGTGGCATCCAGTGTGGCGGGCAGCACAGAGCTGCAGTATGGCCTGCGAGTCAATGGTGAGCTGTCTTGAGATACATGCACCCTGTTCCAAAAAATTGCCTTTCCTTCCACTTGTCTGTTACTCTGCCCATTCACCCACCCATCTATCCATCCATTCATCTGTCTGTCCATCCACCCATCATACCCATCCAGCCACTCATCCCCGTCTGTCCTTCCATTCATCCATCCACGGTCTATCCACTCATCCACCAACCAACTAGCCAGTCATTTTTCTATACATTCATGCAAACATTCAACTGTCTATCAACTGATCTAACCATCTATCCATTCCAATGTCTGTCTATCCATCCAGCCAGCCAGCCAGTCAGCCAGCCAGCCTTCCATCCATCCAGTCATTCCAAACCATCCATCCATCCACTCCTGTACCCATCCATGCAATCCACCCACCTAAGCACCCATTCCTCCATCTCGTAGCCAACCACATCTGTTACATACTCTAGGAAAAGGCCCTGGCACTGCAGCTCTGAATAGGAAAGACCAAGAAGTGTTCAGTCCAGTAGAGGATACAGGAATCAGATCATTATCCAAAATACAATTGTGATAAGCGCTAGTAAATGTCAGGTACTAATGTGTGTCACGGGGAATGCAGGGGCCATCTTTGACAGCTAGCTGCCTAAACTGAAACTTCCTATAAGGCCCAAGGCTGAAGAGACTGAGGAATTTGAAAAACTGAAAGGAGGCTGGGGGACCTAGGGAGTTCAGGGTGGTGTTGGTGGCCATCTGGGGCAGTGGGTAGCTGGGCAGGGGCTAGGGACCCTGGACATCATGATTTATGGTCCCCAGCTGCAGTGGAATTTTCTGGAATCCCAGGAGGGACTGTTTTATCTGAGACCTTTAAGTAGGGAGAGGCCCTTGGCTCTTGCCCCCACACCATCCCCATAATAAATGACTTCCCTCCGACCCAAGAACCAAGTTCAAGTGCTGTTTCTGCCCCATCCTGCTAGTTGGCCTTGGGCAGATGACTTTCCCTTTCTGAGCCTCCTCTTCCCATCAGTAGAAGGTTCTGGTGGTTTGGCAGGATAGGACAAGCAGCTTCCTGTGTCCGGATGTTGTCTTGTGCTTTCATTTGTGGCTTGTGCTCCTGAGGGATTTCAGCCCATGTCATCTGCAGTGGGGCTTAGCTGGGTCCTATGCCTCCCCTGCCCTGCAGTGCCTCCCCGGATCGTGCTGCCTCCCAGCCTGCCAGGCCCAGTGCTGCTTGGCGCCCCCGTCAGGTTGACCTGTAACGCCACTGGTGCCCCCAGCCCCACGGTGATGTGGCTGAAGGATGGAAACCCTGTGTCCACTGCAGGGACCCCTGGGTTCCAGGTCAGTAGGGCGGGTGTCCTTGGTTCACCCTCCTGGTGTCTCCTGCAGGTGCTGGGAGCAGAGATCAAGCCCTAGGAACTGAGGGGGAGGGAAAAGCAGAGCCACACTGCCCAACAGAGACATAAGACATGTCACCAATGCCTTCATATGCAAATTAAAGTTTTCTTGTAGCAATATTAAAATGAGCACAAATAAATAGGTGAAGTCACTTTTTATTATTTTATTTTTAATGTGTTAGTGAATCTAATTTAGCCAAAGTCGTTCGTCCATCATGGGATCAATAGAAAAATCATTGATGAAGCATTGACACACTACCTCTGCTTGTCTGGATATTTTACATCGTGGCCCATCTTGATTCAGACTGGCCACACATCAAGGGCTCAGAAGCCGCATGTGGCCAGTGGCCGCCATAGCAGGGTGACAGTGTGGCTCTAGGGGACTCTTCCTGGAATGATGGTTTGGGTGCCACTCATAGTTTCCCTGGCTTGTGGGGACTCTAGGGGCCTACAGCAAGCTGTCCAGGTATACCCAGGTGCAGGGCCAGCTTGTAAAGGCAGGTTCTGTGAGGGACAGCAGGACCTTCATCTCATATGGGCTTCCGTCTGGGGACACAGGTCTTCCCAGGGGGCCGGGTCCTCACCTTGGCCAGTGCCCGGGCCTCCGACTCCGGCAGTTATTCCTGTGTGGCTGTGAGCGCTGTGGGTGAGGACCGCAGGGATGTCATCTTGCAAGTCCACAGTGAGTTTCAGGACAGGAGAGCTGCGTGTTCCAAACCAGCAACTCCAAGAAGGAGGGGTGGGAGCCCTTTGAGTGTGTCCCCAGCCACATCCAAAGCAAGGGAGGGCAGCTGAATGGAGGAGGTGCCCTCCTGACCCTGTGGCTACCTTGGTGTAGGGCTAATTGGAACTCAACTCCTGTCCCGGAGTGTGGGCTCCAGACAGGGGCTCGTGGATCAGCAGGCAGGTGACCCTGCACACCCGGTAGCTCTGTGGTCAGGGAAGTCACAGAAGGAGCCTGAAGCAGCAGGAGGAGCTGCCAAGACTCAGAAAGGAGGCCCAGCATCCTCTTGGTGCCTGGCCACATTTGGGTGGGGGCTTTCCCTCTGGAAGGGCAGTGTGGGTGGTGGCTAGCAACACTGGCTTTTGAGTATTGTGCACCTGAGGTTCAAATCCAGCCTCTGTGACCTTGAGTGAGTACCTTCACTCCTTGGAGCCTGTTTCCTCATCTGTGAAATGGGGCACGGGGGAGAAGAGCCCCCTTTCATGGTTGTTGTGGGGACACACAAGCCACTAAGCCCAGGGTGCTGGTTGCTATTCTTTTTTATTTTCTCAGCTGGGTTTTTAAGGGAATTTACAGGGGGCCAAGGAAGAGCTGGAGGGAGTGCAGAGCCCGGTAAAGGCAGTGAGGAAGTGTGCAATTCCAGCTCTTCCTCTACTGGAGGAAGATCATAGGTAACAGGTGCTTGTGTCCACACACTACACCTGTGTCATTGCATTCCCTCTCACAGCAGCCCCATGAGGCGAGGGCTTTCATTATCCCCACTTGGCACATGAGGAAACTGAGTCCCAGGACAGCTGAGCAATGTCTCCAGGGCCTCCTATGATGAACGAGTGGCAGAACACAGCAGCTCAACCCAGGAGCTCCAACTCCAGGCCCTGTGTTCTTTACCTCTAAGCCCCACTCGTTATTTTTGCTTTGGGAACAAAAGGTGGAAACTGATTTAATTTTTTTTAATATAAATTTTGAGCTTTTAAAAACTTGGGGTCATTGTTGATCACTGTAGACTCACATACAGTTGTAAAGTAACAGATCCTGAGTGTTCTATCCCGTCTCTGTCAGTGGGGACATCTGTGAACCCCAGGACAGTGTCCCCCAGCACATGGCTCTGTTAAGCCCATCTGTCTTGTTCAGCTTGGGGCCTCCCTTTGAAGCAGGACCGTGGGGTAGTGCAAGGAGGAGGACTGGAGGCTAGGGGCTCCATCCTAACAGTGACTCCCATGCCCTAAGGTTTGCTCCTGGCATTGGAAGTGGCCAGGTGACGTAGTCGTGGCCTGTCCTGTGAGTCCCTCAACATGCCTGAGAGAGTCCCTCTCCTATCCCCTCTGCAGTGCCCCCCAGCATCCTTGGAGAAGAGCTGAATGTGTCTGTTGTGGCCAACGAGTCCGTGGCCCTGGAGTGCCAGAGCCATGCTGTGCCACCTCCCGTGCTGAACTGGTGGAAGGATGGGAGACCCTTGGAGCCGCGGCCCGGCATCCAACTCTCTGCAGACAAGGCCCTGCTGGAGGTGAGTGGCTGCCCAGTTAACTGCCCAAGGCTTGTGAGGCGCTCCAGCACACCATGAGTGTGGGTTAGCACAGTGAGACCACTGAGAACAAAACCCTAGGACCCCTGATGTAGATAAAGGCTCCTCTTTCCCCTACCCCTCTACACCTTGTGATATGATCATTCCCAACTCTGAGCCCAGCCATTTGACTTTTCCTCCTTTACCTTCATTCTTCAAATTCTTCCTCACCATCTCATGACAGCCCCCAGTGGCCTGTCCTGCCAGAATCAGGTCAAGGGCTGGCCTGGCACAGGGCTGACCCCTTAGCAGTTCTGGGCTGTGGGTGTGAAGCTGGGGAGCTGAGGGGGCTGCCATTGACGAGTTTGTTCTGTGTGGCTGGTGCATGGGCCCATGTCAAGCCCACCACAGGCACTTCCTGGTGTGGGGGGGTGCCGTCACTGCCCCCATGTTCCCGGGGTGAGGTTGGGCTCAGCGAGGTTACCTGACGTGCCTGATTGTGACATAATGCTACAGATCGTCCAGGGGCAACCCCATGTCTGCTCCCCCACTGACGGGTTTGTCTTTGCTCTTGGCCAGGTGGGCAGAGCCGAGGTGTGGGATGCAGGCCGCTACACCTGTGAGGCTCTGAACCAGGCGGGCCGCTCTGAGAAACACTTCAACCTGAACATCTGGGGTAAGGGTCTCCAGGTCGCTTAGGGCTGGCTCCCAGGTCCCAGGGAGGTCACCCAGCTGTGCACCAAGACATAGCCCTTTCCCACCCTCCTTTCCCCCCAACTCACCTCTCTGCTCTGCTCAGTCCCCCCAGAGTTTCCCTCCAGGGAGGTGCACAACCTGATCGTGAGTGAGGGGCAGCCAGCCAGGCTCTCCTGTGACTGCCAGGGCGTCCCCTTTCCCAAGATCTCCTGGAGGAAGGACGGTAGGACCCTGCCTTTGCCCAATGCCTAGTACCTAGGACTCCCACTCCACTGGGACCCATCCCAGAGCCTACCTGAGGGGGGTGCTTTCAACCAAGAGGGTTGCCAGCTACAGTGACACTCTCCAGCTCCTTGGCTTCTTCCCCGCCCCTCCTGGCCTGTGAGAGGCAGGTCCACTTTTAAGGCTCACATCACAGTCCCTCCTGGACCCCAGCTGGGAAGGGCCTCTGTGTGTGGTCATTGACCTTCATTCTTCAGTTCTGCTCCTCCATGAGGCTGTGAGCCCATGAGACGTTGTCTTGGCTACTGCTAAATTCAAGTTCAATCCCTGGAACAAATGAAGTGCTCAATAAATAAACACTTGGGATTCACCTAACCAATTTATGGAGAGCCTGTCTGCCAGGCCCTTCTCTGAGCCCTGGGAACACAGCGATGGACAAAAAAGGCCAGTCCCCTCATTCATCTGGGGGCAGTCAGATGAATATGTGATAGCATATTACAAGGGGCGAGTGGCTGAGGACAAATAAAGCCAGGGAGGGGATGAAGTGTGTCGTGGTAAGATTTGGAGATTTACGTTGAGTAGTTATAGATGTTTGAGCAAGGTGGTGTTGAATCTAAGAATATCACAGGAAAAAGACAGACGTCATGGTAGGTGCAATGGCCCTGGGACAGGAAGTAGCCACGCATGATGGCAGAACAGCAGTCCTGCAGAACAGCCAGCTCACCAGCCATGCTCCACCAGGAGCATGGGCACTGCCAGTGAGGAGGTATGTGCAGAACTCTAGGTGAGAGGTGTGGCCACCTGGACTCGGGAGCTGTGCCATCTCCAAGATGGGAGTCCCTGGGGGCAGGTCTGGAGGGACCTGGAGTTCAGGAGGAGTGAATTTTGAAGCAAGGTTTGGTACCCAGGTGTGGAGCTCAGAGGCCAGGTCTGGACTAGGAATCAATGTGGGAGCCACTGAGGTCACCAGGGAGAGACTATGGGTAGAGAGAAGAAGATAGGAAGGAGCATGGGTGACCAGATGGCCACTGGGTCCCTCCCGTGTTGGGTCATGTGGTAGCTCATGACCTTTTGGCCTATGTCTCTGTAAACCAGTCGAACCCATCACCTCCAGAGGGGTCTGCTTGCTGCCAAGTGCTCAGCTGTCTGGTCTTCCCCTCCTACCCCCATCACAGTCACTCAGTGGGTGGGTCATTTGCTCAGTAGCTGTCCTTGAGCCTTGCAGAGTGTCAGGCCTAGGGTGCCTGAGATGATCCCGGGGGAAACTGAGGCAGGTTTGAAATCGTGAAGGCCGAGGCCAGGGTGGGATTCAGACAGGTCACTTGCAGGCAGGTCTGTGGTGGGAGCAAGTCTGGGGAGGGGAGGCTCAGAGGGGTGCTGAGACCTAATCTGGCACCCAAAAGCATCCTGGAGGAGGTGACCCTACATGGCTGCCTGGAGGATGAACAGGAGTGGGGGTGAGTGCGCGGAAAACAACCATTCCAGGTGGAAGGACCTTGTGTCCCTGTGGTGGACGGGGGCTTGTTCTCACTGCCCCAGGTCAGCCCCTGCCAAGGGATGGGGCCGGCCTGGAGTCGGTGTTGGCTGTGGGGAGAATGCTGTACCTGGAACAAGCCTGGCCAGCCCAAGAAGGGACATACACCTGCGAGTGCAGCAATGTGGCAGGGACCAGCAGCCAGGACCAGCGACTGGAGGTGCATGGTGAGCAGTGCCAGGGCTGGGACAGGCATGGGTAGCTGGCAGGCCGGACCCGCAGCCAGAGTCCGTGGATGTCAGGAGCGGTGATGTCAAGCTCCTCCCTGTCAGCACCTCTCAGTTCCCAACCTGTTCACAGGGACAGGGACATGTCCCTGTGTAGCTCAGTGATGAGGAGGAAGGAATCTTGTCTTGAGACAGATAGGGACATTGAAAGAAATGTCCATTTCTCTGTATAATGAAACCCCAAATCTCCATCTGCTTTTGCTGTGATGATGCAATGAAATGTCTCAGCCTTGTCAAAATCCTGCTAGAGGATGGGTATGGTAGCTCACACCTGTCATCCCAGCTGCATAGGAAGTGTAAATAGGAAGACTGAGGCTCAGACCAGCCTGGGAATAAACTCAACACCCTACTCAAAAAATACCTAAAGCAGAAAAGGCTGGTGGCATGCCTCAAGTTGTAGAGTACCTGCTTAGCAAGCACAAGGCCCTGAGTTCAAATCTCAGTACTGCCAAAAAGAAATCATGCTAGAAAATAAAGCCCAGACAAGGGGGACCACCATGGAGTCCACCCCTGACCAGCCCCAGCAGCTGCTTTGGCTCTCAGAGCCTCTGGTTTTGAGAAAGGAAGCCCTGCGCAGATGAGGAAGAGCGTGCTATAAGCACACATATGCCACGAGGGGCATGCCTGCTTTAGTCCACAGGGTATGAGGAGAGGGTGTAAAGAGAGGTGGTGTTCTCACCCTGTCATAGAGATGGAGAGGCCCAGAGAGGTGAGGTTACCTGGCCAAGGCCACACAGCCAGCGAGTGCAGGGGGAAACACAGGCCTGAGTGTGCCTCAAGGGTGCTTGCCCAGGGCCTTTTGCTGGCCAGTGCTTGGTGTGGGAGCCCAGTTGCTCCCCTGATGTGCTTTCTGCACCCCCTCCCAGTTCCCCCTCAGATTGCTGGCCCCCGGGAGCTGCACACCCAAGTCTCAGTGGTCCAGGATGGGGAGACCACCCTGGAGTGCAATGCCACAGGGAAGCCCCTGCCCACAGTGACATGGGAAAAAGATGGTCACCCCGTGGGGATGGAGCCTGGCCTACGGCTGCAGAACCGGGACCAGAGATTACATGTGGAGCTGGCACAAGAGGCCCACACTGGCCACTACCGCTGTGTGGCTCAGAACATGGCTGGGAGCACTGAGAGGAGGTTCACAATCTCCGTGCTAGGTGAGGACCAGTGACTGGGGAGGCAGGACCAGCGAGGGCAAGGCTGGTTCAATTGCCAGGTACAGCCGTTGGGTCACACTCCTGGGTTCATGCTCTTCCTGGAGTCAGGTCTCTAATAAGGACTGCTGTTGGGGCCACCACCAATATGACTCTCCAAATCAGGACTGACCCCAAATATCCCTGATCTCCCTCCCTCCCTCCTTTCCTTCCTTCCTTCCTTCCTTCCTTCCTTCCTTCTTTCCCCTTTTGCCTCCCTCCTTCCTTTCTTTCTTTCCTCTCTCATTTTTACTACTCCTGACTGTATTCCTGGCCATGCTTTGCATAACTGGTATGATATGAAGCGGGGATTGAGAGACCAGAAAGATCAGAGAACTTGCACAGTGTGCAGGTCAGGACTGCCTCCTGGAAGAGCTGGTCTGGGGCTGAAATGAAAAGGCTGGGCAGGAGGTTGGGGGCTGCTGGGGTGACAGGAAGAGCAGGCTTGGCAGAGTGGCAGAAACAGCCTCACTTCTCCCATCATTTGCTAGGCTCCTCCCGCAGGCTTGGAGTCAGCTTCAGGGTGGAGGCCAGGTGTAGTAAGGGGAGGGAGTGAGGGGGGCAGGGGAAGTTTTAGGAGGCCCCTTCTGACCATGCCCTGGCCTCCCTGGGGTCTGAGCCTTCCTTGTGCAGCTGCCCCACTTGTAGAAGGTGACCTCCCTTTCAAGCAGACTCCCTCAAAACTACCGTGTTGCCACTCCCCACTTCCTGCAGTGCAGGTTTAGGGAATGCATTGGCTCAGCTTTGTAGCCAGGCACTGGAGTAAGCACTTTATGCACATTCTTGTTGAATCCTCTTAGCATCCCTCTGAAGGGTTGGGGAAATTGAGGCCTGAGGTGTCTGCCCAGCCCCCATGCCCAGTCAGTAACTACCACTTGCTCCCTCTTAGGGCTCACAGGCCCAGTGGGAGCAGCTCTGATCCTGTTCCTCCTCCAACCCTCATTGTGGGGCCCCAATGAGGTGGTGGAAGGTGGGGGTGGGGAAGGAGCTCAGGACACTGTCTGCAGCCTGAACACATCTTTACCTCTGGGTCTAGTGCCCCCCGAGCTCATCGGGGACTCTGACCCAGTGGCCAACATCACTGCTGCTTTGCATGGTCCCTTGACGCTGCTCTGTGAAGCCACGGGGGTCCCAGCCCCCGTGGTCCACTGGTTTCGAGAGGAGGAGCCCATCAGCCCTGGGGAGGACACCTACCTCTTGGCAGGTAAGGCATCAGCCAGGGGTGTCCCGGGAATGAGGTCTGGCCCTCTGCCCATGACTGACCCCTGAGCTGCCAGGCCTGGTTAGGATAACCAATTCCACCTGCTGGTCTCCAAACATTGGTCAGGAAGTTTGGAAAAGGTTTCCTACCCTGCTCCCCTCCCCCATGTTTCCCAGTGAACATTTGTATAGTAAAGTTTCTGATAAGTTCTGCAGCAAAAAAAAAAACAAAAAAACTCTCTTGGCAATTACAGAACATCCCATAGACCAGTTACAAACTTTTTGAAATGCTGATATAAGCACCTTCTCTGAATAGTCATTCTCTACACAAGATTGTGATGGTTCTCACTAGTAAACAAATGGGGAAACTGAGGCTCAAGAGGTGGTATCCCATCCCTGAATCCCACATGCATCCCCACAAAGCACTCCTGCAATTGGTAGGGGTGCCAGGTGCATCATGCAGATAGGGACTCAGAGCCCACACCTGGACCCAGCAGAAAGGGGAATGGCGATCAATTAGTGGTGCCTGCCCTGGGTGCAAAAACAGTGGTGACAGCATGGTGCTGCCTTTCTGATCCCAGAAGGCCTATGGTTCCTCTGAGAGGAGCTGGCCGCCCTCAGGGGTCCTTGGGAGAAGAAAACTTTTTCTGTGCCTGTTAGAGTAGAATAGGGATCCGACATGGACCAAGATTTCATAGCCCATTGCTGTCCCTAATTAACCCAGCCAATCCCCAGGGCCACTGGTGGCCAGGGTGACAGATCCTTCTTACTAGATCATGGTCCTCAGGCTTATTTTGGTATGTGTGCTCCATCCATTTCCTTCCGCTCTGGGGCCTCAGTTTCCCTCCTGAGGAATAGACACGACACATCTAGTTATAATGCTTGGTGCTTCCCTCTTCCTGGTGGGCAGGCAGAGGCTGCTCAGAGCCAGGCTGGAGTCCATGCCCTCTCTTCCAGGTGGCTGGATGCTGAGGATGACCCAAGTTCAGGAGCGGGACAGAGGCCTCTACTCGTGCCTGGCCAGCAATGAAGCTGGGGAGGCACGGAGGAACTTCAGCGTGGAGGTCCTGGGTACACAGCAGCCCCATGCTCATGGGGGCCCTGGCGTCCTTCCCTTCTTGCCTGGGAGCTTCTGGGGCAGGCAGGGAAGGAGGGGAGGCCAAGACTTGTTTTCTTTGCCTCGTCAAAAACCTCTGCTCTAAAGCGCCATGGAACTTTCCAGAAGCAGCAGGGACTAACCAAGGTGGAAGGAAGCAGATACTCTCATAGTCACCCACACTGCCTTCTCTGACCACCAGGGCCTTGCCCCAGGGGCCCTGGGACTCCCCCTTGGGCAGCAGCTCTGATGTTCATTAAACTCACTGTCTTGAATGAGCAGGCACAAGGGATGAGGAAACTGAGGTTTGGGAAATGAGGTGCCCTGGCTCTTGGCTTCCCACTCTGTGACTATGCAGCCTGAGTGGGCCACCATGGCCAGCAGTTGTCTCTCTCACTGCTTCTTCCAGTTCCTCCCAGTATTGACAGCGAGGACCTGGAGGAGATGATCAAGGTCTCCGAGGGGCAGACTGCCCAGCTGACATGCAATGCCACAGGTAAGGGCTCCACGATGGGGTGGGCCAGGAGAAGGGGTGGGAAGGCAGCCTTGGGAAGGAAGGGCCCAGGTACCTGGCCAACTGCCCCAGCCCCACTGCTGTCACTGAAGGGGGTATCTACATCTTGGCCTCCACATCAGGTTCCCCACTCGTCTGCACTTGCCATCTCTCTGTCCCACTCTTCCTGCACCTTACTTAAGCACATGTGGGAGGCAAATGCATTTCCCCACACATCACCCCTAGCACTTGGTAGGAGGTTCCAGGTGCATCAGCGGATAGGAATTCAGAGACCACATCTGGGCCCAGCAGAAAGGGGAATGATGATCAATAGGTGGTGCCTGCCCTGGGTGCAGCTGCAGCAGCGATGACATGGGTGCAGCATATCTGATCTCAGAAGATCCATGGTTCCTCTGAGAGGGGCTAGGTCACCCACAGACGTCCTTGGGAGAAGAAAACCTTTTTCAAAGACCCTCCACAGGGACTCCTTGCCTGGTCCCCCAGACCTAGTGGGCTACCTCCACCAGCACCACAGGCTTTGCTGCCCAGCACTGACCACATAGGACTATAGTGGCCTTGTGACATCTGACTTTCTGAGGACCCTGCTCCTGGTCACCATGGATTCCCCAGGAGTTGTCAGGATAGGTTCCATTAATGTTTATGAGCAGGATGGATGGATAGATGGATGGATGGATGGATGGACAGTGGGTAGACGATTGGATGGATGAAAGGATGGGATAGATAGACAGTTGGGTGGATGGCTGGATGGAAAGAATGACTTGCCATTCTATCTTGCCTGTATACCAAACCATCTCTGCTATTCCCTAGTAAGGGAAAAGCAACTGAATTCCAGAGGAAAGGCCTGGGCCAGGCCTGCTTCTGGTTCTTGCTATCCTTCACAGACCGTTGGGCCAAGATGAAGACTTCACCTCTGCCCTGGGGGAGCAGTCTCTGAGCCTTAGGCTCACTTGGTCAGAGACTGCTGAATGACCTCATTGTCTCCTCTGCATATAGGCCACCCACCACCCAAGGTCACATGGTTCAAAGATGGCCGGCCCCTGACTGGCGGAGACGTCCATCACATCTCCCCAGATGGAGCCCTCCTGGAGATCCTGCAGGCCAACCTGTCCAGTGCCGGCCACTACTCCTGCATTGCGGCCAATGCTGTGGGGGAAAAGACCAAGCACACGAAGCTCAGCGTCCTGGGTGAGCGCTCAGTGTCCCCTGGCCACCCTAGGTGCTGGCAGGAGGGGAAGCCAAGGCAACCACTCCTGCCTTTCCTTCTAATTCTCCAAGTATGATGACAGCGACATCAAAATAATAGCAGCTCAACTGAGCATCTGTCACGAGCCAGGCCCCGGGCTGAATTACCACAGCGCTGAGCAGTGCGCTTGTCTCCATGTCGCTGATGAAGCTCGGAGGCTTAGAGAGGCGATGTGCGTGACTCATCCCTGGGCCCTCTGTCCCCGAAGGGCACTGTGCCACATTCTGTCTGGTTAAGCTGGGGACGTAGAGAACCAAGGAGATACAGGCTTAGTGAAATCTGCTCCTGAAAACACTGGAGGTACAAGAATAGTGTGTTAGTCACTTTCCATCACTGTGACAAAACAACTTCAAGGAGGAAGAATTCGTCTCAGGGTTTCAGAGGTTTCAGTCCATGGTCACCTGGCTCCATTGCTTCTGGGTGCACGCGTGATAAGGCAGAGCTTCATGGTCAGGACTGTGTGGTAGAGCAAGCAGCTCACTCATGGCGGACAAGAGGCATGGAGAGACAGGGAGGGGCCTGGGACAAGATGCAGCCCCCAAGAACAAGTCCCCAGCGACCTACTTCCTCCACTAGGCCCCTCTGAAAGTTTCCAGAATCTCCCAATAATGCTATCACAGTATGAATCCATCGATGGATTCATCCATCGATGAGGTCTCAGCCCTCATGGTCCAATCACCTCTCAATAGTGCCATCAGCCGAGAACCAAACCTTCAACATATGAGCCTTCCCAGGGACATTTCACAGCTAAACCATAGCAGAGAGTCCTCTGCGAGGGCCAAAAAGGAAAGTTTAGGATCAATAAATGCAGAGGAGAGAAAAAAAAATAACACCACCTCAGCTCAGGGAGGGGTACAGACTAGAAATACAAACAGGGCAACAAGACTTTGGTTAAATTAAAGAAGCTAGCTATTTGAGATAGCTATTTGCTATCAGGAGGATTGCAATTTGAAGCCAACTCCAGGCAAAAAGTTCACAAGACCCCATCTCAACCAATAGCTGGGTGCAGTGGTGCATACCTGTCATCTCAGATACACAGGAGGCTGGGATGGGGAGGACTGCAGTTCCAAACCAGAACAAAAGAGTTGTAAGACCCCATCTCAATGGTATGGCACCTGCCATTTCAGTGATGGAAGCATGAAATAGGAGGGTTGTGGGCCAGGCTGGCCTGGGCAAAAGACAAGACCCTATTTCCAAAATAACCAAAGCAAAAGGGCTGGAGGTGTGGCTTGAGTGGCAGAGCGCCTGCCTCACAAGCACAAAGCCCTGAGTTCAAACCCCAATACCACACACACACACATGCACACAGTAGAAGCGAGGTGTTGAGAAGACCCTGAGAGGCTGCTGGGGAAACTGAAGCAGGTCACTCAATTTCCCCGTCCTAGCTATCTCTCAGTGGTGGAGAGCGTGGCTCTGGGCATCCAGGCCTGAATCCAAGTCTGGCTGCCCATGCATGTCTCCATTGAGCCTCAATTTCCCATCTGTGTCACAGCAGCAGCAAGACCCAGCCCAGGATTCTAGCTGGGAAGATTCTAGGTAGGTCTTCAGGTCCAGGGTCTATGTTCACTAATGCCTTCCTGCCCGCCACAGTGGTTCCCACCATCCTGGGAGTGACCGAGGACAGTGCCGACGAAGAGGTGACTGTGACCGTTAACAACCCTATCTCTCTGATCTGTGAGGCGCTGGCCTTCCCTTCCCCCAACATCACCTGGATGAAGGATGGGGTTCCTTTTGAAGCCTCCAAAAACATCCAGCTGCTCCCAGGTGATGCAATGAGGGGACAGATGACACAGGTTGGGTCAGCCTGAGCTCACACCTTTCACGAGGTTTCGGCTACAAGGTGACCCTGGCTGCTGCCCCCAAGCAGGTACTCATGGGCTGCAGATCCTGACTGCCCAGAAGGAGGATGCCGGCCAGTACACCTGTGTGGTCACCAATGAGCTAGGGGAGGCCATGAAGAATTACCACGTGGAGGTCCTCAGTGAGTTGGGGTCCCTGTGGGGCACCAACTGGAAAAGGAGGAGGCTGCCCAGGAACTCTGGGATCCACACTTGAGACCTCAGGGTGCCCTTCTGTGGCTGTGTCCTCTGATGGTCATGGGCAGCTGTGGGGGGGAGGGGGGTTTCTGAGGACCCTAAGAGGAGGGAATAGTGGGTCAAGACTTGCTGCACAGACCCCTCCCCTAGTCCTGACTTCCTTCTGCCTCTTCTGCCATGGAGGTACAACCAGAGGCTTGAGACCTGGACCCCAGGAAGGACCTCTGGGGTCACCCAGGGATAGCCTGCCTCAGACCTGCCCTGTCTCATCAACACCTCAGACAAACGATCTGTCCCTAAGTGGATGAAAGCCGGTTGGCTTTCATGATGGATTCCCCCACCTTTGGAAGCCAGTGCCTCTTTCCTGGGCTGTCCCCTAGAACCAGGGGATCTCAGGGTCTCAGCACCCCCACCTCCAGGCCTGTTCCTCAGGCCTCCCTGTGGCTTTTCAGTTCCCCCTTCAATCTCCAAAGACGACCCCTCCGGAGAGGCTGGCATGAAGGAAGTGAAGACGAAAGTCAATAGCACCTTGACCCTGGAGTGTGAGTGCGGGGCTGTGCCTCCGCCCACCATCAGCTGGTACAAGGACGGCCGGGTGAGTGGAGGCCCGGGTGGCCTCAGGCCCTAACCTTGGGGTTTTACTGGTTCTCCTTGGAGCCTTCCAGAAAAGGGAGCCCTAAAAACACCTGGTCCTAGAGCTGGTTCGCTCTGTCCCTTTATTTTTTAATGAGAAACCCACCTCTGTCGGGCACAAGTCTCACATGCATTAAACTCTACTGTCTTACCTGTTTACTTCTCTCTCAAGTTGACGCCATTTGGATTTGGTTTTACAAAGTTGTCGGAGTGTTCCTATCACTTTACATTGTGTTTTTAAAAATTTATTAAAATGTAAATATGTTGTCTTGGTGCTTTCTGTCCCCTCCTTTCTGATCTCCTCCCCCTCCTTCAGCCCGTGACCCCCAACCAGCATCTCCACATCCTAGGGGAGGGGCGGCTGCTCCAGATCCAGCCCACACAGGTCTCAGACTCTGGGCGATATCTGTGTGTGGCCACTAATGTGGCCGGAGAGGATGACCAGGACTTCAACGTGCTCATCCAGGGTGTGTGGTCAGAGGGGCCAGTGGGGGAATGGCCAGTGGGCCCAAGGTGGGATGCTCCTGCAGGGTAGAAGGGGTGCACTGGCCAGCATGACCCACGGGGGGAGCTGTCGGCAGGCTGTCTGGAGCCCAGCACCTCTCTTGGCAAGGAGTCCCACTCGGGCACACCCCACTGACCTATCCATCTCAACAACCCAGAGGTGGAGAACGGCTCGGTGCCCTCTACAGCTCAGGAGTTAGGCTCAAGGAGATAAGGTCCCCTGCCCCAAGTCACAGAGGCTGAAGGCCAAGTTGAGGGAGGGATGGGTGGGGTTTTGCTGCACAGTGCTTTGGATGTGACCTGAAAGGAGGAACACCCTTCTTCGTCTCTGGCACCCAGGACGTTAGACCCTCACCTTGGCTCTGTCATTAATATGTCACATGACCTTGGCGTGTCACTGTCCCTTCCAAGCCTTAGTTTCATTGTTTGCAAGAGGCAGGGGGTCAAAACATGTGACCCTGGACCCCTTCCAGTTCTAACAGCTGATGGTTTTGGTGCGCTGATAAATGCAGGCTAAAACTGAACACCTGGCTTCCTCCCTCACAGATCTTCCTGTCTTTTTGTTTTGTTTTGTTTTGCAACACTGGGGTGTGAACTCAGGGCCTACACCTTGAGCCATTCCACCAGCCCTATTTTGTGATGGGTTTTTTTGAGATAAGGTCTTGCAAACTATTTGCCCCAGCTGGCTTCGAATCACAATCCTCCAGATCTGTGCCTCCTGAGTAGCTAGGATTACAGATGTGAGCCACTGGTGCCTGGCATCTTCCATCTTTTGAGGCCACTAGATATGAGCTCTATAGGGCAGGAAGCTTATCCTAGAGGCTCCATAGTAGTTGCCCAGTAAACACAGCTAAATGAGGGAGTGAATGTAAGAAATGCCTTGACCCAAGGGAAGGGTTCAAAGGGCGGGCTCCATGGCTTCCCAGGCTAGTGGGGAGCCCTTGCCCTGCTGGCTTTCCTAATGGCTTCATCTCCTCCACACAGTGCCCCCCATGTTCCAGAAGACGGGTGAGGCCGATGCAGCCTTTGAGATCCTGTCCCACGAGGAGGAGGCCCGGGGTGGGGTGACAGAATATCAGGAAATCGTGGAGAACAACCCAGCCTATCTGTACTGCGACACCAATGCGGTCCCACCACCAGAGCTCACCTGGTACAGGGAGGGTCAGCCCCTCTCAGCCACGGATGGGGTCTCTGTGCTGCAAGGTAGGCAGGTTGGACGCTTGGACGCTTGGGCGCTCTTTCTTTGCACTGCCTGCTGTGTGACCTGTGTGATCAACTGTGAATTCTGACCCTGACCACAGATACAAACAAACTTCAACTGAGCTCAATTATGGCCACTGTCCCTTGACTCTGCATGCGTGAGCCCTGCTTCTGACCCTGGTCAAGGCACCCAGGGCTGGGATGTAGCTCGGTGGTACAGCGCTTGCCTAGCTTGCGTGAGACCCTGGGTTCGATCCCAGCACCAAAAAGAAAAGACAAAAAAAAAAAAAGGCACCCACAGCCTGGGCTGGGGATCCTTCTACCCAGAACCCTAATCTGGCCCCCACTACAGAACACCAGCCTCTCATAGACACCAGGTTCTGTCCCTGGCTGGTTTGGCCCAGGGTCCCAGGTAACATAGACCCAGGTAACATAGACCCAGGAACTGCCTCTTTGTCTCCAAAAAACTTCTCTGGTTGTTGTCCAGTGCTTTGTCTCTTCCCTTCTGCCCTTCTGAAGAGCTGGGCTCAGCACAGCAGTGGGTCCCAACAGACTTCCAGGACTGGGAGCCTCAGTTTTCTTGCCTGTAAGATGGGGCAGCAACTGCAATGCCCCATAGAGCCTCTGCACCCAGGGCCTGGCATACAGCAGGCTGTTAACTGCACTTGAGCTTGATCCCCTCTTGACACATGAGCCAGGCAGGGCAGGTGGAATCTTTCTGGCTTCACAGAACACATACAGGGCAGCATCGTGTCTTAGGCCCCTCCAGAGGAAAAAGCAGAGCAGTTTCCTTGGTCTTGAGGCAGGGCTCTTTTTTTATTTTTTTTCTTTTTTTTAATTTTCTTTTTGGCAGTACTGGAGTTTGAACTCAGAGCTTAGCACTTGCTAGCCAAGTTCTCTACTACTTGAGCCACACCTCTAGCCCTTTTTGTGCTGATTATTTTTGAGATAACATCTCAGTTTTTGCCCAGGCTGGCCTTTTTACATGTGCCACTGAGATGACAGGCATACCACCACATCCAGCTTTTTCCATTGAGATGGGGTCTCGCAAACTGTTTTGCCCAGGCTGGCCTGGAACTGCAGTCCTCCTGATCTCAGCTTCCCAAGTAGCTAGGATTACATGTGTGAGCCGCCAGTGCCTGGCTTAGTTTTTCCTTCGTTTTCAGAGTTGTTGAAAACTCTCAATCCTCTTGCCTCTGCTTCTTGATTGTTGGAATTACTGGGGTGGGGGTCTTGCCCCTGAGCTCAGGCCTCCATTCTGTGCCCCTGCAGGAGGCCGGGTTCTGCAGATCCCCCTAGTGCGGGCAGAGGACACTGGGAGGTACTCGTGCAAGGCCTCCAATGAGGTGGGAGAGGACTGGATGCACTACGAGCTGCTGGTGCTGAGTGAGTGACCTCCAGCTGAGTGAACAAGGGAAGCCCAGGCCCCAGGAGGGGCTCCTCCTGAAGGGACCGAGTTGGAGTGTGTATAGCCTCACTGTACTGGGGCTGCAAGCTTATAATGGGGTTGCAAGCTTCAGCTGGGAAGCCCGGCAGAAGTGGCCTCAAATCCTAACTTGATCACATGCTGTGTGACCTTGAGCAAACCACAACCCTCTCTGTGACCCACATTCCTTAACCAAGTCTGGGCCTGGGAGGTTTGGTGAACACAGCCCAAGGCCCCCACCCACACCTGACACCAAGTTATTTTCATCTCCCTCCCTGCTGCCAGCCATGCACCTGGCCACTCCTTACCCTCCTGTCCCCAACTCTAGCCCCACCTGTGATCCTGGGTGACGCTGAGGAGCTGGTGGAGGAGGTGACCGTCAACGCCAACAGCACTGTCAGCCTGCAGTGCCCAGCCCTGGGCAACCCAGCACCCACCCTCTCATGGCTTCAGAATGGGCTGCCTTTCTCCCCGAGCCCACGGCTGCAAGTCCTGGAGGAAGGACACATTTTGAAGGTGAGGACTGACCCTACCTGAGTGAAGGTGGCCCTGGGGGCGGAGGGAGGGGAGGGGCCACCTAGCCTTGTTCATGTGAGAATTGAGAGGCCATCGTTGTCTGGGCAAATAGCATCTGTGAGGATCCCTGCTGGGAAAAGTGCAGGGCTACCCAGCATCTAGACATCCAGGTGACACCTGGTGCAGGAGGGGCATGCATACAGCATCCAGAACCCAGCCAAACCCAGGACAGCCCACATGGGAGGCTGGCGGCCTCACACAGAGCCATGCGGCATGCAAGATGTCAGGGAGTGCCCTGGGCCTCTCCAGACAGGGGCCGCATAGGCTCCCTGGAGGCCCAGCACAGCCCTATTTGACTCTCTACATCCAGTTTGCAACAGAGAATCAGCCAATACCAATCCCCGCCCCACCCAAAGAATGTCACACAAAGCCCTAGATAAAGAGACCTTAGGAGGGACTCCCTTGGTCTCTGTGAACCACTTGGTGCCTGCACGTCTGCTACAGGATGGGAGGGCATCCTCACTCCTCCAAGGTAGAGATGAGACAAGGGCCTGTGCCACCCAGAGCTGTTGGGTCTGCCCCCCTCCTAGGCACTGACTTCTTATACCCACAGGTTTCCACCGCAGAGGTGTCTGATGCTGCCAGCTACATGTGTGTGGCTGAGAACCAGGCAGGCTCTGCAGAGAAACTCTTTACCCTAAGGGTCCAAGGTGAGTTGACTGAGCAGATAGCCTCTGTGAACTCCTTGTCCTTCCTCAGGCGCCCTGGACCCACACTCAAGGTTTAGGGACTCTAGCCTGGCACCAGTCACATGCTGGGACAGGAAGCATTTGGAGGACCCCTGATCACTACTAGGTCAATCCCAGATGGCTGTAAGCAGCTTTGGAGGCAACCCAGGGGACAGCTATTCCCAGGCCTGAGAGCACCTTTATTGGTCACTTACTGTATAACCAACATGGGACTGACACCAGCACAGCCAGGATACTGGCCTGACTGTAAAATCACTCAGAGAAGTCACCTGGGTAGGGGTTTCACCACCCTGGAATCTATACTCCAGACCTCTGCATTCTCAGAAGCTCAGATATGGAGATGTTGGGAGGAGGTGTTGAGTATTTTAAGTCATGGACTCAAGCCTGAACTGATCTTTGGGCTGTGCTGCAGCTGTGTGGCCTTGGAAGAGTGACTCTCCCTCTCTGATTTCTGAGCCGCAGGGTGCTCATGTGGAAAACACCAATGACAAATAGAGGTTTCCTAAGGGACTGTGTGAAGAGGTCCAGAAGCTTGGGAGAGGCCCGTGGTGTCACTCCTGGCTGTCTGCTCCCTGCCCATGGGCGTTCTTGCATCTTTCTTTATCCAGTCCCACCACGAATCATAGGCCAGAACTCTGAGCAGGTCACCACCATCCTCAATAGCAGTGTTACTCTCACCTGTGAAGTCCACGCTCACCCGAGCCCTGAGGTCACCTGGTACAAGGATGGCCAGGTTCTCTCCCTAGGCAAAGAGATTTTCCTCCTGCCTGGTGAGTAAACTGAATCTTTGGGCCCAGCTTGATGCTATGTGGGAAGTCAGAGCTGTGGCCTCAAACCTGAGAGAAGTCGAGGACTGGGGGAAGGCCCGGGGGCCAGGCTGGCTGTTGGTGTGAGGTGCCGGCTCCCCGCAGGCACACAGACACTGCAGCTGGCCCGAGCCCAGCTGGCTGACGCTGGGACTTACCTGTGCGAAGCTCTCAGCGCTGCTGGCCGGGACCAGAAAGTGGTGCAGCTCAGCGTGCTAGGTACGTCCTGCTCCCACCCATGCTGTCATCCCTTCCAGTCAGCCCCATGCCCCTTGGGCAGCAGAGTCAGGAGAGAGCAGCTGGCTCTGGGGCACCCTTTGCTCTCTCGTTTGCTCTGTGACCTTGGGCAAGTGGTTTCCCATCTCCAAGTCCCAGATGTCTCATCTGTAAGGTGAGTCGGTGGAAGGGTGAAACGCTGGTGTATGCAGCCAGTGGTTCACTGTCGGCGTTGACGGTGGTCAGGTTAAGGAGAGGGAACAGCTGGTGAACCCTTAAAGCTAGGCCAGGAAGGGGCCATTGCCAAGTCTGTTTGGTCACAAGATCTTGGTTTGGGGTCTATGATGTCTTGTGGTCTTCAGAATCTTCTTGGGGAAAAGTTGGTCCAAGGAGTCAAGAGCCAGGATTCATCGGAATGTTCTTTGCAGCCCTGGGACTGGCTCCTTCTTTTGTGTGTATGCAGCATGCACCAGACGCCGTGTCAGGTCCTGAGGGTGCACAGCCAGGCAGGGAGCTTCTATACTGGTTAGCTGGAGTGACAGGGCACCGAAGTGAGAGCTGTGCCCCAACTAGGTGCCAGCCCCTAGGAAAGAGGGCTGTTGGCATCTCCTCCCATGTCTAGGAAGGAGGCTGAGGCCCAGAGAGGACACAAAGCTGCCCCTGACCACCAACAGGTTCTGGTGTGCTGGCCTGGTCTGCACTAGCTGTCAGGGTTGGGCCACTGTGTGACCGTTGGGGGCCTCCATAGACTGTTCACCTGTGTCAGAGCCCAGGAGGACTTGGGGAAGGCCATGGGCATCACCGGCTTTTCCTGCTCTCAGTCCCCCCCAGTTTCAGGCAGGCTCCTGGCAGCTCTCAAGAGGCCATCCTGGTGCCGGCAGGGGACAAGGCTGTCCTGAGCTGTGAGACAGATGCATATCCTGAGCCGACTGTGACCTGGTACAAGGACCAGCAGCCCCTGGCCCTGGTGCAGCGGATGCAAGTTCTTCAGGGGGGACAGAGGCTGGAGATCCTGGCCTCCCAGGTGAGCAGCCAGGGACAGCATGGTGGCGGGCTTAGAGGAGGGAGGTGGCAGGTATATGGCAGAGCAGGGGGGCTGCTCCTTGACATGAGGGGAGACCTGGCAAGGGCATGGGGCTCCCAAAAGTCAGACTCACAATGTCCTTGAATTGGTCCATTCCTCACTGCCTGCCTCAGTTTCCCTAAGATTTAGAAGCTTTATCTAGGCCCTTCTGGCTTGCCATCTGTGGCTCCCAGGAGTCTGTCCCCTGGCTCTCTCTCCCTGGTGTGGATTAGACACTCTCAAGTGTTTGTGGCCTGCATATTTGCCTCTTCTCTGGAAATCCTCTGTGTGCTCCTGTCTCCTGGCCCAGCAGCAGCCCCAGAGTGAGGGGACAAGCATGCATACTTACCTTCCAGGGCTCCCTGCCTCCTGAGGCTCTCGGGAAAGGCCAGAAGTTCCCTTTTCCTATAGCAGCCCAGGCAGGACCAGCATCATTGCAGTCTCTATTCTCAAAGCTTCTGGTGCCCGGATATTCAGTGGAGCCCAGGTCCCCCACCTTAGCCCTTCACATGGTCACCATGACCGCTTCCTGTCCCAGGTTGCAGATAAAGGTGTGTACAGATGTAAAGTCAGCAATGTCGCAGGGGAGACCACACGGACCTTCGTCCTCACCGTTCAGGGTAAGATGAGCCCCGCCTGGCCAGCACAACCAGGTTCCTCCTGCAGCACCTGGGGCTACCAAGGACGAGAACAACAATGACTAGGAATAGGCAGTTGTCAAGGGTTAAGGTCAGGAGAGCTGGAATTTAAAAGATCTGGATTAACAGGACTCTAGTAGAAGTCTGCCAGTGACCTGCTTTATGGGACTTAGTAGAGTGACCTGGTCAAGTTTTCTTAGGGTCAGATACATGTCAGTTAGAGTATAGCCTTGCTGTGTAACAAACAGACCCCGAAATACAATGGATCTAACCAGAGATAAGTCTCATGCAAAAACCCAGAGTGAGTGTCTAGGCTGGTGAGGTCGCTCAGCTCCATATAGGAATTCAGAGACCCAGGTTCCTTCCATCTTTTTCTCCTCCATCTCTTAGGGTGTTGTTGTCCCTGTCTATGTGGTTGAAGCTGGGAGCAGAAGTGGGGGCCAGCATTTGTGTTATGCAAAGGTGTTCCATGAGTGGGGGCCTTAGGCAGCTGGCCACACAGAAGGGAGGCTGGGTGGGGTGTATCTTCTCCTTGCACAACCAGCAAGCTCAGCCAAGACCTTCCTGTGCACAGCAGGAAGAACAGGCTGGGCAACCCCAGCAGTGTGCCACAGATAGCAAAGCCCGTAGTCTCCAACCAGGTGTGTGCAGTGGTATAGACAAGGCTGAGCCATACTGAACGTAATCCTGACATTTTCCGTCCTGGGCTTGCTGCTCCAAGCTCACAGTCCCTTCTGACAGTTCCCTGGTGAGCCGTGGGAAGTGAGGGTTGTCTGGCTCTGGAGGACAAGGACCTTTTATCTTGAGCCCAGCTGACTCTGTGCCACTGGTAGTGCCTGCTTGGATGCATGACTTCATCCTGGCTGAGCAAGAGTGTGTTGGGATTGACTGGTGATGTCTGCCCTGGCATAGGTTAAGGTGTGCTGGTGGGCTCTGCTTCGTAGATGATTTGAAATGACCATCTGCTGCTTCTAGTTCCTTTGTGAATAAAGCAACTTCTGCCTCCACCAATGGCAGAGTATAAGACCTGAACTCCCAACCACAGGGAAGGGCTTTGTGGCCTGAGAGGAAGGGAATGGGGGAGTCATGGGATTCTGGTAATCTGTCTTCTTTCCTGCAGTGCCCCCAACATTTGAGAAACCCAAGACGGAGACAGTGAGCCAGGTGGCTGGGAGCCCACTTGTCCTGGTCTGTGATGTGTTCGGGGTCCCTGCGCCCACTGTTACTTGGCTGAAGAACAGAATGCCAGTGGGTAAGTACAACATGTCCTGCTTGTCACCTTACTGCCTCCCTGGCTCCAGCAGGGGCTCACCGGACTTGTCACCACAGCATTGGGCTTGTATCACTACCTTCTGAGATACATTTCATGCCCCTTGAGGACAGGGACTGGGTCGTGCTCAGCTTTGGCTACCAAGCTCAAGGTTGGACACGGAGCAGTTGTTCAGTGCATTTGATGATGAGAGCCTGGCTGAACAGGTGAGACTCAGCAAGTGTGGACAGTTGGGCTGGGGCCACTACAGATGGCTTCAGGGCAGAGGTGCAGCTGGAGAAGGAGGAGGCATTCCCAACAGGTGATCAGAGGCCAGGGGGAGCCCCGTGGGTGACCTGTGTGGGGGTCACTGAGTGTCTGATGAACCTTGATAGATGAGGAGGATGGGGCAAGGGAGAGTCGGGTGAGGACTGGGCCTGGTCACTGAAGGATGTGGATCTCTTGGGGAGAGATGTCCCAAGTGAAAGTTTTGTAAAGAACAGGGTGACCAAAGAAATGGAGGCTGAGAAAGGTGGTAACCTACAGGACAGAGGCCCTGCCCTTCTGGGCCACGTTTCCCTATAAGCACAAGATGGGGGCAGGGGACTCAAGGGCTCTTCATCCCACAGAAAGCAGCGTGGTGCGCGGTGTGGTCTCCCGGGGGCCGCCTCCAGCTGAGTCGCCTGGAGCCAGGCCAGGCTGGCACCTACACGTGTGTGGCTGAGAACGCCCAGGCTGAGGCCCGCAAGGACTTCATAGTGGCCGTTCTAGGTGCGTCTGCACCCTGCACCTCCTCCCTGTTATCCGACCCCATGGCCGCCACTGTGCTACCCAGGCCTCACTGCAGCCCTGCCGCAGTGCCTCCCCAGATCCAGAGCTCGGGCATCGCGCAGGAGCACAGTGTACAGGAAGGACAGGAGGTGCGGCTGGACTGTGAGGCCGAGGGGCAGCCACCACCGGATGTGACCTGGCTGAAGGATGGTGGCCCACTGGGCCAGGGCGTGGGCCCCCACCTCCGGTAAGGCCTGGCTGTGCCTCCCAGGGCAGCAGGGCTGCTGACCCATATGTACCTGCCCTTACCAACCACTCCCTGCGCAGGTTCTACCTGGACAGCAGCTCACTAGTGCTGAAGGGCCTGAGAGCCTCAGACTCAGGTGCCTACACCTGTGTGGCCCACAACCCGGCTGGGGAGGACGCCAGGCTACACACCGTGAACGTGCTGGGTGAGACCTATCTGCTAGTGGCAGAAGTCTGGGTCTGGGTACCACCTCCTTCCCCAGGCCCCTCATTACCTCTCTTTTCTCTCTTCTGCCTCCAGTTCCCCCCACCATTGGGCAGGCTGGCACAGGGACCCTGGTGAGCAGGCCTGGGGAGCTGGTGACCATGGCGTGCCCCACGCGGGGCTCCCCACCCATCCACGTGAGCTGGCTCAAGGACGGCCTGCCCCTTCCTCTGTCCCAGCGCACACACCTCCACAGCTCTGGCCGCATCCTCAGGTAGGTCTGCTGCTCTGACCCCTGGGCAGCTGATCACAGGCCTCCAGCACCCTCTTTAAGCAACTCGGGCTTCAGCTTGGGTCTTGGAATAAAAATCACGTAAACAGGCAGAGGTTTATGTGGGGAGAGGGAGAGGACCCCACCCCCAAATGGGACTCCAGAAATGAAAGGGGCCTCACCCTATAGTCCAAAGGGGAAGCCAGAGAACCAGCAGTGACAACTGACCACATCTGCCTCTGCCTGGCAGGCTGGAAGAAATTAGGGAGGGCTTCCTGGAAGAAGATGCCTGGGCAAAGTCATGCATTCAGCAGAGTTCCAGGCACCATGATAGAGCAGTGAGCCAGAAAGAGTCCCAATCCCTGAGCTATGGGGCCAAGCAAGGGATGGAATAAACAGATACAACAGTGAGATGTCCAAGGACCGAGTGCCAAGAGGATGAACAGATCAGGGAGAGAAGACCGGAGGTGGCAGCAGAGAGAGTGGTCAGGACTAGGTGCTTGGGGAAGGTGACATCGGAGCCGATATGGAGGCAGGTGGGGGCCATGAATGCCATCTATGGGGAATAGCATCCAGGCAGAGGGAAGAGCAAGTTGGAGGACCCTGCAGAGTGGGGCCAGCGTTCGGGTGGAGGCTGCATGGCTCTGGAAGACCTTGGGTTTCCTGACAAGAGCTGGGAAGCCGAGGAGCACCGTGAAGTGGCTTTCATTTTTACCATGGTGAGACACACATGACGTAATCTTAACCATGTCCAAGTGCCCAGTGGCACCCACCTCCAGAAACTTTTCATCTTATAGAAATGGAACTCTGTTTCCCCCAGACAACAATTGTCGACTCCAGCCTCTGCCACCCCTGTTCTACCTTCTGTCTCTACAAATTTGACAACTGTGGCTATGGGAGAACCTCAAACCACAATCCTCCTGATCTCTACCTCCTGAGTAGCTGGGATTACAGGTGTGAGCTACACACCTGGTGCAAGAGGAAGTTTTGTGGGGAGAAGCAATCCTTACATAAGATCCTTTGGAACCATGATCCTCAGCCACAGGACTTCTAACCAGGGTGGCGCCAATCTGGGTTGTGCAGGCAGTTGTTGAACAGACATCCTTGCCCAGCTATTTTCTTGCAAGCTTGTGGTTCTCTCAGTCTTTGGCAACAGTGACCATCAGGAGATGGAGCATGAGAGCCTTTTCTTCATAATCCCCATTTTTATTGGCTTATTTCTATGGTTAGGGCTGGACCAAAGTGACTCCATTTTGAACCTGACAACTGTGGTGACTGAGAGGTTCTCAGACTTCCAGGACAGTGCAAGAGGGCTGACTGTCCACTTGGGAGCTTAGGGAGGTAGACATTGGGGGTGGTCAGCAAAGGGACAGTGTCAGAAGCCAGGAGTGAGTGTGGCCCTCACCCCAGGTCCTTGGGTTAGGGCAGGTCCTATAGCCCCAGGGAAGGAAGGTGCGGCAGGGGCAGGAGGAGACCGTGCATGGAGATGTGTTTCGGGAGGGCGAGACCAGCCACATGCTGGCTGTTGGCTTTGGCATAGTGGCTGTCACTGGACAGGGGAAGAAAGCGTAGAAGGAGAGGTTGGGGGAAAAAAGGAGATTCCAGAGAAAAGGGGGCAGAGAGTGGAGTTCCGTGGGTGGAGACAACTCAGGTGAGTCCTGGGGGCACAGAGTTGTTGTGTAGAGGAAGGCAGGCAGGTTGTCACTGTGGTGCAAGCTTCCACAATTTGGGAAGCTGGAGGTCTGGTTATGGGGTACCATGGGTCAGAGAAGGAAGATAGGGTGGGGTTCGAGGAAGAGCCACTTAGGGCCTTGTCTTGGGGGCACCAGGAAGCCAGGAAGGGAGTGGGAGCAGAGGCTGGACATGGGCTCACGTTTCAGAATTGTCCCTTTAAGAGTCAAGAGGGGAAAAGGGAGGGTGCACTTCCACTCTGTCCCTGTTCCTGTCCCCTGTCCCTCACTCCCTCTCTCCTCCCTCCAGGATTTCCCAAGTGCAAGTAACAGACTCAGGCATGTTCACCTGTGTGGCTGCCAGCCCAGCGGGTGTGACAGACAGGAACTTCACCTTGCAGGTGCTCGGTAAGGAGCAGGGGTGAGGTGCGTGTGTCCTTTGGCCTTAGTGAGTGAGAATCAAAGCCCTGGACCCCTATCCATCTGGGTGGGACTAAGGGTCAGCCTCTGGGTGTCTAGGTAGCACAAAAGTAGCAATGAAGTCTTCGGTTCCTTTGGCAATGCATTCATTTATCTCACATAGAGTGGGCGGGCACTGTGGGGTGCCAGGGTCTTGCCAGGCACCTGGTAGTGAGCAGTGCCCGGTCCTCAGCTCCACTAGGGAAGGAAAAGATGCGGTGGGATATAGAAGAGGGGACCTCCCCTGACCTCAGAGGTTCAGGGAAAGTTCCTGGTGTAGCAAAGTCTAAGCCAAGTACCGGAGATGAGAAGGGATTGTCCAGAAGGAAAGCAGGAATAGCTTGCACAAAGGTCCTGGGGCAAGGGCTGCCTACCGTGCATTAAAAGGCTCCTGTCCACCCTTTTGCCCTCCACAGTGCGCCCTGTCCTGGAGCCAGAAGAGTTCCAGAACGACAATGTGGTGGTCCGTGGCTCCTCGGTGACGCTGCCATGCGAGGCCAGGGGCAGCCCCCTACCCCTTGTGTCATGGATGAAGGATGGGGAGCCCTTGCTTCCCCAGAGCCTCGAGCAGGGGCCCGGCTTGCATCTGGAGTCAGTGGGAGCGGGTGACTCAGGGACCTACTCGTGCGTGGCAGTGAGCGAGGCAGGAGAGGCGAGGAGGCATTTCCGGCTGACCGTGATGGGTGGGTCATCTGTCCTCTGCCAGCTTCTGTGGGCAGGAGGGTGAGGTGGGATTCTGGGGCCCATGAGGGAAGTGAGTGTCCTGGAGGCCAGGGCTGCCCCTGGAGTGGCGCTCAGGGAAGGACTTGGCTCCAGGGGGGGACACCTGGCTGCCCAGCCTGCAGGGACCAGTGGCCTGGATGTTTGATTCTCCCAGGGCCATGTTCTAATGTCTTGTCCACCAAAACTTGGTGGTATAATTCAAAAAAAGAATCACCAGAATCTTGGAGCAGAGCCCAAGACTCAACACAGAATTTTGCGATGTTGAGAGTGTTAGAAAAATTCATATCAGTTGCGTGCCTTCCCCACATGCTGTGTCCTTGTAGGTTTTAAAGCAGAAGGCATTGTCCCAGGAAGATGGCCATGGTGGCTGATGCTTGCAGGACCTCTAACCACTGCCCTCCATCTGTTTCTGGCTCCCTGATGTCAGCCTCTGAATGGGGGGTGTGCACCCCCAGGCCCCCAGCACCTCGGTCACTGCTGACCCAGGCTGGTGTCTTGCAGATCCCCCCCACATCAAGGATTCAGGCCAGCCTGCAGAGCTGTCGCTGACGCCTGGTGCCCCCATGGAGCTCCTGTGTGATGCCCGGGGTGTCCCTTCTCCCAACATCACCTGGTATAAGGACGGACAGGCCTTGAGCAGGCCAGAGAACGGCAGCCCAGCCAGGCAGAGGCTCCAGGTGGAAGCTGTGCAGGTGCTGATGCCAGCCCACTGAAGAATAGGACTGGGGACTGGAAGAAGAGGGAGAGCAGCTGGCAGCTCCTCCTTTGTATGCAATATAGGGAGTGGAGGTGACCCCCTGGGCCATGCCTTGGGGGCTCCCAGGCTAGCCTAAGCCAAGGCTGATGCAAAAACTAGATAGTTTCCTATCCAGGTCAGAGAAATACTGGGGGAATCAAAAGGGACTTCCTGGAAGAAGCAGACCTGCATTATCCCTAAAGCGAGAGTAAGATGAGGGTGGAGAAGAATTCCTGAGAGGACAGAGGCTGGCTGGGAAATGGGATGGTAGCAACCTCCATGGGTCTGAGTGCAAATACAGCCCCTTAGCTGTGTAGTAAGGAAACCAGACTGGGAGGTTGGTAAGTAGGGGACAGAGGTCGCTGCTCACTCTGCTTCATTCCCAGGTGGGTGATGCTGGACTGTACACCTGCCTGGCTGAGAACCCTGCAGGTGAAGTTGAGAAGAGCTTCCGGGTCAAGGTTCAAGGTTGGAGTCATGGGAGCAGGGGTGGGAGGCAAGATGGGGCCTGCAGGAGTGGGCCTCTCTCTCATGTTTCCTTGTTTCCCAGCCCCTCCAAATGTGGTTGGTCCCCGGGGCCCCCGCTCTGTGGTTGGTCTGGCCCCGGGGCAGCTGGTCCTGGAGTGCTCAGTGGATGCAGAACCAGCACCCGAGATCGAGTGGCACCGGGATGGCATCCTGCTGCAGGTAGGTGCCAGGTTGGGGGTCCAGGGCATTGCTTCCACCACTCTCAGGCTCCAGACTTTGGCCAAGGGGACCCTGGGTGCTCAAGGTCTGCTCTGAGCAATAGTTTGCATGTCTTCTTGGGGATGGCCTCCACACCAATTGCTGATGTCACCCCGGTATGGATGGGGCATGGAGGTGCGGCTGGGACCTGCACCAGGGCGCTGAGCCTACAGTGCTGTTCTCGCATGAAACTTCCAAGTGTCTTTTCGTAGCTGTGTGACCTGAACCAGTGACCGAGGTTCTCTGTGTCCGTCCCTCACGTGGGGCCGGTTTGCTCTTGGGAACTTAAGGATTGCAGATCTTTCAGCAGGAGCTCCGGGGACAGGCACTCACTCCCTCTAGAGGAGCCCATTTCCTCTGGGGGTCTCAGTGGCAGAGGCCACTGTGCAGCCCCAATGGTGCCTTGATCCTCCTTGCCTGGTGCTGGTGCTGATGTGTCTTTCCCCATGGTGGGGCTCTGCAGGCCGATGCCCACACCCAGTTCCCGGAGCAGGGCAGGTTCCTCCAGCTGCAGGCCCTGAGCACAGATGACGGCGGGAACTACAGCTGCACAGCCCGCAATGCAGCGGGCAGCACCAGTGTGGCCTTCCATGTGGAGATCCACAGTGAGTGTGGCCCACCCAGTCCATCCTGCTTGCCCCTCAGAGCCACAAGTTCCCAGCCCACACCCTCCGTGCTCCTCCCCAGAGGTGCCCACCATCCATCCAGGACCAGCTGCTGTGAATGCCTCGGTGAATCAGACAGCCCTGCTGCCCTGCTGGGCTGATGGTGTGCCGGCGCCCCTCCTGAGCTGGCGGAAGGATGGGACCCCTCTGGATCCTGGGAACCCCAGGTAGGTGCCAGAGGGGTGGACTTGGGAGGGGATGTCTCAGATTGTAAACATAAACTCACTTGGGCAGTTGGAGCAGAAAAGTGCCTATCATCAGGACATGAGTGTCTCTCAGAACACAAGGACAGGCAAACCACTGGTTAATAGTGTCCGGACGGATTCGCTCTGTATTTGAGTGCTCTCTCTCTCTCTCTCTGTGTGTGTCTCTCTCTCAACATGGCAGACACTCTCCATAACACCCTCAAGGCCTCCAAATTTACAACTCCTCAGCTCACCCAACAGCAAACTCTCTGTGAATACCAAGTCCAGGTTCCCAGAGCAGAAAATACCATTGGCCCAACCTGAATGGTTTGTCCGTCCCTGGTCCAATCAACGATGGCCAGGGGCAGGATTACGCAGTACAGCTGTAGGCCTTCAGAAGGGGCACTTCTCAGATCTTGGGGCCATTGTCAGAGAGTGTGAAGATACTGCTGCCCGACAGCCCCTCTATCAACTTCTTTGATGCTGTGCTGGGGTGTGGGGAACTACACAAGGTCATGACCTTGGCCTCATGGATATAGAGCTCTGAGTCCCAAATTGCCATCCTCTTGTCAGCTTGGGGAGGGCACAGAGAGAGAGGGATGGATCTCACTGGAGACACACTCAGGAGTCCAGACCCTCTCAAGGTCCCACTGGCCTACTGGTCTCCATGGCAACTCCTCCTTTGGTGCCAGGCTGGAGGTTCTGCCCGAGGGTTCCCTGAGGATCCAGCCAGTCCTTGCTCAGGATGCCGGTCACTACCTCTGCCTGGCGTCCAACTCTGCTGGCTCCGACCGGCAAGGCCATGACCTCCGGGTCTTCGGTAGGTGGACTAGGGAAGGGTGTACTTTCTGCCTTCAGCATCCCGTCCTTTTTGGGGTCCGATCCTGCTTAGTTTCTGGGTTACCCCAGCTGTCAAGAGCCGAGAGCAGTGGCCTTCAAGCATTTTTGACCATGAAGCCCATCAGTAAAAAGTGTTGGTCCTACACTCAATGGATGCGTCCATTTACGTGGACGTTTTATGTGTGTATCACACACACTTCAAGAGAGTGACGAAGCATGCACCAAAGGCCCAATTCAAAGTCACTGGAGGCAGGGGCTCTTCCCAGTCCAATGTATCACCAGGGAGAGCCATCCTGCAGGGCCTGCCCTTGGGTGGGGCTAATGGACAGCCCATCCCTGTGTGCCGGGGGATGGGAATGCCAGGCTCAAGGATGAGGAACCTCCAGGTTGGGGAGACTGTTGGAGGTCCTCCCTGGCCCCCCTCCATCTGCTCTGTGAAATGGGCTAAGTGTGGTAGCAAATATCCCAGTCTGAACCCCAGTCTGGGCACAGCCCCAGGGAACTCCCAGTCCCCCATCCTGTACCTGTCTCCTGACAATTACCTCCTTTTCCTCAGAACCTCCAGCCATTGCCCCCGGCCCCTCCAACCTGACCCTGACGGCCCACAGCCCAGCCTCGCTGCCATGTGAGGCCAGAGGCTCCCCCAAGCCCCTGGTGGTCTGGTGGAAGGATGGACAGAAGCTGGACCTCCACCTACAGCAGAGCGCCTACCAGTAATAAATGGGGGTCCTTCTGATAGCAACCGCACACAGCGCCACACGCTGGGGCGGGGAGGGCGCCCCCACCCACAGCCTTATTGACTCAGCAATGAGGCAGAATCGGACCCTGGGGAGCCAAAAGGGCTGTAAAGATACAGGGTTGATGGCACTTGGGACTCTCAGCCAAACTGAAAAATTTGTGACCTATGTCCACTGCAGGCACACATTAGAAGTAAATGTAGGGGGCCTGGTGTGTGGCTCAGTGGCAGAACGCTGTATCTAGCGGGTGTAAGGTCTTGGGTTCCAACCCTAGCACTGTGAAAAATATTTAAAAAATTAACAAGTACAGGTTGGAGTTAGTTGGTGCTGGCTGAGCCTGGACGGCGCCTGTCCCCGGGAGCCTTGGCTCCCATTGCACAGCTGGGTCAGTGACCCTTGGAAACTTGAAAGTCTGGCCTCACCAATTAATTCACCAGATGTCTGTGGTTCTGGTGCTGGCCCACGGTGGAGCTCTGGTTAAAGCAGGTGCTCGGGGAACGGAGTGTCGGGTTGGGGATGGAGTGTGGTTACCGCAGGCGCTGCGGTAGCAAACCTGCATGTTACAGAAACAAATATCACCTCCAAACCCCACAGCTAAAACGTTGGGGGTAGAAACTTTTAGAGTCAGGGCAAGGAGCAGATGCAGGAGGAGAAATGGTCACAAGGTCCCCACACCCATACTTCCGGGGTAGGAAGGCCAGGGCTGGCTCATCTCAGAGCAGCCGCCAGTCACTCAGCCACCTGTCCATCCTGCCCAGGCTCCTGCTCTCCAACGCCCTGCTCCTCGCAGCCCCCAGCCCACAGGACTCAGCCCAGTTTGAATGTGTGGTGAGCAATGAGGTGGGCGAGGCCCGCAGGCTCTACCAGGTGACCGTCCACGGTAAGTCAGAGCCAAGAAGCTGGGGCTCTCCTTGCCCATAGGACACCTCCTACAGGAAGCTCTCCTGGATCCTGCTCACCCACACTGATGGAACTCTGGCTCCAGCACAGTTCCTGGCCAGTTCCTGGGAATTCCCTAATCCAGAGTGTTCTAAGCCCAAATCTGACCCTGTCTACCCTAGTAAAAAAAAAAAAAAATCTCTTGCTCCACGGCTGCTCACTGCCCTCAGGACAGACTGCAGGGTTCACCTGGGCCCATGAGGTCCTGTGTGATCCAGCTCTGCTCACACCCCACCTCCTCCTCCGCTCCCAAAATTCAGCTCATCCTACCACCTGCCTCATTCTGGGAGTGGGTTGTACTTCTCAGTCTAACTTCAGGGCCTTTGCATATGCTGTTCTTCTGCCAGGAACACTCTTCCTGCACCCAGTCAACTCTTGCTCTGCCTTTAGAGCTCAAGTTATCACCACATCCCTGGCCTCCTCCCGTGGCCTCCACTGCACAGTGTCTGTCTTTATGAATCACTCCAGTGTCTCTGCAGAAAGCTACTCACTGCTGTGTCTCAGCCAAAAAACAACTGCGGAGAGAGCAATTGTGACTGTCATATCCGTGGCCTCTGCCTTCCTCCCTGGCCCTTGTCACTCATGTCACCTTGTGTCCTGGTCTCCGCTGACAGTTCTCACCTCCCTGGTCCCAATAGCCACATGTGCCCCTCACCTTGGCAGCCTCAGGCCTTATCTTGGGTTTCAGTGCCTCCTACCATTGCGGATGACCAGACGGACTTCACCGTGACCAGAATGGCGCCAGTGGTCCTCACATGCCACAGTACAGGTGTACCAGCCCCAGCTGTGTTCTGGAGCAAGGGAGGCACCCAGCTCGGGGAGAGGGGCAGTGGCTATCGTGTCTTGCCTTCAGGTAAATAAGGGTGAACCTCAGAGAGATGAGGTTGAGGGGAGACTGGAGCAGGCAAAGAGGATAGAAGAACCCAGAGCAAGACAGAAAATTCTGTCCTGGCTCTGCCATCCCTTTGCTGTGTGGCCTTGGAGAACCTGCTCACCCTTGCTGAGCCTCAGTATCTCTCTCTGTGCACTGGAGTGTTGAGAGACAATAGTGGTGCCCTGAGGTGTGTGGGCAAAAGGGGAAAAAAATAACAGCTACTCTTAAGAGTGTCAGGCGCTCGTTTTATCCCAGGAGGAGGACAGTCCTTTATTCTGAACTTGTGCTCTTAATGTTGTTGTTGAAAGTTTCTTTCTTTGATGAAGCTAAGGCTATAGGAGAGTGTAGTTTTTTAAAAAATGTCTCTGCTTGTCAGAATAAAAGTGAGTGACTTTATGGGGATTTCCCAAGTTAAATGTATTTGTTAGTTGGTCAGTGACGTCCTAAAGTCTGGGGGCCTCAGTGGTTTTCAAGCCCCTGGAAACTGTGGAACACTTCCTTCCAATAAGTGCCTGTGGCAGAGCCTGGCATGTAAAATAAACCACAGCTCTGGGTTCTGCCTGAGTTTCGGTGGGGCTGTGGAATGGTCCAGAGGCCAGCGGCCTCGTCCCCCACACCCACCTAGCAGGCCTCCAGGGGCCTACAGAGGACACTGGAGATCACTCTGCTTGGTAGTCAGAGTGCAGCCTGCAGTCTGAGAGGGTAAAATGGTGTTTCCTGAGTGTCCAGGGCTAAGGGAGGGAGGATGCAGAGGGCAGAGGAGGCAGAAGTCCTGGCGGCTTCCTGGAGAAGGTGAACTTTTAGCAGAGTGGTAAGAAGAGCAGGATGCAGAACCGAGGGCCAGGAATTCCAGGCAGGGGAGCAGCCAGTACCAGAACTTCACAGTCACAGGCTCTAGAGACCATCTGTCTGATTCTTCTTTGTACACTTGAGGAAACTGAGACCCAAAGAGTAGAGGTTGTGTCCTGGGCGGGGAGCAAAGGCAGGCCTAGAACCCCAGTTCCCATGCTGTCTGGTTTCCCATGATGTTGACAAATGAGTGGGGACCTCCATCCCAGTCCTCTCACCCCCATGCTCTGTCCCCATACCCAGGTGCCCTGGAGATCGGGCAGGCCCTCCCCATCCATGCCGGACGCTACACCTGCACAGCTCGCAACCTTGCTGGCATAGCCCGAAAGCATATGGTCCTCACAGTGCAAGGTAAGGTCCCAAGTCAGGCCACCTGGACAGGTGGGCCTGGGAACAGAGGGAAGACTCTGGGCTCCTCAATCTGGGCCTGCCTTTCTGTGACTCTGATGGGAAACTGGGAGAAAAGAACTGGCTCCTGCAGCCTTCTTGCTTCCTGAGGCTTCAGAGCCCTGCTCTGTTAGAAGCTTCTCCGTCAGGTGCTCAGAGGCACCAGATGGAGGGGCTGGCATTAGAGGTGTTCCAGGACTTCTGTCCCCTGTGCCTACAGCCTCCCCTGTGGTGAAGCCGCTACTCAGCGTGGTTCGGGTGGTCGTGGCAGATGAGGTGCTGCTGCCCTGTGAGGCCCTGGGTGTCCCCCGACCGACAATCACCTGGCAGAAGGAGGGGCTCAGCATCCATTCAGGTGAGGCTGCCTTAGTGTTCTCCAGAAGGGGAGGGAAGATGCCCTTGCAGGACGCTGGGGTCCTCCTTCCTGCCCAGGAGACTCCACAGCCCTGTCAGAGGTCCCTCAGAGCCCTGCCTGGCCCAGAGACATGTCCCCACCTTCGGCTCTAGTGTCACCTTCCTGCCCTCCTTTCTCCTCTTACCACAGCCTGGGATTGACCTGAGCACCCAGTGGTCGTGTTAGGAGGTCCAGAACTCACTCTGTCACTCAGTCATTCTGTGATCCCAGCAAGTCATTTGCTGCTGTCAGACAGACCAGCTCGAGTTGCCCTCCCAGGGCCCCCTCTTCTCCACTCACCATTTTTTCCCACCACACTCAGGAGCCCGTACCCAGGTCCAACCCAGTGGACAGCTGCGGATTGTGCGCGCCAGCCCAGAGGATACCGGGAACTACCTCTGCATCGCCCAGAACAGCGCAGGCAGTGCCATGGGGAAGACGAGGCTGGTGGTGCAAGGTGGGCCTGCGGAGGGACCCAGGTGGCTCTGGAGACCCAAGGCTTGGAGGGTCCTGAGAGCGTCTGCCTTCACTACCTGCTCAGGGCACCTACCTGTCTCCTTTCCTCTCAGCACTGCCTATGGTTCTAGAAGTAACCAGGAGAAATGTCTCTCTCGTGCACAGTCTGGCTTCAGACATAAATTTCCATCCTTCTGCCTTCTCTGGTACCTCCTGGGACACTGGTCTGGCCTTCCCTCTTTCATTAGGACTTGTTGTTGACAATAGGCCTTTCTGTCACCTTCTGCAATACATGCAGTTCTATGTGCCCCTCCCTTAGTTCACTCTACCGTCTTCTCCAACAGTAAGGGGGGTGGGCATCACTGGCCACACGTCCCTGCAGTCTTCTGAGCATGCCGTACCCTGGGCCACTTGGTGGGTGTCTTCCTTGGCCATTACTCAAGTTGTATGCTTTGGTGTGAACTCAAGAGAGACTTCAAAGTACCTAGTTGTTCTGGCTCCATACCTCCTCCCCAAGCATGGTCCACCATGCTTTGCTCCTCTGTGGCCTGGTGCATCGTTGCTCCTCACGACAAGCCTGACACTAAGTGCACCAGCTAGTGATTCACTCTGCCCCTGTGTGGCTTTTAAGGAGGTGGAAGGTGCCTAGGCTTTGTGACAGCTCCTCTGCTCTTGGTCTTGGAGGCTGCCACACTCAAGGGGCCTGTGTCCACGAAGGGCTACCCCAAAGTTTTCAGTCACTGTGTATGTTTATGTGCACAAGTGCCATAGGGTCACCCCGCCTCAGTCTCCAGATTGTCCCAGCACAGCAGTGACCTGTGACTGGGAAGGTGGTAGAGGCAGCTGATGGTAGGGCGCAGGGTACGGGGAGGGCAAGCTAAGGGCCAGGGGTTCTGGGGCAGAAGAATCTCACCCCAACCCAGCCCCAGTCCACCGATGAAGCCTCCCTCACCCTGTAGTCCCTCCCATGATCGAGAGCGGCCTCCCGGACCTGTCCACCACCGAAGGCTCCCACGCCCTCTTGCCCTGCACGGCCAGGGGCAGTCCTGAGCCTGTCATCACCTGGGAAAAGGATGGTCAGCCCGTGTCTGGGAACGAGGGCAAGTTCACCATCCAGCCATCCGGGGAGCTGCTGGTGAAGAACTCAGAGGTGAGGCCCCAGCTGAGAAGGAGAGGGAACCATAGTAACCATGGTAACAGCTAGAAGCCATGCATTGGCTGTTTACCCAGCACTGCACTGTACCTGGTTGTTCCCCGATACATTGCTCCCAACAGGATCAGGCATCAAGATTTCAACCTGGACTTCATTGGTCAGCTCCAGGAGGTGAAAGGGATAGGGAAGGGGCACATGGTGACAACTTTGTGTCCCCAAAGTACCTAGTTGTTCTCAACCATACCCTGAGAGCATGTTTGGAGGTTCTAGCAGGGGAACACAGCTACTTGTATACCCTTGACCGAAGAGCAGTCCCACTGTACGGGGAAGGTGGCCTGCTTCACTGACAGCACAGCTTAAGAGGGCCACACATGGAGTAGGGAGGGAGGGGATGCCTGCCTAGCCAGCCAGGTGAGCTGAATCAACCTTGGCGATCAATGGATGGCAGATGTCCCGGGCAGATCGCCCTCACACCTTCAACCACGCCATGACCTGACGTTGAATGCCCCCCGTGGTCTGGGGGAGGTGTTGAGCCAGGACTGTGGGGGGGACCCCAGGCCCCCTTCAACACTCCGTAGATTCTGTATTTGCAAAAAGCCACTCTCCTGATGGGCAGGTAGCTGCAAGTGACACACACCTGCAAGGGGTCACCTGGGCCTTAGATCCTGCCTCCCAGGGGCCAGGCAGAGCAGTGCGGAACTTCTCCCCCTCAGAGTCTCATGGCTCTCTGTAAAGGTACTGAAAGAAGGGCCTGTCTCGGGTGATTCAAGCATGGACCAGTTGGCCCAGGTCAGGTCTGAACATGGGGCCCAACACACCCTAGGTGCTCAGGAAATGGGGCCAAGTTGAGTCGTTCCTGTTATGTGCATGGAAGCACAAAGGTACAATGGTGAAACCGACCTACTGGTTAGCTGTGTGACCTTGAACAACTCACTTCACTTCTCTGGTCTGGATGCTCCATGGGAACCCGGGGCAGTGGGTCTCCCCTGGCATTCTGGCCCATGCCAAGGCTGGGGACAGCTCCCAGGCTGATGCCTCCCTTTGCCTGTAGGGCCAGGACGCTGGTACCTACACCTGCACTGCCGAGAACGCCGTGGGCAGGGCCCGCCGCCGTGTGCACCTCACCATCCTGGCACTGCCTGTCTTCACCACCCTGCCTGGAGACCGCAGCCTGCACCTGGGTGACAGGCTGTGGCTTCGCTGTGCAGCCCAGGGAAGCCCAACACCCCGGATTGGCTGGACCCTCAATGACCAACCAGTTACAGGTCTGGACCTGCTGGGGACAGGTGGGACAGGACCCAGGACCCCAAGAGGTAGAGGCGGGAGGCAGGTTCAGAGACCCAACCACGTGGGGAGGAAGTGGTTAGTGGTGAATCCTGTGGGCTCTGGGTCTACAGATTGGTCCTATGCAGGGAGACAGAGCAGACCTCTGTCTGATGAACCACCTGTCAGAGCTGGCAAGAAGTCACTTGCTCAGAAGACAGCCCAGAGACCTCAGGCCAAGAGGGGAGACCTGTTTTAGCCCAGAGTTGCTGCTCCTGTGCGCAGCTCTGTCTGGGACCCAGGTGACAGTTAGGCAGACAGAGGGCCTGCACAACCCACAGTAGGCATTCTGTAGGCGTCTGCTGCATTCATAAAGTGCTAGGTCCCCCCCTCTGTAAAATGATAACTGTTCTACTTCAGGACACAGCCCACCCATTCCTAATTAAGGAATTTTTCCTTTCTGGTGGTACTGGGGTTTGAACTCAGGGCCTCACGATTGCTTAGGTAGGTACTCTACCACTTGAGCCACTCCACCATCCCAACCCACCCATTCCAACCCTAAGGCCAAGTGCTGTCGTACACCTTTGCACACCTGTGGTGAAGTCTTTGCTGGGCCTCACCACTTCCAGGGGAGGGAACTTGGACAAGCATCCTAAGGAGACAGAATGATTCAGCATGGAAGGTGCACTTGGCATTGGGTCTTGATGAATAAATGCCCCAGTGATGGTAACGGCTTTCCCATTTCTGCTGTAAGGGCCACGTCTAGCCCACAACAAAGGAAGGCAGTGTCCACTGATCGAATCCACCCATATAGGAGCCGTGTGGTGTTTCTGTGAGCGCCATGTGTTAACACACCCCTAAAAGACCTACCCTTGACCACTCTCCAAACACACTGCACTTGAAAATCACATACCAGGCAGGTTCTTAACCACATTTTCTATGGCCTGTGACTCCCACGAACAGGTCTGACTTGGCCAGCCTGCCACCCAGGGGGAAGGGACCCTCCTGCCCGTTTCTGCATTCTTATTAGGCACCTGCCTGGGTACCCAGGCCTCAGTGGGTTATCCAGAGGCCCCTGCCTGCATTTTAACCCAGGACCTGGGACATCCCTTTCTCCACCACAGATGGGGTGTCCGAGCAGGACGGAGGCAGCATACTGCAGCGAACAGCTGTCACCAGACAGGACAGTGGGACCTACGTGTGCTGGGCTGAGAACAGAGTGGGCCGTGTGCAGACAGTCAGCTTCGTCCACGTAAAGGGTAGGGTGTGAGCCCCTGGGGCCTTTCTGTTGAGACCTCCGTGCAGCACAGTCTATTGCTTTGACAAGAAACTAGGCTCCTGTCCTCTTACTGGTGGCTCTTTACCCTTGATGCATATTAGGGTCCCCTGGGAGACTTTATAAGGCTCAGGGCCCAGGTTCCACACCCGACTCTCTAAACTCGGTAAACTAGAGCATCTGGCAGAGAAACGCCCAAAGCTCACCAGCCTGTCACTTGTCCCCTTCACAGTAACCCTCAGAGACAGCGGGACTTCATTTGCTCAGTTTCAGAATAGCCTGAAGGAGGGAGTGAGCAGCCCAAGCCGTTAGGGCACAGATGCAGCTCATGGTGGACTCAAGCTAGGGATGTCAGGAAAGATGGAAGCCAGCACAGAGCATCCCATGGTGCCTTGACATTTGCACGATTCTCTTGGTGTAGCTGTTTGCAACAGATGGGTCCCAACGTTCCTATTTCCCTAGAGGTCTTGTTTTCCAAAGTGCTTTGCTGCTGGTATCATCTACCTGTGAGAGCAAACATTGTAGACACACACACAGCACCACATTCCCTCCTGCATCCACCTCAGGCATCACTAATCGATCACAGGTCAATCGTAGCACCATTCCCACTCAGCTTTCACTTCTCGCCATGGTTTCTGGTAGCTGTGCCAGTCTATGTGGTGTAGCCCACCTCCTGTTTGCCTTCCCGATGGATCGACTGTGCACAGCCATGCTGAGCAAGCAGGAGCCTCTCTGGGGTCCTGGAGGCTGCACAGCCTTTGGGGATGGGCTTATGGGAGGTTGAGTCTCAACAGATTCTTCCTCCTGATCACTCCTTTGGTGTCACCCCTGGCAGAGGCTCCTGTCCTACACGGAGAGGCCTTCTCCTACCTGGTGCAACCAGTAGGGGCCAGCATCCGGCTAGACTGTGTGGTCCATGGAGACCCAACACCCAACATCCACTGGACCAAAGATGGCCTCCCACTGCCTGCCAGCCGTCTCCGTCTCCTGCTGCACAATGGTTCTCTGATCATCCTCAGGACAGAGGCAAGGCGGGGCCACCCAGGGTAGCCCTGTGCTTTTTTGGCTTCTGGAGGTGGGGAGGGTTGGCACCACTCTTGCCCTTTGTAGTCTACAAAGCACTTCCTATCACTCCCCAGATTTTCTCTCACAAACCTAGGGGGACCTTCTGCCAGTGACATAACTAGCCTGAGCCCCCATCACCCCACCACTCAATGGGATTGACAATTATTTCTACCTCATAGTAAGAAATCCTAAGATGGCCCATGGGTAAAGTCCCACACTGTTATTAATGTGGACAGAGGAAGCAGGTAATAGTACCTCTGTGTTACGAATGAAGACACCGAGGTTTAGAGGGGCCCAGAGCCAGGATGTACAGGAGGCCGGACCCTGCCCAGGTCTGTTCCCCTTGATTCCCGATGCCTGGGTGCTGCGGCAGCCCCCTTACCTTCCGTCAGTGTCCCAAGTTCCAACGATCATGCTGAAATCCACGTCAGTCCTGATGGAGGTTCATCTCAGCCGTGTCTCGCCCATGTGGGACACCGATGTCTAGACACCGATGACTGTAGGCTGGTAACAAGAGCAGCAGCAATAATGGCTGTGGGCAGCTGCCCTGCCTAGCTGTTCTCATTCCCATCTTAGAGATGGGGAAACTGATGCTCCAGAGACGTAGTGTGTCCCAAGAACCGGATCCTACCCCATATCACTCTGGCCTCCAGATCCTCACCCTGAGCTCTGTGCTCCTAAATGTCCCCTTCTGGGCCTGGATGGGCCTCAGGCTTCCCAGCTCCATGCCCTGGTGGCACAGTCACTCAGAAGTGAGTATGGGTCCCTCTCCCTGTGTTCTGTCCCAGACTTGTGGATGTGGACATCCTGGGAACCAGGTCTCCTTGGCCACCAAAGTTAGGGGGCCGCTGCAAACCCTCTGCCCTCCGGAAGGTACACAATGCATGCCTGAGAGACCCTGCAGTTGCAGCTGTGCTGGCTCTTCAGTGTTCCCCAAACACATGCCACCATGGAACCCTTTTCTTTAGGGAATCCCAAATTATGTGTGGCAGAGCAGCAGTTGAACATAGGTGGTTCAGAGTGGTGGCTCAATCTTGTCCTGCAGCTGGCTCCACTTAGGGCAAGCAGTCTATGCCCTGTGCCACCACCCCAGTTCTGAGGGTGAAAGGGGCTGGGTTCTCTGAATAGCTGTTGACAAGTGGCCTCAGGCTCCTTGAGGCTCTGCAGGGATCTGGTGTCACTGTCCAGTTTATGCTCTCTACCCCATCCTGGTTAGCTGGATCTTGCTACAGTCACCCCTCCTCACCCATCTCTCCTGAGCACCTGCCCCCTCCTCTGCCACCTGCAGATGGATGATGCCGGACAGTACCAGTGCCTGGCTGAGAACGAGATGGGTGCTGCAAAGAAGGTGGTGACCATCGTGCTTCAGAGTGAGTCTCATGCCCCTCTCCCTGGCCCTGGGCTCTTCTCCCCAACAGCTGGGGACAGGTGATGTGGATGACTGTCACTATTCTGCTTTTTGTCTACAAGTGTGTGAGGTTTTGCTTTTTTTTTTTTTTTTTTTTCTGTTTTGGCAGTACTAGGGCTTGAACTCAGGGCCTTGCCCATGCTAGGCAAGCAGTCTACCACTACAGCCACTCTGCCAGTCCTGTTTTGTATTGGATTTTTTCAAGATAGGGTCGCACAAACTATTTCCCTGGGCTGGCTTTGAACTCTTATCTTCCTGATCTCTGCCACCTGAGTAGCTAAGTTTACAGGTGTGAGCCACGGGTGCCCAGGAAGGTTTTGCTTCTTCTGAAACGAGAGATTTAGGCTCCAGGCCCAAACTTCAGGGGTTCCACATGTCAGGTTTAGCTATTCACCCCATGGTGCCAGATAAAATGAGGAGTAATGGTAAAGGGCAGAGAAAGATTTATTACACGGTGCAGGCACGCTGTGGAAGACAGCGCTTCAGCTCACCTTCCAGGTAGAGCCATGAGCTACAGATTTAAACAGGAAAGGAATTTGGGCAGGGGATGAAAGGTGTGAAAGATTAAACAGTCCTGGTCACAGGTGTGGCCTGGTTGATAATTATCCCAGTCCTGATTTTGGAAGGGGTTCTGGGGAACCCTGTTAGCAATCTGGAGTAATCTGGTTAGGATAAGGAAGTCATTGTTGCTTGGAGGGTTCTCTGGCCTGAGGAGGCTCTGCTGTTCCCCTCCTTGGGTGTAGTTTCTTCCATCCTTCCTTGTAAAGATGCTGTCCATCAATCCTGTCCTTCCTGGATTCCAAGGTGGCTGCAAGGTGAAGGCTCAGAGCAAAGACAGATACAAAAATAGACACAGAGATCCAAGTTTTTCTCCTGCTTTTAGTTAATTCATGGGCCCAAGTAAGGAGTCAGTGGTTTTCAGCAAAAGCAGCTTAAGTCCCGTTATGCTTCCACACCCCTGTCAACACTTGTTAATATCCCTCTCTTTAATTTTACCCACCCTAGGGGTGTGATGTTCATTTGATTTCCCCTAAAAACTAATGCAACTTTTCCCCTGCTTATTAGCTGTTTGCATATCTTTTTAGCCACGTGTGTATTCACATCTGTGCCTATCTTTTAAGTGCTCATTTTTTAAGTTAAGAGTAAAGCAAGCACAAAGTTTATTGGAAGGATAGCAAGCACCCTGACAGGTGGGACTTTGGGAAAAAGCTAAGTCAGACAATGGCTGAAATCTAGGAGATGATATAGGGCGCTAACTGACTTAGGTCCAACTAGTCTACCTTGAAACTATATTTGTGATTGGTTGGCACTGAGTCAGCTTCTAGCTGAACTTGGCCACCTGTCTATTCTCCTTATTGAACTTGAGCATTCCAGGGTCTGGTCAGCTCCTCCTGGCCTTGTGGTCCACTACCCACATTGTGCAGCTGCATCTTGTTATTTTGGTGAGAGGCTTGTCATTTCTCTGAGAAACCCATTGCTTTCCACACTCTTTTACGTGTCTGCTTCTAAAGTGACCCTCTCATCCAAAATGGTGTCACCCCGTCATCGCTCCCCTCACACTATTAGTGAGTTACGAGTTCTGTATAGAGGGGGGACATTAGTTTTTGTCAGATATGTGATTTGCAGATAGTTTTCCCCAGTGTGCATTTTGTCTTTGCCTTTTTTTTTTAACTTCTTTTAATTTCTACCCCCCCCCCAGCCCTGCCCCGGACCTTCTGCAACTGCTGTACCACCTAACTATATCCCCCACCTTGTCTTAATGACATCTTTGAAGGAAACAAAAGCAAAAGTGTTAAAATTGGATGAAGTCCAGATTTATCAATTTTGTATTTTTGGATGTTTGGTGTTATATCTAAAAAGATCTTTGTCCTTCCTAAGGTTACATTTTCTTCTATAATTTTTCATAGTTGTAGTTCTTCCATTTAGTTCTGTGATCCATTTTGATTTCACTTCTATATGAGGGAAGGGTCTAAATTCTTTTTATTCTATTTATCTGTTTGTTTGCATGTGGATATCCAGGTTTTCCGGTGCCATTTGTGTAGGTCTTTGATTTTTCTCAGAGATATTTCGTATAGTTTTCAATGGACAATGGAACTGGGTGGAGCAGAGGTTAAGAATTTTGAAAAACAACTCTATCAGTTAGAGCAGGACATAGTTTGCATGAGTAATAGTGCTTCTGGAAAAATAGCATTGATAATTACCTCAGTTCTTCTGTCCGGCAGGAGAATTCAAGCAAGACATGAAAGATGTAGTAAAAGTAACAACAGTAAAGTTTATTAGGAAAGGATACACTTTCAACAGACTGAAAGCAGGTTGTCGCTAGAGTGAGAACAATGGGTCAGGTTTTAAGGTTGGAATATTTATTTATTGTTGTGGTACTGGGGTTTGAACTCTGTACACTTTGAGCCACTCCATCAGGGTTTTTTGTTGTTGTTGTTGTTTTCCAAGATAAGAGCTCTTGAATTATTTGCAGGGGTAAGGGGGGGAGGTGCTGGCTTCAAACCAGGATCTTTCTGATCTCTGCCTCCTGAATAGCTAGGATTACAGGTGTGAGCCACCAGTGCTGGCTGGAATATATATTGAGAAACTCTTACTTTTGGGTGCTTTTGGTGGTTTCCTGGGTTTTGGTCACTATCTTGTTAAGAGAGACATTGTGTAAACTATTATTACCTATGTAAACTATGTGCTTCTCTAACTGATAGAGAATTTCTGTTTGAAATTCCTAACCTTTGCTCTATAGGTTCAGGTCTTTGTTTTGTTGAATTTACTTATGAAAACCTCCCTGCGGCCAGCCCTACCTGATGTTTGAGATGTGGATTGCTCTTGGGTACAGAGTGGATCAAGCTTTAGGGTCCTGGCTAACTTCAAAGCATCCTGATGGCCTCTGGGCTCTGGTACCTGATCTTAATAGAGACCATGGAGCGGAGAAAGTGGAATTACAATGACTTCTTCCTTTTCTCTTCTGCTGGCCACAATTTATGTCTAGCTGCTACCCATTAATAGTAACTAGTTTGCATAGGTAATCTCTTTCTCATATAACAAGACTATGACCCCAAACCCAGGAGATCATCCCAGGTGCCAAACAAACCCAAAGCTTTAACAAAACACTGCATCTTTAAAGCCTAACCCCGACTTCTCTCCCTTGAGCCCTCTTGCCCCCAACCTGCTAAAAGTGTATCTCTTTCCCAATTAACTCAGCCACTTATACTTTATAGCTACATTTTGGCCTCCCTGTCTCCCTTATTCAAGACAAAGTCACTTCCACTATCTGCTCCCCTCAGAACCCCAAAGTCACTTCTGCCACTTGCTCCCCTCACCCAGATACTGGTTCAGATGGGATCTCAAACTTTTTGCCCAGGCTAGCCTTGAAATTCCACCCAATCTCCACCTCCCAAGTAGCTAGGATTACAGACATGAGCCACTGCACCAGCTTACTTCTTTTCTTAAGTTGATTACTAAGTATTTGATTATTTTGGATGGAATTATTTTCTTGGTCTGACTTTTGAATTTTTTCATTGCTAATAAATAGAAATGCAACTGGTTTTTGTATCCTGCACCCTCACTAACATAGTTTTTAGTTCAGGTAATTTTTTGGTGGATTCCTTTGGATTTTCTACATATAGAATGTATCTCATTCACAAATAGACACCATTTGGCCTTTGCCTTTTGTTACCAGAAAAGTAGCACTGTTAAATACTTCAGTTCTTGCATCCCACAGGAGAAGAATTCAAGCAAGATGCAGAGGTTATAGTAAAAGTAACATAAAATATTAGAAAAGGAATATCCTTTTAACAGACTGAAAGGGAGCTGCCTCCAGAGAGAGGATTGGCTTACCAGGTTTTAAAGTTGAAATATTTATTGAAGAAGCCTTAGTTTTGGGTCCTTTTGGACCCTGGGATGGATTCCTGGGTTTGAGTCATTGTCTTGTTAAATGAGAGAGATTACCTGTGTAAACTCCCAGTTCTGGAGCTAATTGATAGAGAGTTTCTGTTTGAAATTCCTAGCCTTTGCTCTGTCCAGTTCCTGGATCTTTGTTTTGTTAAATCTATCTGTGTAAACTCCCAGCACCAGTCCTCGCTGATATTTAAACTGTAGATTGCTCTTGAGTAAAGAGTGGATTAAGCTTTTATGAGTGGCTGACTGTGTAGCTATTAACTATCACTTTCAGTCTGAACCCCTCTGACATCTTTGCAGTGCCTCATTGTACACACAGCCTCTCTGCTGCAACACTGAATGGAGGGAGGTGACACGTCCAGGTGGGTGGACCCCACCTTGTTCCTAGTTGGAGGTGGAGAGCACTCAGTCATGTGCACACGTCATACTGTCACGTGTGACTCAGCTGTGGGGTCTTGCGGATACCCTTATCAGGCTGAGGGAGTTCCCTTCTACCCCAAGTATGTTGAGAACTTTTGTCACAGATGGACCAGGTCTCTGGTTCCAGAGGAGATGGACATCCATCCCTCCTGCTAAGGACAGCCAGAGACCTAGGACTTCATACAGAAGACAGACACTAAAGGCTGAAAGGTGGGAAAAGAGGGGGAAGGGACCTGAGGAATAATATGGTGTGAATTCCTTTGTACTTCCTGGCCTAGGTGAGAAACCAGTCTTCCACATTACCATAAAATAATAATACTGAGAAGGCCCCAACAAAAGCCTGTTCTATCTCTAAAGGACTAAGAAGAGGATGGTTTTGCAAGAAAGGAAACTTCAGGCAATAGGTACACCACTCAGCTCCACCTCGGCCGACCCTCAGGGACACTGTTCTCTCCATACTGGAGGAGAGGTCAGATGCCGTCAAAGGAGGAAACAGAATTTTCCCCGCTTCTCTCAAGAGGGTCTCTCCCCACAGGGTCAGGTGGAGAGCGTTCAGGGGCTTCCTCCCCTCCCAGCTTGGAGATCTGGTATGACTGCTAACCCTGGGTGTCCCTGAGGGCCGTGGGGTCCCATGCTCACCTGGCAGTGATGGGCAGCCCCTCCCTTCCCCTGCTAAGGTCAGACATGAACTTGAGAGCTGGTCACCTCCCAGTGATCTCCACATTCAAGTGCAGTGGAAACTCACTGGCCAAGGCAAGAACAAGAAACTCTCAGCTCCAGTAGGAAGTGACAGCCAGCAGATCCACACCGAGAGGTTGCAGACGGGTGACTCAGCGGACAAGGATTTTTATTTATGTATTTTATTTTATTTTCTTATTTTACTTTATTGGGACAAGGATTTTTATTTATGTATTTTATTTTATTTTCTTATTTTACTTTATTGGGGGGAGCAGTATTGGGACTTGAACTCAGGGCCTTACACTTGGTAGGCAGGGCTGGAGCCATGTCCCCAACCCTTCATTGGACAAGGAGCATAAAAATGCTTTGGAAGGCAATTGCGAACATGCTGGAAACAATGAAAAAGCAGAAAATCTCAGCAGAGCGCAGCTGTGGAGCAACTCAGAGTTCTGGCAGCTCCCAGTCTTCTTTTGCCGCCCTCCTGGGCACACCTGTCAGAGACAGGGCAGCCTGTGCCTCCCTCACCTCCACCTGCTCCTCGGTATGTGTCTGGCTGCTTCTCTGGCCTCTTCAGCCAGCCCACAAACCCCAGGCTGGCAGAGCGACCATTTTCCCATTTGTCTCTTACCAGTGTTTCTGTTTTTCCTGATGGTTTTCGGGATGGTTCTGCCCCCACTGCAAACCCAACCAGGACTCTGTGGAGGCCAAAGCTGCTGGCTTTCCCAGGTGGCCCTGCCCTAGTAAAACTGCTGGGACAGCATGGTGGGATGTGAGGGGGTGGGCCCTGTTCCCAGCAGGAAGACTGCAGGTTTCCCCTACTCCCACCCAAAAGTCTAGGGCTTGAGGGAAGGGAGTGTGGCTCAGTGGCAATGTGCTTCCCAGCAAGTACCAGACCCTGGGTTCAACCCCCAGCACTGCAAACAAAATTTTTTAATGGAAAAGGGGTCTCAATTTGCAGGCCTGTGTTGGTTTCTAGAGCCCCAGTCACCGGGTCTGGCGGTTGTGTGTGTGAAGGCTTCTGCTTGTTTTAGGGGAGAAGTTTTCTGACCTCTTCATTCAGCCACTCCTGGAAGTCTTGCCTTCGCTTGCGTTTGACCTTTGTGTAAATGAAGTCATACCCTGGGTGTGGCTCAGAGGTACAGCACCTGCCTAGAGCACGGGAGACCCTGTGTTCTACCCCCAGCATCACCAAAAATAACAACAACAAACTGCAGTCGCATCAGCCGTGCCTGGGTGGGACTGCGCCGTGCGTGACATGGTCCAGGCTGATACTACGCAATTGTTAATCCATTCTTGGGCTATCTGGCTTTCTGCCAGCTGGTTACTTCTGCATCCCCCGCAGGTTCATTTCCAGTTTGGGGCAGTTGTGAGTAGTGTTGTTAGGAGATTTTTCGCGAATGTCTTTTGTCACGCTCCATATTCTGTTGGGATGTGGGTCCAGGAGCAGAACCACAAGTCATACTGTGCACAGGTGTTCAGCTTTCGAACGGGCTGTGGTGGGCTGAGACGTGCGTGGCACTCCAAGACAGATCCGTGTCCCAGGGTTGCCAGGTGACTCAGGTGGTAGAGCACCTGCTTAACGAGCGTGAGTCCCTGAGTTCAAACCCAATGCTGCCAAGAAAAAAGTCAGATCCATGTCCTGACCCCCAGAACTGGGAGTGATGTTACCTTATTTGGAAAAGAACCTGTACAGCTGTGATGAGTCTAAGGAGATGAGACCTGGAGAGAGATGAGCTCATGATAGTGGAGAGTTCAGAATCACAAGGTTTGGGGTTTTTTTGCCTTTTTATTATTTATTACTTATATTTGTGGTGCTATGAATGGAATGAACATACTAGGTGAGTGATCTACCACTGAGCTATACCCCCAACCCAGACTGTACCATTTATTTATTTACTTATTTTTAATTTATTTAATTTGGACAGGGTCTTGCTATGTAGCTCACACTGCCCTCAAACTCACTATGCTCTTTCTCCACCTCCAAAGTGCTGGGATTATATGTGTGTACTACCACACCTGGTACAAGGGTTCTTATAAAGGAGAGTCAGAGGAAAATTAGATGGCAGACGAGAGAGAGAGAGAGAGAGAGAGAGAGAGAGAGAAGAAGAAGGAGAAGGAGGAGGGGAAGGGGAAGAGGAGGAGGAGGGGAAGGGGAAGAGAGGGGGAGAGGAGGGGAAGGGGGAGAGGAGGGGAAGGGGGAGAGGAGGGGAAGGGAGAGGAGGAAGAGGGAGAGGAGGAGGAGGAGGAGAAGGGGAAGAGGAAAAGGAGGGAAGAGGAGGAGGAGGGGAAGGGGAGGAAGAGGAGGAGGAGGGGAAGGGGAAGAAGAGGAGGAGGAGGAGAGAGAGGAGGAGGAGGAAGAGGGAGAGGAGGAGGAGGAGGAGAAGGGGAAGAGGAAGAGGAGGGAAGAGGAGGAGGAGGAGGAGAGAGAGGAGTAGGAGGAAGAGGCTGCAGCAGCACAGGAGGGCATGGTGCAGCATTGAGCCCAGGAAGGCCAGCAGCTGCCTGAGGCTGGGGGTTTGAGAAATGGATGAGGGCACATGGGCTTTAGCCCAGTGAGACTGATTTTGGACTTCTGGCCTCCCCAACTGTGAAAGAAAAAATTCCTACTGTGTTAAGCCACCAAGTCGGTGGCAATGTGGCACAGCCTCCACAGCCTAGACAGCTGTGACATCACTTGGAGCAACGCATCCTAGTGTGCACCTAACAGTGTCTGCATAGGGAAGCGATGTCTGAAAAGCATTGAGGGGGTGGATCGCGTGTGACTCTTATTTTCTTCTTTCTGTATTTTCTAGTGTGTTTGAGTGAATATGTATTACTGGAATATACAAAAGGAATTAAATGTTCCTAAAAGCTGCCCCGGGCCTCCACAGGTGCCCCCGTGTTCCAAGTGGAGCCCCAGGACGTGACAGTGAGATCCGGGGAGGATGTGGCACTGCGGTGCCAGGCCACTGGAGAGCCAGAACCCACCATCGAGTGGCTGCGAGCAGGTCAACCCTTGCGGGCCAGCCGGCGGCTCCGGACCCTGCCGGATGGGAGCCTGTGGCTGGAGCGTGCAGAGGCTGGGGATGCTGGAGCTTACGAGTGTGTTGCTCACAACCTCTTGGGCTCTGCCACAGCCCAGGCGTTCCTGGCCGTGAGAGGTATGGGGTGTCCCTTCCCAGACCTCTGTGGACAGGGGCAGAATCTCCTGCCCCGTGGGGACTCATGTGTCATTCAGAGGGGACCTGGCCTACTGCCCTGCCAGCTCCCCAAACCCTTCCATTCACTTATCCATAAACTCAGAATAAAGCAGCTGGGAGCGTCTTATAGGTCATCTTGTCAACCTTCCCACTTACAGTTGGGGAAACTGAGTCTCAGAGGAGCAGAGTTTGTCAGTCATCTTGCACAGGGAACCCAGCTGTTTGAGGTCATCTAGCGCAGACACATGTCCTCTGTTTGGATGCTCCACACCCCATGAAGTGGGCAGAGTGAAGCAAGACTGTCCCTGGTGCTCCTGGGGCATTTTCTGTGGATTTCCATGAATTAGTGCCCATCCCAGCTTTGCTCGGTAAAAACAGAGCATGCTGTTTTTACTAACCCTGCCACCCTTCTCCCTTGGGTCAGACCAAACTTCAAAATTAAGAAATGGGCTATCCTAAGAAACCACAGTAAAAAGATTCAGGCCTACATAAAGGAGAGTCACAGGATATTATTTCTGGACTGTCTGTACGTCTGTAGCAAATACTCCAGATCAGTAGCTTTGTGTCTCCACCTCTGTCCATGGCAGACATCACCAATCTACCTCCAGACACAATGTCAGTCTTTGTCCATACAACCCTCCTCCAGGCAGCACCCCTCCACTAATGGGAATTGGGACTTCACCCTACTTGAAACCCTCTGCTAGCCAGATGCAGGACCCTTTATGGTCCCCCCACCCCACCTCCTGTAAGCAGGGACAGGTTGCTATTAAATGCAGCCCTGAAAGTTCAGTGGTTCTTGGGCACCAGGCTACATAAGCTGGCTCAAGGGTGGCTTCAGGTCTGAGAGGACACCCCCCCCCTCTGTTTCAGAGCTTGGCTCTTTCCCTCTCCTGTTGAAAAGCCCCAAATCCAAACACAGAGTCCTGCCCATGGCCTCTGTGCTGGTCCCCCAGGGATGACAGAACTGAGGGCTTCAGCAATAGACACTTATTCTCTCATAATTCTGGAGGCTAGAAGTCCGAGATCGAGGTGTCAGCAAGGCGGTGAGGAGGAATCTGTTCCAGATCTGTCCCCAAGCTTCTGGTGGTCTGCACCCTCGGCTGGCAGAAGCACCATGCGGCAATCTCCCCATGTGTGCCTATCTCTAGATTTCCCCTTTTTATAAGGAAACTGGCCTACTGGGTTAGGTGGGGTCCAACCAAATGACTGAATTTCCACCTGGTTTCCTCTCTAAAGATGCTGTTTTCAACAAGGTCACCTTCTGAGGTCCTAGAGGTTCAGACTTCAGCATATAAGTGAGAGAGACACCCAGTTCAACCTGACAGTCTTATTATTTAGTGGAAGTGACTGTTTTCCCCTCAGAAATACGAATTGCAGAAAGGTAGATTCTATAGAACTCTGAAGAGATAAAAGTGATATGTGCCATAATTCAATTACCTGAACAGCTGGCATAAATATTTGGGGTATATCCTTCCAATTTTTTTTTCTGAATGTAAAGAGACACATTCTTTCTTTTTGTAAATGAGGTCAACTTTAAAGGTTGTCTGTGTAACCTGTCGTTTTTACTTTCTGTCTTGGGTGACGCTCCATGATCATCAGCCTGGGTCTGCATCTTTCAGTATCATTGCATGGAAATGTTTTCACCTTAATTTTTGTTGGTTTTGTTAAATAAGCAACAGTTTCCTTTTTCACCTTCCCTTCCCAAATCCACACCATGGTGCTCGTCTCCATGGGGCGACCTGAATATTTCCATACGATAAGTAAATTCCTTCAAGGGGCTTTGCAGAGCTAAGGGAAATCAAAGTTTTTCAAACCTTTGTCTGTAGACCTGCCCCTCCTTCTCTGTCAGCCGAGGGGCCCAGCCCTGGCCTTGTGGGAGACCAGAGGCTGCTGAGACACTGTGGGTCTGAGAAAGTCACAGTGGTTTGCCATTTCTGGGTTCTGAGTTCCTGTCCCCTTCCAGGACCACTAGGTCATACTCCCACCTTCTTTCCTACAGCTACCAGCTCCTTCCACCTCCCCTTATCAAAAGAGGGGGGGTCATGGCCTTCTGTCCTTTCCCTCCACCCCAAAGTAGAGGATATGATGAGAATCAGCCCAGACAGACTGCAAACCTCATCAACTCCCAGCCATAGGCTGTAGGAAATGGCATGACTTCCTAGAATCCAAGAGCAGCCAGCCCAATTTGTCCATTTAGGATCCTGGCCATGGAGTGTTTCATGTTATTTTTTGACAGGTCATGGGCAATTTGTTGTTAATTTCCCCTGAGAGCTGGTGAGTGGAGAGGCAGGCTAACTTCTGTCTCTGCCCCCTGGAATGCCAGCTGCCCGGAGGAGACAGCTGGTCCATCAGGCAGAGGAAATGGAGGCCCCCAGGGTCCATGGTATCCATTTGTTAGTGCTAGAGAGCATCTGCTTCCAGACAGCCTGGCAGTCACTAGGACACCAGCCTGCCCGAGCCAGGCCATGTGCGGCCAGGGCCACCGATGGAATGGGGACAGTCAGATGATGGTATTCAGACCCTGGCACGGTGCCCTGGCCTCTGCAGAGTGCCAGACCCTGTCATCATGGCTCCTGGCTTCTGAATGTCTGAGGACCCACCTCCTCATTTCATAGATAAGCTACCTCAGTGTGGCCTGGGGGGCTGACTTGCCTGAGGTTCAGGGAAGGTGACAGCAGAGCCAGCATTAGATGCTGGCACCCTGTTGCAGCTCAGGGCTCCTCCTCACAGGAGCCCATGTACATTGAGTCCATCACCCATCAGCTGTGTGTCCTTGGGCGATACTTTGCCTCTCTGAGCCTCAGTTTATCCCTTCATGAAATGGAAATGACAATAGTACCTCTGGATCCAGGGCAACAGGTGGATAGTACATGTCACTACTGTTGTTTTCCTTCCTCTCAGGGGAGCCCCGGGGAAGCTGGGGCAGCATGACTGGGGTGATCAATGGCCAGGAATTTGGTGTGGCTATTCTCAACACCAGTGTACAACAGGAGGCACGCTCCAGGGTTACCACCATCAGGAGCATCATCAGCCATGTCCCGGCAAATGTGGGTAAGTGGAGTCAGAATGGCATTTGTGTCTAGGCCTACTGCCTCAGTCCCCTGGGATCCTTGCACATGCTGGGTTCAAAGGCTGCACCCCGAGGCGTGCTCAGGTCTGATTCCCTGAGGAGATGGGACAGACTCTAACAGCTCAGTCCAAGCCACAATGCAGGAAGGTCCTCTCCAGCTCGTAACATACAAAACCACTACATTTAAAATCAAACTGAGGACTGGGGGCATAGCCCTAGTGGTAGAGCACTTGCCAAGCAAGCGAGAGGCCCTGAGTTCAATCCCCAGTGTGGCAAGAATAAAATGAAACCAGTAGGGAAGTGGAATGAGCTGGATTCTGTGGAAAAGGGGCTCAGGTCTGAAGCCGCCGACTGCTCTGGAAGGGTTTTTTCCATGGTTAAGGCCGAGGCTGGTGGAAAAGTGAAAGATCACCAGAA